GATTATGCTGACGGCTACGAGACAAGAGTTCCAACAGAAGAACCTGAACAAACCAAGTTTCAAACGGCCACAATTTTTACGAGCTTTTAAAGAGAACCAAAAATAGAAAATTAAATAAAACTCACAACCACACATGCAGACACATCACTCGGTGTAGTTCTACGACAAGTATAATCTGATAAATGTTTCTTTCCCATCTTCGACACTAAATCATTTTATATATATAAGGATACGAAAAAAGAGAAAATAGTTCTAGCTTTACCTGGTTTCCTTTCTTGAAGTCCTCTCCTTCATTACTTCCCTGACTTCGGAAGTTTCGTGCCAAATTATAAATTGATCTGACGAATCATCTAGATTGATACATTAGTGGCCAGAAACATCTCGTTTGCGATGTTCTAACCAAACCAACATCCGTGTATCTATACAAATTTAAACATTATTGAGCAAAAAAGAGAAAAAAATCATTTTCTTTTTGTTATTTTCCTGGAGAACGGCAGAATATTAATATTACTATTATAGAAATTCTTGAACAAGAAGACATACATTTGTCATTGCAGACATGAAAAAAAAGTACATAAGATCGTAACAAGGTACAACAGAACCAGGTGCAACGAGTTATTATGAATTACATTCGAAGACAAGTTTCCCAAATACTACACACCAAATTGCTCCAATATTGTATTTAAATCTATTTGATTAGAGTTGCATGCAGAGACTAAACAAGTCTATCATGCAACAGCAACAGTCTCGGTAGGTTTCGATTCTGCTTCGGCCGCTGGTGGTGGTGCGGCGGCAGCTGGTGCCTCAGCTGGTGGGGCCCAGTAGGAAGTTGCTTTCCCAGTCTTCGAAACAGTCTGCAGAACTGCTTCTGGCTGGACCTTACCTACCACAGTCACTTTTTGCTTCTCGATATCAATATCAAACGATTCCACACCTGCAAAATATGATAAACGTATAGCCACATTTAAATTGAGTCTTTATGTTACAATACAGACACAATCTTAGCAATATTTCTGAATGTACAAGACTTGAAGCATAAAAAATCGCAGAATGTAAGCAGCTATTTATTGTACCAAACAAACCCACCTCACAAAACTCAACTCTATTACTCTATTGTTTCCGTAATCAAGAACGCAATTAGAGAAGTCTATCTTCGGAAACGAGAACGCGTGCTTTTTAGATTCATAGGACAGGTGGGGAATTGATAAAAGCACATTTTTCTTGAACATGAGCATTTCTAATTGTACATAAAAAAATTAAAAAATCGAGTCCTTCGTGTTATTCACTGAGCTAGAAAAAGATGACAAACCTTCCATCTTTCCAAGAACCCTCTTCACGGCTCCCACACAGCCTTGGCATGACATGCCAACCTTCAGCTCAACGGTCTGCAGTTTGATAAAAAAATAGTTATAAGATCATCAAAAATCGAACGTATAATCAACTAACGAATAAATCCTTGAAGTTCTTGTTATGTCAATTTTAGCTAAATAATTCTTCCCTTCATCATGTTCAGGAAAATGACCGAAAATCACCAGAATAAAAAACCGCAATGAATTATTAAGCTACAAACGAATTGTTTCGGTCCTTCATAACATTTTTCTGCTGCAAAGATAGCTACAATCCAATCATCAAAGAAATAAAAGAAAAAAAAAATCATCCCAAAATAAAAGTGTCAAGGCAATAAATGAATTAAATTCCCAAACAACAGAAGTTCTGTATGCATAAACCAGCAAATTAACACGATTTCTAACCCTAATTGATTCATTTCTCCACCCTTTCATCTCAGATAAATTGAAACCCCACTTATTTCTTTTTCTTGTTTCAAGCCAAACCAGCAACAATCACAAATCAAATCTAACGAACATAAGGAAATTCCGTGAAACAATTCCAACAACAAAAAAAAAAAAAAAAAAAAAAAAAACCAAAATCATTCATTCTACTAATTTTCAAACGGAGAAATAAAAAAACAAAATTATCATCACCTGAGACATGATTGGTTGATTGATTGATTCTTCTAGAAGTTGATCACAAGATGAAGAACAATGGCGTTGCGCAAAAAGTCAGAGCAGATTTTATGATGATGGATTGGGATGAGAGCTTAGCGCTGGATGAGGACGGTATTTATAGAGCACAAAATTCTTCAACGGAGGAACAGAAATTAAATAATTCAAATAAATCAGATTGACATTTCACAGCCAATTTTATTTCATTTCCTTTTTTCTTTTTCTTTTTTCCCCTGACCCCACAAAAAATAATTATGACGTCACGCCTACGCGATTTTTTCACGACTCTTAGAGCTTGTTTGATTGCTCTTAATGAGCTCTTAATGGACACTAATTTCTGAATCGGTAAGAGATTACTCATTAAGTATGTTTGGTGTGGATATCTGAATGAAACCCATTGCCTCTTACCGGTTCAGTTAGAAATTTCTTGCTTATTCGCTCAGCGGATCTCTGAATGGGTATTTGGGTTTGGTGACCAAATTTCTCTGCTTTGTTCGTCCTCTTCGTCAATTGAAACTCATTTAACCGATTAATTTCTTGACCACCACAGCCACCTCCCCTATTGAAATCAACCAAATAGGGCTTATGCAATTGGAACAAAAATCTCATGTTTAAGTAATTGATTTTCGTTTATTATCGACACAGACGAATCAATTTGGGGATTCCGTTGGAGATGGTCGGGAATTGAAAATCTGACTGAGGGGCTGCAAGATTTGAGAATATGACGATGTTTTTAGCAGCACGTCAAGGACATAGATTCACAGAACTTGAGGCGGCGATGTTGGTTGTTTACATTGGTTTGTACATATTTTTGCAGTAGTAGCGTAGCAATTTGTATTCTTGTTCAGAGATATGTACGAATCGAGTCAATGAGATGATGGGATGAGATAAATATTAATTTTCATTACATTATTCAATAATGGAGGAAAAAATTTCTCTCTTTTTTTTCAAATCCATATTTTTTGGATTTTGATATGATTTTTCTATTACATAAAAAAATAGTTTGATATTACTAATAGTTCACGTAGTAAATAAATCTATGTATAGGGTTAATTTAGTAATAGTGTATCATTCAGATATATAATTATCAAACAAACTTAACTATTCTGCATTTAGATTCAGACTGGGCTCTTAGCTGTTCAGATATGTTTTCAGCATTCAGCATTCAGTACTTAATCTAATCAAACATAGCCTTAAAATCTACTCCATTTTATATTTATATATATTATGATAAAAGGAGGAAATAAATGAAATTACATGGATAAAATAAAATATTTTTTAATGCTATTTGGCTACACAATGTACATCAAGTCATCAACCATACACAAGTAAATTTGACCTACACTACTAAATCACAATCTTTGTCATATTAAGAAAATATTTTTTTTTTAATAATTAATTTCAAATATATTTATCTACAAATGGTCCAAACTAAACTTCCATTATCTTCTCTTCCATCCGAAATACTTTATTACAAAAATATAAATATAAAAAAATACTGAACACAAGAGAACGTTCGAAAGTGTCAGTGCGCATCTTACACATACAGCACTTCGTTTGTACATAATCGTATCAGAACGTCAGTTTCATTCTACGAAAGGTGTTAAAATAATAGTGCGTATCCGATTCAGAGACGAAATCTCTTTCAAAATATTCGTGCATTGCAAATATGGCTCGATTAATATTTTGACAAATTGTACTACATGGAAAAGACAAGTGGAGTGTCTACACTACACACACAAACATTAGTACAACATTTATAAAAAAAATAGTAATAAATAAATAAATAAAAATTATGAAATTCAATTACCTGAAGTAGTTAGAACATATTTTTTTTGAAAGGTGGCCAAATGATTTTGGCATACCTTAGAAGGAAGGCATATTTCATTTCATTAGTGGACCTAAAAGTACTTTTTTATTTGTTTTATGGGTCGTATTGTTAGTAGTACAAATATACCTTTTAACCTATAGTACTACGTTAGATAAAGATGTACTACTACTACTGCATATGAAGTACAAGCACGTGAAATATATTGGTGCTATTTAGTTATTTATTTATTATTTTAATAAAAAATATAATAACTGAAGCTCAAAAGGCCCCAAATATAAGAAGAGGCCCAATTTATTGAGTTTAATGGGGCTTCAGCCCATAACTAAATTAATCGTTATTAACTTTTTTTTTTTTTTGAAATGATTAATCGTTATTAACTTATTATAAATAATTGGGCAAATTACGGTCACCCATAAGTTATGATCAAATTACAAAAAACCCCCCTCTTGTTTGGGTAATTACAGTCACCCTTCTCGGCTATGTATTATCTTGCGAAAATACCCCCCATGGGTAAATACATGGATGTTAAATCGGTAAAACCGAACCGAAATTTCGGTACGCCAACATTTCATAACGTTTACCGAACTGAATATACGATTTAGTTCAGTAAATAACTGAATTACATAAATTTTACGTAAAAGTATTTAAAAGGAGGGGGTCACTGTAATTATTCAAACAAGAGGGAATTTTTTCGTAATTTGGCTATACCTAAGAGGTGGCCGTAATTTGCCCTAAATAATTAAATAGTCTAATCATCATTATAGATAGTATTATTAAGATTTATTGCAGTCTCAAAGCTTTGAAACTGTTTTAACTGTAGGGAAAGAGTGTCGAATAATAACGACACACCGGCAAAACGGTAGCAGTTAAAACAGTTGATATGTTAAACACCACGATTTCATAGAAAAGTCGTTACACGTTTAATGCAAGAAATAACAAGCGATATTAAAATTAAGGGACTATTAGTGAGAACCCACTCTAACATTATTTTAATAAAGATGTGTCTAGCTCATTTTCCTTTATTAGTGAGAAACCCATTTTTTTTGTATTCTCAAATTTACCCTCCCACTATTCACTACCCATTATCCACTAGTTTGATATTTTTTTTTATTTTTTATATTTTAATTTTAATTTTTGTTTTTATTTATTTATTTCTTCTTTAAAAAATAAAAAATAAAAGTTTAATATTTTTCTTTAAATATTCATTTTCTATATTATTTTAGTTTTCAGTTAAAACAACTATATGCCAATAAAACGACTATTATTAAAACAATGATACATCAGTTTCACAATTTATTAAATTAATTATATATTATGTGATTTCCATTGTAAGATTAACTAATTATTTAATCAAAACATCTCCAAAACAACTATTTGTTAAAACAACTATTTATTCAAACCAACTAAAAAGTAATGAAAACAGTATATTGTTGTGCAAAAACAACTATATTGCCATACGAAAACAACTATATTGAATCAACCACAAATTATTGAAATCCACAAAAGCAAAAGCAAAAAAACACACCAAAATTCCAACAAAAACGACTATTATTGAAACCAACTACAACCGTAACGAAAAAAACTATATCTTTTTGAGTAACACGAACACAATTTCAACAAACCAGCCTCCCAAACAATACCTCCTCCTCGAGGTCAATCTATTCCATTACAACGGTGGTAGAGGCGATCTTCCGACGAGGATTCCAGGAATGCTTCCAAAAATCGAAAGAACAAAAAAAAAAAAATACCAGCAGATCTGATCATCCCTCAGAAAGGAAGGGAGTAAGACCGGAAGGCCGCCGTCCGTCCTAAATTCGGCGGCGGCACCTTGTCGTTGTCGAGATCTGGAGCCGGCTTCGTCCTCTCCTTGCCCCACATCCGTCGGATTCCCAATTCGAGAAAGAAGAGATGTCGTCATGAATTCACCGCCGCCGCCATCGAGTCGAGTGAGTTTCGATTCCAGAAAAGAAGAGAAGAGATGATGGGGATTTGAGAACGGCGGTTTGTGGAGATTTGAGAACGGCGTTTTGTTGCAGCAAATATTGCTAGGGTTTGTAAATATAATATTTGGAAAATTAAGGATAATATAGGTATAACACTTAATCATTATATTAATATTAATTTAATTAAATAATTAAGGGGGTTCTCACTAATAATGAAAATGAGGCTATATCTCCTTGATATAAGTAAATGAATTGGGGGTTTTTACTAATTATCCCTAAAATTAAAATTAAAATTAAAAAAAAAAAAAAAAAAACGTTTCATAGCAAAAGTGCATTAAGAGTGTTTAAGAGCTGAATAAACAGCAAACCAACCAGGATCCGAAGGATTTATCGAATCCCAGAAAAATGTCGTTTTCGGATCTTCGCACACTATATATTTCTTCTGATCACCGTTATTTTTGTCTTCCCCGTTTACACCAATGCAGCACGGTTTCAATTTTTCCGACAACTTTCCTACACGAATTATTTTACAATTCAATATATATTAATTATTATGAAAGTGAATAAAAAAAATCGGTTTTGTGGATTAAATTTTTTAAATAATATACTACTACCTTGATGAGGGTTATTTTGATCAATTTGGAGGGCCAAGAAGAAAGCATTATAGAGGATTGGTCGAATGAATACAGGAGCAGCAGCTGCATAATTGAATGCCATTACACTCTGCTTCAGCATTTCGTTATGCGACTTCGATAATTTATTTTGTGCCGAATCGCAGTTTTTGAACGATGACGTGGCAGTATTTCGGGGCGAGCATCTGATTGGTTGTATCCCTGTTATTCCTATTTTGTTTATTCCAAGTGAATTGACCCTTTTTAAGTTCAAGAACATCTGTTGTACCACCGATCTCGCAAATTCCGGTAAATTCTGCAAATTCAAAAAAGAAAATCATACCAGTATGTAAAACAAAATCATCGTATGTAAGTTTGGCAGTTATATTGGATTAATGGATCCTAGTATTTCTATGATTATTGACTATTTGGTGCATTTTTGTGTACAAGTTTTGATATTGTTATTATTATTGTCCAAATTTATATATAATTAATCTCACCTTTTCTCTATACCAATGTTGATACATACAACATACAATAGTTTCTCGTATCTCCCCTTCGATTTGGCATTACATTTAGAAACATATATTATTCCTGGAAATATTTGAATAAATTTGCATCAAAACGTAGGTCTCGGTTGGCCCCTGCTATACTTCGGAGGGTTCACCTTAGCAACATCAACTGTTATCATCCAGCCATTGATGATCTGAAAAAAAAAAAACACGAAACCAAAAACGAACCTCAGTTATAGTTCTTTTTTTTTTTTTATAAACAACGAATTATTCGAAAAGTTTTAATGAAAATAATACAAAATGCCAGCCACCTTTCCGTTCATTTCCCTGAGGGCGGTGGATGCAGCTTCCTCGGTGGTGTACTCTACAAAAGCATAGCCTTTCGACCTCTTTGAGATCTTGTCCATTATGATTTTAACTGTGGGGCCCACGGAAGGAAAAAATACAGACGAATAAATATACTTGGTCAACTTTTTTTCTTTTTTGAAGTATGGAATGTTTGACCGGGATTTGTACCTTCAACAAGATCGCCGAAACCTTCAAACTCTGAGCGCAAGGTTTTCTCGGATGTATAGAAAGATAAACCTGCAGAATCAAATGCTATATTTAGTCTTTAATTTTTTTAACCATGAGTGCTAAATAAAATGAGATTTGTCAACTTTTTTGAATGTCGATTTTTTAGACCGAGTAACAAAAAACATAGTGCAAAAATGCCAAGTCCAAAAATAATAGAACTTCAAAATTAATGCTAATAGAGTTGCCGTATACCAGTCACAAAAAGCTTCTTTGTCTTGATATTGCTTGTTAGAATTGACGCGGAAGAATCTTCCGAGGCTCTAATATTCTCACCTGCAATATGCACACTCATTATTTTCGTTCCAAATTCCTGATTAGTTTTAATACTGTTATCAAGAAAGGTGCTCCACAAAAAATACTGTCGTGTTTTTCATTTAACGGATTTCAACACTCTCTCCAAAGTCCGAACTATGGCCTGGATCGAATATATATAAACACTTAATCGACTCCTTTAACTAGCTATGCTCGTGAAATGTAATAATTATGACAAACCTGCATAATCTTTCTCATCCGATCCAAAATTATCGTCCAGCTGGACAGATCGAACACCTGGCACATCTGTAATAACGAAGATATCCATTGTCACACACACACCATTAACACACAAACATATAAATTATCGATGCATAATAAAAGAAACCAACCAACCAGCTAACTCTTGAGCACACTCATCGTCTAGTTCACAGCAGAACCCGTAGTTAGATTCCCAAGAAACATGGTACATGCACATCTGAGCGTCTTTCTCACTGCAAAACAAACACGATTTCTCATTTCTCACTCATATAAATAATCGGACTCTATAAAGCATTTCGCACGATAAGATAAAACCCATACTCACTTCCTCAAAACCCTCATCAAGACTTGGACATAATAATCAACCATTTGCGCCTTTCTAACGGCCCCAATCGATGGCCTGTCCGTTCGGACAAGCCAGCGTTTCGTATTACCAGCAGGAAACAATAACGTGTTCTCATAGAAAGGGATCGATTCAGTAATGAATTCAAGCTTTGGAGAACTGTAATCTTTATGCGTTGAATCGAAATCAGGGTCTGGCTTAACTGATAATACCCCAGGTATACCTGTGATGAACCAGACCAAAAATGAGAATTCATTATTACTCAAAATAGGACGAAAAACTCTGAAACAACACAGGAAAAAAAATAAAATAAACGAGACGTACTCGCTAATTCGTAAGCTCTTTCTTCGTCAATGTCGCAGCAGAAACCGAAATGCGTATCGCAGGAAGCATCGTATATGCACATCTGAGCTCCCTCCTTACTGTATGAGCCAAAATTCAATCAATAAATTAAAAATCCATTTCTACCCAAAAAAAAAAAAAAAAAAACCAGAAGAAATTACCCAACAAAAGAGCATAACGTCCAGAAATTGAGCAAATATCAAATTCAAAAGCCACAAACATAATAAAAGGCAATATTTAAACCACGAATTAATTAATTAAGAAAAATAAATCCTGATAAAAATTGGGGAACCACCGACCTGCCCAAAACGGGTTCAAGCTTCCTGACATAGTAATCAATTATTAGGGATTTAACATTGGGTTTTCCTGGAGGGGCTTCCACGAGCACCATCCAATGGCGATTGCCGTAATTAGTACTAATTTCACCCAAAGGGGCGGTCGAATTAGCGGCGGCTGAAGCGTTTGCTGCTCCGGCAGTCCTCAACGCGTAATATGAAAAGTTAGAACTGGTGTGAAAGGACAACAATCTGAGAGGGAGAATTGGGAGATTTTTAGCTGAGATTGTTTGGGTGGTGGCGGTGGGAGCGGCTGAAGAAGAGAGCACCGCTTCCATTGTTAGTGCCATGGAAGAAGAAGAAGAAGAAGAAGAAGAAGATAAAATGGAGCCAAATATTTATTTAAGTTTATTTTAATACGAAATAACTTCTGGCGGAAAATACTAATTTTCACCCCATAACTTTTCATTATTCTTGTACTCACACCCTTTTAGTTTACAACTTATTTATATTAGGTCCCATATCTCCTGATTTATTTACAGCCAAGGACAGCCATCAAGAGAGAAGTCCCTTCGCTTCTCGTGCAATAGCCCGCAATAATATATCTTGGGAAAATTGCACTTACATCCCTCAAGTTTGCATCAATTTCACATTTAGTCCTCATGTTCATAAAATACACATTTGATCCTAGTCATTTTTCAAACAATTTTTTTTAACACTTGCATGTGGACCATCACTCTTTAAAATGACTACCTAACCGTAATGATAGAAATGACAAAAAATGTTAAATTATCGAACCATGAGGGACCTAATGTGGTTTTTGTGAACATGGAGGACCACATGTGAAATTGGTGCAAACTTGAAGGACAAAAACTGTAATTTTCCCAATATATATTATATTTTATTATTTTATTTTGCATGAAAAATGTGAAGAATTTTTTTTTTTTTGAGTAAAAAAAAATTAAAAAATAAATAAAAAATAAAAATGTGAATAATTAGTATACTAAAAAGTTGGTTGTAGTTATATTTTATTTCCAAGAATAAATCAAGATTCATATGATACAATTGAAGGTTGTATAAGAACATTACATCACAACATTAGCATATCTACACAAAACTACTTTTCATATGCATATTCCATTTTACTACCTCCTAATGCTTCAAAAATCATCAATCCTCTCATGAAAGAAGAGGTGTTTCGATGTCTTCTAGACCTTTCTTGGTCGGAGGAGCATCTTCTAGATTTAACGTGCAAGCAAAGCAAAACGAAACCACCTAATAACACGCACGCACGCACGGTTAGAACTTCAAAAAATGAAAGTTTTAAGATTTAATTTTAGCGTGCGTGTAAGAATAGAGCACGAATTACCATGCTTAGAGATGCAAATATGATGCTGAAACCTTTGCAGTCGAACGGAGCATTGCTGGATAGAAACCATGCTGAAATTGCAATTATACACAGAACAATAGTTAAATCAAGAGAAATTTGGTTTACATATATACTTATTTATTTTCTTGAAATGAACAAAGATGTATAGAAACGGTAACATATTTTTTTTTTTTTTTTTTTAAATCAAGAGAAATTCGGGACTCACTGGTTAGAGGACTCATTGCAAGTGGTGAAAGCAGACTTGCAATGGATTGTACACCAGCTACAAAACCTTGTGCTTTCCCCTGTTTCAAGAAGATCGGTATTTAAAATAAATGAAATAAAAAGAGAAAACCTTACGAAAGTTTGGGCTGTGAATCTAGACCTTAAATACGAAGAAAGCGTATTCAGAAAACTCGTAGTAGACTAACCTGATTGGCTGAGGTTGATCCCTTGGATATCACTGCATATGTCTGCCATTTATTCAAAATAATATAATGCGTAAGATGTATGAGAAATTGGATAAAAATGGAGCAATTAAATATGAAAACAGGGGAAAACAGAGTTTCAGAGTGGGATTACTTACGGAAGGTTTCACGAGTACGTAGATGACTCCAAAAGAAGCGCTCAAATAGGGCACCTGTGTTTAGCACCGATAATCGTTAATTTTACATATAATGCACATAACCTGAGTTTAACATGCAGTTTAGTGATTTATATACCCATGATGCCCAGGCCAACCCGTAAAACAGGCCCTGCAGATACATAAATTTTCGTCAGCACATTTCTCAATTTTTAGCAAGAAAAACTTGTCACGGACGTTATATAAAAAATAGTATTTTATGTTAGTAACTTACATATGCTATAGATGCGAGTAAGGCTGCACAGAGAATCAGTTTCTCTCCGATCAATGGATTGAGCAGAGGAAGCAACAGCATCTTCAAAAACATATGATTGAAAGGAGATTATTAGTCAGATAGAAATTGTATTTATTTATTAATATAAGAAAGAAAAATCGAGATTAGTCAGATAGAAATTTTCACTTTCGATCGCAAGTATTAATTTAAGTTTGGAATCATATCAGCAAGTACCTGAGAAAAAATCGAGCCTACTCCCACCATCATCAAGATTTCTGATAATTGATTTTTGTTAAAACCAAAAGCCGACTTCAAATAGTACTGCAGGATTATATAGAACAGTTAAAAGAGATACTGAAGTCGCATGCCAGCATGATTAACATTGCCAAAAATATATGCAGGAAATTTCATAATATATACAGATATCCAGGTTAAATGATGTCTCCCTAATGGAGAAGATAAGATATTATTTCGGACAAATTTAACGCATATAACCGATCTCAAAGAACTGATTGTATTCAGTTTTGGATAGCTATCTGACTGTAACAGAAAAAGGGAAAAAAAAACTACATATTTTAAAAGGAAAAATGTGCTAAAAAAATATCGATAAATGTCATTTATGCTTACTGTATTGTCAGAAACATACCAATAGAACACCGCTAATTCCAGACATGCCCAGTTCATAGAAGAAGGAAATGAGAGAAATGCGCTTAAGCGTTGAGCTGAGGCAAAGGATCAAAGATTATTTTCAAAGTAAAGGAAAAAAAAAGAGCTTCATAGCAGAAAAGAATCGGCTCTGAAAGATTATACACACGAACAAATATATTTACTGGAGTGCGTGAAAAAATTCTAAGACTTTACCTGCTAGTTACAACATATGCAGCATTCTTCATCGAGTAATATCGTTCTTTAACAATCTCAAACGGCTTCTTCAAGCAAGGGATATTCTGGGCCGGTGTCTGAGTTGGTCTTACTGTTTCTTTGAGAAATTTTGCCATGTAAACAGAACAAAAGATCAATAGAGCTATTGACACCTGAAATTCAACATTAAAAAAAAATGTAAAAAATAAAGTTAAAAAAAAATACGGATAAAATTGGAGGGCAAAAAAAAAAAAATTATGTATACCTCGAAAATGTAATATTCCGGAAGAAAACGTGCTAGAAGGTTCCCTACGACATGCGATGCAGAGAATAGTCCTGTGATCCAACTGAAGGCAGCAGCCCTGCGACTCTCATCAACAACGTCTGCCTAAAAAGGTGGTTAAAGAGTTAGCGAAAAATCGGTTTTCCGTTCAACAACATATGCACTAGTGATAATAGCAAAGAATGACTCACTGCATAAGCAACGGAAATGCAGAAAATGCTCCCTTGGCTTATGATATAAGAAACAGTTCTTATACCGTAATAAGCATATACAGATCCTTTTGATTGATTGATGGCAAGTAAAGCTGAAAACAAAAGGATTACTATATTAAGACAAAAAATATGCATTCGAACAAATACAAAAAAAAAAAAAAAATCAAAATTGAGGTAAACTGCGTGATCTGCACAAATAATGTTGTTACCATCTTTAGCGTAAGTAGTTTATATATTTATGACCTGTTAAAATGTGTATGTAAGAATAAGTTTATGCAGATAATAAAGATGTTCGAAGAAACATACTGAAAGGAAAAATAGTGGTTGATACAGTGAGAAGAAGCAACGGTTTACGCCCATATTCATCGGCCAGCTGACCTAAGAGTGGAAGAACTATCATCTTGAATATGCCAACGACCTACAAACACAGAATATAACTTATAATTCATTTTCAATTGTTGTCCTTGGCTTTTAATTGATATCTTGTAATTCAACATTGCGATAATATTCGGCTAAAGTCCGACGAAAAATCGTCGATCTTCACTCAAAGCAGAGTGAAGTGAAGTGAAACTTACATGGGAAAATTCAGTCAGAAAACAACAAAGGTGGCAAATAAATTCCTATGTAATGTGGTTCACCCAATTAATTGAATTTGTTAAGAACTACAGGTGGATTCAAAGTCAGCATCCTCCCAAAAAAAAATAAAAATCCAAAGACTATAGAATCATGATCAGGCACTCAAGATGCTATGAACATATTCAGGTTCAAGAAAAGTCAAACTTGGAGAATCCGAACTTTTCAGAGTCATTTGATCGAACAGATGGTGTGCATCTATCTATGTGCGTGTGAGATACAGAGTATAAAGAAAACTGACCGTTTGCTGGATGCCATTGATGTAGATGGCCTGAGGGCAGGTCAGCTGACCTGGACAAAGAGCATTTGTGGTGACGTCAACCAGCACAGAAACCGTCATCTCCTCCGCAATCCAGTGCACGCACAGAGGGAAGAGCAGGTGAACCAGCGGCCGGAGCTCTTTCATACTCTCCCACCACCACCCCGCCATCAAAATTCTTCAGAAAAAAGATTCCCAATTTTTTAGCTCTCTATCTCAGCTTCCCCAACTCTTGATCAATTATTATGAATTATCCATAAACTCATCTATCAGTGAGTGTCGCTCTCTGCGGAGAGAGGCATTTATTGAAATGGAGAAAAACCATGGGCTGGTACTTACGTAAACGGAATACCATCATCAGCGCAGGCATTGATGGCGATGTGGGGGCGGGCGGGGGGGGAGCGTGGCTAGCGCAAGAAAGGATTTTTGGAGAAATAATGAAGATTGAGGAGTTGTGCATCGCTGAGTTGTACCTTGTTCTGGGTTGATTGTACGATGGAATAGCCCACGGGGTGCAGGGGCTGGGGCACTGCGCTTTCGTGTGCCACACGTCGATGGGCGCGTGCAATATGTATGGCTTCCATGAGCCTTTAATTAATTAATTTAATTTTATTACTAATTTTCAACATTTAAAAATAGCAATCAAAGACTAAATTTACCTTGCATATCTACTTCCCAATACATATCTTTATCTAATTATTAAAGTCTTGATTATGACTTTGCATCGCATCACAATATATTCGTATTTTTTGTATAATTCATTTCCTTTGGAAATTTTATTTAACTTTTTCTTCTTTTTTTTTTTTTTTTTGTTTTTTGGTATTGGATCTTGCTAATAGACAATACTAAAGGGTCAAGTAGATTTTTTTTTTTAGTAATAAGGGGGTTTTATTATTATAGGCGAGAATTGAAATGAACAATTAGTACAAGGGCTTCTATAAACAATTTAGGATAAATTACGAAAATTCTTCTAAAGTTAGGTTAAATTACAAAAACACTTTCATCTATTAGTAATTATCAAAGTATTGTCAATGTTCATTTCCATCTTACACCCACCCCCTCAAGGTGTGGTTTTTTTTACGGGATCTTCTTGATGCCAAGGAATATTGTCCGAGAAATGCCGATTCTATCCCTTACAGACGTCACATTTCTTTATGTTACTTTTTAAAGGCAAAAATTTACCCTCAGGGAGCCTTGACACCGAATTTTTATTCTTCTTAAAAATAATATAAGGAAATGCAGGGGTAGAATTGGCATTTCTCAGGAAATATTTTCCGGAATAAAAAAAATCCGTGAAAAATACACCATGAGGGGGTCATTGTAAAATGGAAACAAATGTCGGGGGAGATTTTGATAATTACGGAATAGGTAGTGGCGTTTTTCATAATTTAAACTAAGTTCAGGGGGATTTTCGTAATTTGCCCACAATTGAGCACTAATTTTTAAATAAAAGTAAAAATACGATAACGACTTGCATGTTTATCAACACAATTAATAGTATGCAAAATCGGAAAAAAAAAAAAAAAAAAAAAAAAAAAAGTAACCAAAGAGAAAATTGAGGAAGTACATAAATTAAGGGTCCTGCAAATGTTTGAGCAGCAATCTGAAAGTTAAAACAAGAAAATAAATAAATAAATAAATAACTATATAATCATTTAAATTATTATACTGCAGCTTCAAAAAATAAAAACAACTTAAAAAAAAATCGCAGGATTAAGTGGAAATGTAGTTAGTTTAACCTGCAGAGATCCTTCAAAACTTGGGTGCTAATTATTCATGTGTTGCTCCACTTAGTGCTGGATCTTCATCTTCAGCATCAAATTCTTGTTCAACACCTTTGACCTCTGTCACATAATGCATTAGCATATTCTCAATCCCAGATTTCAGAGTGACCGACGAGCTAGGGCAACCGCTGCATGCCCCTTGCATTCTTAGTTTAACTATACCCGTCTCTATATCGAACCCCACGTACTCAATATCACCACCGTCATCTTGTACAGCTGGACGAATACGAGTCTCCAAAAGTTCTTTGATCATGGCTACAGTTTCCGAATCGTCTTCATGGATAGCTGTGTCCATCGAAGCTGCAGTTTCGGAATCCATTATCAATGGCTGCCCAGACGAATAGAAATCCATGATCGCTGCGAATATTTGAGGTTTCAGAAAATCCCATGAGGTTTCTTCCGATTTTGTCACGGTTATGAAATCTGACCCGAAGAACACCCTGGTAGCTCCTGCGATTATTGAGCACATATCTCAGGAAAGAAAGTGATTGCAAATGTATCATATGATACAGTAGCTTAAACAAATAGTACCATAAAACTGCAATTGGTACGACATTCTTGCAACATACTCATGAAACTGGAAAAAAAACAATTGCATAAGCATGCAAAGACGAGAACAATCACATGAAAAATGATGAAATTATGCCATGCGCGGCTCATGCTGGAACCAAGTTGCCATCTGAAGGGGAAACTCCAGCTTCGCATCCATTTTTTTAAAATGCATTTAATGGCCAAGTTCTCTAACATAATCATCGTTATTATTTACACCAAACCAACTTATTTCGTACTGATCGATCAGCGGGTATATGCCTGGAAGCAGAATATACAACTGTACTCAACTAGATGATTTTTCACTCTCCAATTTTTTACAACATGACCGAGTCATTAGAGCAGAATTTACCTACACTCATGCTGCCATCTGCATACTAAGATAAAGTGACATTTTTGGAGGTGAAGCGCTGATTTCAATCATTTCCTCCGTTACGGAATTAAAAAAAGGAATCGTTAAAGGCGGATAAATCGATACATGTTGGTAAAAACGAAGATTAGCCAAATTGTGAACAGTCTCTCAAATACCCTACTAAATTGATACTTACAACAAACTCACGTAAAATCTCTGAGAAGGCATCTTCATATAATTCTCAGAACCTCCCATAAGTTTCACATTAATAACTTCTAATGAGATTTCAACATCACCAACCATTAGATCTCCTTAGGCATCGTTTGGTTGCCACAATAAGATTAACCAAGAGATTAAATAATCAAATGAAACCCAATTGTATTATTTGACCTTGAAATGTCCAATAAAAAACATGCCTAGAAGGCAAGATAAGCCATGATAACATAATATTTGTGGATCGACCCGGCAAGTTATTGGGATACCAAACATCAAACAAAGTCCAACTATTTAGTTAATAATGCTAATCTCCCCAACCAAACGAGGCCTTAAAGGATACCTACTCTTTCTTACTTTTCCTAATATAGTAATCCACATGTCAGAAGTATGTGCTTTATCTAGGTTTTTTTTCCCTCTGGTTAAGATCTTTGGAAGCTTATTTGCAGAACATACCAAAATAAATAGACAATGAAAATTATATTTGAAATCCAACACGGGAAGTTAAAATCAAGAGTTCTTGCCCAAATTCAATGCTCTTAGCAATTAAACAGCACACAAGCACCCGTGCTGGCACCACATCTACTTATAGCAGCCATGCTGCAAGCACGAATTGCACTTATCGAATCGAACAATAATTTAGATGTTTTCAAAGAGTAATAGCCTATTTGCAAGTAAAATGAGTTTCATGGCAACGAATCGACACAATACATAAAAATTACAGAAAATCAATTCAAAAATTAACAGAAAAAAGACATAAAGCTAGGTTTAAAAAAATCAATAATATCTAATTCACTAAGAATGCATACCATCAATTCCGAACAGAGTCTTTGCAAGCGGCGAACTCATAGCAGAACGTGCGTTAGGAAAGTCCGCAGTACCGGTTTCCAAGACTGGTTTTCCAGGGTAGAACATGAGAGAAGCAGGATTAGGAGTTGACTGTGTTTGGATAAACATGCTCCTTCTCTGCCCTGTTCATCAATACAAAAGCAGTAAGCTCTATCCACATACAAATTGAAGAAAAAAAACATATAATTTAAGCAAAAAACAAAAGGTAAATAGATAACCTACAGGCGATGAATAATCAGAAATTAAAGTTCAGAGAATTCGTCTGAGAAATTCTACGATTGAACAACGCAGCTGTGAAATTAAAACGCTGAGCATACCTTTCATATGATTCCATTGAGATAAGCGTAGAGAATTCTTCAACGAGGTTGAATCTGAACAGCCACCGGACGGAGATGAATAAGAGAAGAGAAGCCGACGAGATACGTATATACCCCTAGCGGAGTTGTGTGAATTGAAGGGTTTTGGTAGTGATTCGCCGGAGTTACTGCTCTGTAGAACAGCTCGGCGCACCAATCTTCCGAAACCTCTCATCGCTGATCAATCCCCCTTTTTGCTCTCTCCTTCGCCAGATTTTTCACGGCGGAGGTGGTTTTGTATAGCGGTGAATAGCCAAACTGGATAAATACCACCGGCGGTCACTGTAAAAAAAAAATTAATTGCAATTTATATAAACATTTCTTATTGTTATTATCTTGTCAATTAAAATTGGACTGGATTTTCCATTCTAATTAGTACTATCATATCATTTGTGTAATGCTAACTATTTTCTCTTTATTTTGCGACAAAGGCTTGAATCAGAAATTTTGTACGTGTCAAATACTGAACCAAAAATTTGGTTCGATATTCAGTAAATATTTTTTGGAATTCCGTTTTTCGGCACTGTATATGGTATTGATGCCCGGTGGTATATTGTATTGTACCGAATACCGAAATTTTTAATAAACATTTGTTTTTTTTCTTTTATTTTAAATTAAATTATAAAATACTTTTAGATGGATAAAATTTTCAATTATTTAAAAATTAACCTCTATTGATAATCACTTTTTGTTATCAGGGCCGACCGGCCGATTAATGAAATTTTTATGTCAATTTTTTTTTTTGAGTAAATTCAAGTCTATTACAAAGGGAAGTAGGGGAGGGGGGCTCGAACCCTAGACCTTTACCCTATTGGTAAAAGCTAGGTACCAACTCTCCTAATGAGAGTTGGTAAATTTTAATGTCAACTTCAAGAATTAGTTTGTTTAGATATATATATCTTTTACATTTTTTTTTAATTATTAAAATATAATTTCGGTTTTACTGGTACGAACCGGAAAAATTGAATTAATTCGATAAAAATACTGTACCTAATCAAATTGTTCGGCACGGTAAACAGTACAAATGTCCCGTGTTCTATTATTTTCAATTACAAGTTATCGAAATTTCAATTTACGAAAATTCCGGAGTACAAACGGTATTACAGGCTCACATTATGTTTTTGGTATTGTGTTAAAACCTAAGTTGGCCCATGAAATTATTATTCTTTTGGCCCAATGTAATATATGATGAATGTATCTTTATTTAATTTTATTTATTTATTTGTTATAAGTTTGTCCAAGAAATTTAAATTAAATATATTTATGATAAAGTAATAAATAAATCAGATAATAAAATAAATAGACGTGTCAGAGAAAAAAAAAATCGAATAAATTAGACATTCTATTTATCCCAATTACCAAGTTAAACAGCGGAGATTCCATTCACGAAGAAACGCATCGCATCAGAAATCACGTGGCATGCACGTGGCAACCCACCGTATTCCCGAAGCAAAGGCAAAAAGGCAATACGGGCACAGACAACAAAGAAGAAAAAAAAGAAAACGTAAAAACAGTCGTCAAACCCTATCTTCTTCTTCTCTCTCTCTTATTTCCCCCTCTTGAAACCCTAATCGGAACATCTGATTCTCTCTCGATTCAGCAGACGAATTGAGATGAATTTCTGCGGATTTCTCGAATCGGAGCACCACGTCATCTCGAGCTTCAGCTGGATTTGATGATTTGCTGTTCACAGAACCAAGCCCTGAGTACTCGCTGCGTCTTAATCGCGTAAGATTATTCGTCGAAGCGTTTATGGAGGGCTCTTCGACGGCGTCTTTGGCCGCGGCGGAGGACGGTCCCGAGTCCTGGGAGGTTGCTGATGTGGACGCCAGCATGCGCCGCCTCATGCTTTCCACCAGAACGGATTCTAATGTTAGTTCTAATAAGCAGGGTGAGATAGATTTGGGCTCTGCTTCGGATTTGGACGCGGATTCGGGTATGCCGGACGATCTGATTAGCACAGTGGATCAGTTTTTGCGGGAAGCTATACAAAATCCTCGCGAGCGCCTTTCTGGTAAGTTTTATTTGGAGTTATTTTTTCGTCATCTGTTTTCTGCCTTTCAAAATTTACTAGTTGTTTTGTTTGTAGAAGGGCTGTGAATTTAGCATCACATTAACTCTTAATACTGTATAGTAATGATTTTACATGTCTATTCAGTCTTGCGAATGGAGCAGGACGTGGAGAAGTTCATTCAGGATCCTACTAGGGAGCAGATGGAATTCCAGCAGCTGCCAACATCTTACTTGCGCTTGGCTGCACATCGTGTTGCACAGCACTACTCACTGCAATCTATGGTTTTATTGGATAATAACCTGCCCGATGGGTCTGGTTCCAGAATCATTGTACGGAAGGCTTCTCATATCCGGCTTCCTTTGGTTCGTCTTGCTGACATTCCTGTAACTTTACCTACTGAAAGCAGTGGTGCTGTCAAGGTTGCAATCAAGCAGAGACCACAGAAAGGGTCCCTGAATAACAGCAATTCAGATATGCATTCTGGAAAATCAAATAGTTCCAAAAGTGTGGAGGAAAGGAAGGAGGAATACAATAGGGCTCGAGCAAGGATATTTAGTTCCAACAGTTCTAGTGGGAGTTTTAGTGGGAAACAAGATAACGATCCCAGGGTTCAGGATAGTTTCCAGCATGGGTCATCAGGAATAACGAAGCCAGACGAGAGAATTTTTCCTAGTGGTGGACCTGATATGATTATTGGCAGAAGTTTGTCCGACTCTGCTACATCTAGCAGTAGATTATCCAGAGCTAGGCCAGAAAAGGAGCCCATTGGGAGGCCGAAGACGAATAATAGGGTAGCTATCTTTCGGGACCGTGAAATTGACCGAAAAGATCCCGACTACAACAGGAACTATGACAGGTGTACTTTACGCTCTTCCCCTCGTTCAATTCTGTGTCTTTCTTTCCTTCATTTAGTTCCAGATCAGGATTGTATATAATCTTTGTAACGAGTATAATTGATGGGTTCCCCCCTGGCACATGTGATCTTCTGCATCTTCTATTCCTACTGTTAGCAAATATTCTATATTTTGTTGTACTTCTATATGGATTTGTTTCAGTATTGACGTAAATTTTATCAGAGAGGTTAGTACTATTTTTATCTGCCCATCAGCTTATACGGGTCTTGATGCATTGACAATTGTTGTGTGCAAATCTTCACTTTGTAACTCTGCATGATTCATTTTTTGGAAGCGTCCAGTCTTGGTTGATGGAGTAGCTTGAATTGATTGGAAATTCTCTGCTGATCATCATGACACCTGGAAGTAATATTTTTATTATTTTTCTCAGGTACATGCAGAGGTTTGATCCTGGCTTTGGATTTAGTGGAGGTCCATATCCTATCCAGCCTATGTATGCACCTGCAATTAACTACAACACTGAGTTTCCACAGCTTGGATCTAGTCATATGCCCTCAATACCGTCCGAACATCAACCTCGGCCTCTTCCCCAACACCTGCCGGGGCAATGGGTTGCTCCATCTGGTCCTGGTGGTATTGGGTATGGTCCTGCTGAGACCATGCTGTCTCCATATAGCTCTGGTCATGTCAATGCACATATGAACTCTGGTCTGTACTTACACTCTACACAATATCCTTGTCAACGATCAGGACTGCCATATATCCATCCTCTTGAACAAATTCATCAGCCCTTTTCACAGGTATGCCATGCAATATGTTTTCTCTGCTCTCATGGTCCAATATATTGCAACCAATAAACGAGTATATTACCTGTTATACGAAAATATCGCTTCTTCTTTTTAATAAGTGGTCAGACAAAGTAAATTATCTGAAGTCATAAACCAAACTTGAGTGATAAACTTTTGTAGTTCATATTGTTCCTGTTTCAAAATATTTAATGTCAAACACAAAAGCCTGCGAGTTGAACGTCCCCATCATGTATAACTAGTGGCGTTATTTGATGACTTCAGCAAAATTCAAGAATATAGTGGGGATGAAAACACTAGTTTACTAGGATTAATTGGTCCATATGCTTACGTGAATCCTTGTTGTAGAGATTTTCCAGGGTCTTCTAATGGAAAATTAATTTTATTACATGTTTGAAAATTAAAAGTAGTTTCCTTTTGATGTTTTGTGTTTACTATAACAGGGTAGATAAATAGGTCGTAAGTTGTTATATTCTGGAACTGATAAACCAAATATATGGATTTTGTTTTATTCTGCATCCATTGCGAGCTGCATTTATCCCTTCATGAAATAATGGCTTTACGGTAACTATTTGTTTGGAAGCTGCCTGAGATAAGAACTATAGAATGACAAAACGTTGACATGAATAACAAAGCAATGAAGTGAGCAAATTTCTGTCAACAATCATATTTATTCATCTCTCTTCCTCCAAATTTACTAAAAAAACTTGTCTCCTTTTCATTTTTGGCTGTCCTTTTAAAAGAAATATTGATCCGAATATCTATGGCCATTAAGATGGAAGTCTGGCAATGCACTTCAAATCGCATTAATGCCACAGGAGGACTCTGGGTATTGAACAATGTTTACTATCAGCGCTGGTGGTAGTTGCACTTCACAAAATTAATTTTATTATAAGATCGAAATTTTCTGTTATTGGGTGGTTTAACTATGATTAGCATAGAATTTGATGCCAACATTTCATTAAAAGCCACAAGTGAAGACCTGAACGTGTGGATTAGCTACCTTATGATGTTCCTTCTCTCTCTCTCTCTGCAAGTAATAACGTGATATGTACTACTCTTTTCTGTGATTGCATATTCCGATGCCACAACAAGGATAACCACTGTTCTCCTTGGTCTATTTTGACCAACAATCATAACGTCTTCTCTCCCTTTCCTCCTGTGTCTATCTGTATACTCTCTCAATCTTTATGAAGATAATTGAGCAATAAATTCTTTGGTTATTTTATCTACTTACCAAAGAACTAGATAGTTATGTCCTGTTTATTGCCAAAGAACTTACGTCACTGTAAGTTTATGCTGCAGACCCAACTGGCTCTAATATGAGATGTCATGGATCAGTTTTACAAGGTGGTTTAGTTGTCGAGGCTTATGCAACTGATGAGCTCTTTGTATAGCACATTAGATACACCAAGAGTACAGGGCAATATAAAGATTGCAAGGTCGGGAGAGTTTTTGAACTCTAGGATTTGATGATTGTAGAGCTTCAATTTGGTTATAACATGCTGCGATTTTTAAAATCATCCTCTCTCAGCTGAGAACAAGAGTTATGCAGTAATATATTGCCCAGAATTTGTCAGATCATGTGGTTGAGTATGCTCTTTCATTTGCATATCTCTTACTGTTGCTATTATATGGTTCATGATAGATGTGCACTATTTTTTTTTGTGGGGTTAACTTGAGAACTCTCTAGGTTTAGTACCCTCACCCCCCTGGACATGTACCAACTTTTGATGCAGATAACGACCATGGGGCAGTGAAATGATTCTGAAAAAAGTAAATTAAAAATTTATGATTTCTGTTACTGGTTCAATTACACTGCCATTGTTGTAGGACAAGCAAAAAGAAAGACTTGATCTCTTTTGTGTTTGTGTATTTTATATTCCAGTCACGCTATTGTTTTTAACTTCTATTTGCTATCTGCCCTATCTGATTTTCCCTTCTATTTTCAGTCTCATCAGCAACAACCTGACCCGAATTTTGGATTAGCCCGGCCCCGATGAGGGGCTTGGGCGATGCCTGCACCCTGGTGGTCAATACTGGGCTTGGTTCGATGGAAGCTACTGCTAGGGCAGCATATTTGGCTCCAACTGACTAGGGTGCAGGCATAACGAACGGACTGGGATATGTGCTGAGTGGTCGTGCACACACACACGCTCTGCTGCTGCTTGCGGGGTCCATTCAGCCAATCTCAGTTCGATATACAGCTCCGTTTCTGGACGGAGCTTGTTGACAGTGGCAACTGCAAAAGATGAATTGAGCGAGTTCCCTAGAGCTCTGCTTTGTCACTGTTTGTGATAAACGATGATGATGAAAATCGACAGGGAGAGGAAAAATGTCGGAGCTTTAAACTCGTGTTGCAGTTTAGGCACAGGTATTTCAACACATTATCTACCTTGATTGTCTGTGTTTTTATGGGGTATGAGCTCGTGAAGCTTATGGTTCTTTTTTTTAGCCTTGCAGCACCAGTGCACATGGTGGCGCATGATGAATGAGAGTGATGCCGTTTGCGTGGGCTTCTCGTCGTGGGTACTTTTGGCTGTAAGCCTATCGACTGCAACTTGTTTTGAGCTCTGATTACTTTTTGTATTGTGCTTCTAGTGTAAGTGTTGCTTAAAAAATACATTGAACTTTATCAAAAAAAGTTTATTAGTTAAAACGTAACTTAATCCTCGTTACTTTATTTCTGTGGATTCTGTTGTGTGTGCTTGAATGAAATATAACAATGCTAATTTTGTTAAAAAAGGTAGAGGTTATTCTGCATTAATAGTTTAGCTGTTGGAAAGTTTTGTTGCTGTTAAATTTCCTGAACTTTTGAAAATCACAGTTGGGAGTTGGAACCAATTGAAAGTTTAGGAAATTGGAAATCCATTACGATATCGGAATTTTTGGAACTTATTTCGACTGATGTTGCTAATGTTTTTGAAATAAAATTACTTCCAATATGTTTAAATATCATTGACCTACTCCAACCATATATAATTTTAGAGTTGCTCAATTCTTTTCATAAACTATCCTATGTGTCGATTGGCAAGACGCATGAAATTTTAGGAGACGAAACGAGACAATTGGATCATTTCCATCAAATTTGTAATGCCGAACTTTGAAAGATGATTAATTAATATTTGAAATGGGGTCTATAACGAATTATCTTATAAATTTAGCAAATTATAAATTTACACGTTAACTATTATTTATAAATTTAGGCGAACTATTATTTTAACACCTTCCCAAGTTGGTACCGACCTATGAATTTAGGGGAACTATTATTTTGTCGGTACCGTCCTATGAATTTTGGCGAACTATTATTTTAACACGTCGTTCCCAAGTAGGTACCGACCTAAAATATTATTTAAGCGATTGTGTAGTTCAAAATTAAAAGTCCCAAGTTTTCACTAGGGAAATAAATACGCATCCATCCATTCCATCCCATATGGAATACAAGCAAAAGCATGCAAAAAGAGCGTGATGCCAAGTAACAACCATCCTTCATCTCTCACCTTGGAAACACATGTTTTTTATGACCAAAATTGTCTCACTAAAAAAATCTTCCAATGTACACTAACATTCCAACTGCTCCCTGTCTTGTTCCCCATCTTTTCACACTTTTTTACACACCCAATTCCCACGAGACATATATCTCCTAAACAACAACTCTATGTTTTGTGCATGCTTGCTTACATATGTCATTTATCATGAGCAAAGTGACAGAATTATGGCTTTACAGATAGGTTCCTATTTGCTGCTTTATCATCACATTTGCTCTTCCTCTGTGCTTCTTGATAAGAGCTGCTCATTTCAGACAATATAAATAGTTGCTTCTTATTCTCGTATTACTCACTACACATCCACAACTTTCCCTTGTTCTTGGGTCTCAATCGTCTCGAGTTTCGCATCTTTGCTCTAACAGGTAGTTTTACACACACACACACAAACACTCACACTCGCACACGCACTCACTGTTTGATATGCCTTTTTTGTGTTGATTTGCAGACCAGTGAAAAAGTTTGGGAAATGGAGAAGCAAAACTCGGAGCTGTTCCTGGAGAACTGCGAAATGATGCGTGAAAACGAGAGGTTGCGTAAGAAAGCTGAACAGCTCAACAAGGAGAACCAGGCCTTGCTTTCCGAGTTGAAGCAGAAGCTTCTAGAAGCAACTACCAAACAAATATCCGAACTCCAACTCAAAGCTAGCTCCACAAGTTCAGGAACAGCCAACAAGAAGAGCAATAAAGCTCGCCCTCAGAAACACAACTAGTGAACAAGTTTTCAGAGAACTATTTGGCGAAATGTTCCATCATTTATGTGAAACTCTTATGAGCTGATCAATGTTTTTTTTTCTCGTTCTAGTCTATCTTGTTATTCATCGTATCCATCTGCATCCAGTAATTCCGGTTTCTGCAGTTTTACAGAAACAGAATAAAGTTGAATTTAGAAACTTATGCCCAACAGAAACCAAGCACTCTTTTATCGTGCGAGCGCGCACACACACGCACACATATATGTCTTTATTATTATTCTCCTCCCTCTAGCCCCACTTCTACTGCAGCAAAAATAATCACGGGAAGAGAGAAAAGAAACCAAAGAATGGAGTGGGGATCTAATGACTTGATAAAATCTTTCTTCATCAAGAAGCTAGAAATCCACTCTCAGCTTTTTGTCGATACTTGAGAATGTTCTATAAAATGCCATGAAGTGCTTGTAAGCAATGTCAATATCCTCTTTTCCGCAGATTTCCCTCACACTGCAAATAGAGAAAGCAAATGAAATGTAGATGAATAGATTTTATAGAGATACAAAACAAATTTCCAGGACACAGATGTAGAAGCATTTGATTAAATGGCTTCCTTTTTTTCCCAGAATGCAACAGTTTTGCTATCACTTTACATCTAATGTCTTTAACATCGTTGTGACACATGTACTTAACCTTAAATGCTTACCTGTGCATGGACAGTTGAGGTATGCCACAATCCACTGTACGAATTCCAACTCCTGCAGCCAGTATGGGACCAATAGTGGATCCACATCCCATATCGTTTCTCACAACGAATTCCTGCAAAAAAAAAAAAAAATAATACGTTGCATAACGACAATGTTTGGATAATGACAATACTAGATATCTATTAACCTGAAAAATATACAGCTCAGTTATACCAACAGTACCCACTACTCCGCCATCTATTATTTTATTTCTTAATTTTGAGAAGCCAACTTTTAAGGTATAGTCGTTACAATGGCATTTAGAAAGGCTAATATAGTTATGTTGCAAAAGGATCATTAAAGAAACTACTAGCTTACGTAGTGGACAAAAGCATCAGAGCATGGCAGGTGCATTCAGAAGCAGTAGACAAGAAGCAAATTACTTTCCCATTGACAGAAGAATAGCCGGGTTACTGAGGACATGTCTCATTCAGTAGACAGAAAATCTATAACATTCTTCAATTTGTCCTTATTTAGTAGCATTAACTTAGGCAAATTAAATTTACCTGAATGGGAAGATTATGAAGTTTAGCAACTTCCTTGAAAAGGAAAGATGTAATTCCACTTGTAGCATAACGTTGGTTTGCATTGTGCTTTATGACAAGCCCCTTTTGCAACAGTGGTCGATGATTTTCTTCATGCTTATCTATAAAATTGGGGTGGACTCCATGAGCCATGTCCGCAGACACTGCAAAAGTGGTCAAATATAGAGCCAACTGAAGATTAGCATAAGATGTGTTAGACAGGAGATATGATAGTACGATGAACAAAATCATTTCTCTATCCTACATTCCTACTTTCTTTCTTGGACTAATAGCAAAGAGATAATTGTTGTCACTTGTCAGATTACGACTAGCCACTCAAGCTACATATCAACTAGTGAACATTTGCGTTGAACCATATGACCCAAAAATGACTACTTCTAAAATTAGTTGAAAATGGAAAAATCAACATAATAACAGCAACCATATATTTGATAGGGCGGTCATGTGCACAGGTTAGTCTCCCCTCTATACAAGGTTGTCTAAATGAACTTGTTAAAAGTGGACCTTTTGACGAGTTTATCCTTCATAACGGCACAACATTTCCTCTTTTTATCAGGAAAACCTAGCTTGCTCGAAAAAAAGAAAAACTAGATACCAAGTTCTAGCAACTCAATTTTGATTAAAAAAAAGTAAAAAATTGACAGATAGTACATGGATTTGTGAGAAAAGAGATGTATGATCTTGCCACATAAAGCTTAGCATACCAAGAAAAGAGTGACGAATTGCACGGGCAAAGCCACATTCCCCAACAGGCGGTTCACCTAAACAAGCAATTATCCGTCTCATGGCCTCAAACATAGTTGGCGCACCTGCCCCTTGGTATGAATCTGAACCAACCTGTAACAACATGACGTGGATTTAGAAAAAAAGCAGGGTTCTGACCATCAGGAACAATGTGCAGGTTGTATGGCATGCTTAAGATAATTTTCACAAGTTGAACCTACTCATCCAAAACCATAACAAATAATTACCATCTTCTAACTTCATCACATCTCTTATCTCTGTATTGAGTTTTCTGTAGAGATATGTTTCGAATTCATCGGTCCATGTGTAACAAAATACCATTTAACATCAACAGAATTACGAGCTTTCCATTGCCCTTGATTAAGTAAGAAACAGGTCACATAGCTTAGAGTTTGATGTTATTCTATTATCAATGAAACTGCTGACAAACATCAATAGTCATTATAGTCCTTCAAATGAGAAGGCGGCATGAGAATCCGAATGATCCAGCTATGCTTAAACTCCCTAGGCTCAACGTGCAACTTAACGAAATGATTCTGCATGAAGATCAAAATTTTGCAGTGAACTGCAATTTACCTCCTCATTATCAAATAAAGCAACCATTCGAATTGAATGCTCATTTTCTAAATCTTCAGGTGAGGCACAGGAATCGATAAGGCCTCTTAGTGCACAAAAACTTGAAGCCAGATTATCCAATCTTCCAGAAAATATGAACTCATCATTAGCACCTCCAAGACAGCTGGGTTGAGTATCACAGACGTTCAATTCGATGCTGACAATATCTTGAACTTTACAACATAGCTCATCCGACAAGATCTGAAAAATGAAATGTATATGGTGCAATATGCCTTAGATGACCTTGTTATATATCCATACTTATACTACATGACATGATATAACAGCAAAAGTGACTTTGCTCTCAACTAACCATGTTTTATGTAGAGAATATTGATTAGAAGAAGAAACATCAAACTTTTATGTCTATGATAGTGTTTTAGCATAGAGTCCAAGTGTTAACACGGACAAGTAGTTAGGTGGATTAGGAGTTTTGTGAGAACATAGTAGAGGAATGTAATTTCATATTACACTTCAACATTGAAACTATCAATCTCAATAATATAATCAAAATAGTGTGACATGTTGAAATAAAATCCTTTATCGTCATACTTTTTTAAACAAAAACAATGATTCTTAGATCCAAAATGTTCTGTCAGCACAATTGAGAGAATATACTTCTTGATTATCCATTTAGAGTCCATATATTCAAAGCTGAAACTACAACTATATTGTATACTGAAAATCACAAAATTCTCACACGCGGAACAAAGTGGAGATACGCAAATACATCATCTAGTTATTTAGGCAATCCGATGAAGTTTCAGGAGAAGATGCCCAACAAAATGAGTTATACGCTGAGTTTACACAGAAGTAAGTTCCTTTTGTAATTTTTTTTCTTCTTTTAAAATCACAATTTTATTTACAATTTTTGTCTACATTTAACCGTAGCCTCACTGAAACTTTTCAAGTCATCCAGATATAATGTAACAGAAGAATGCGATCAGAGAAATACCTTCATGAGCAGTTGGTGATGAGCATCTTTTAAATGTGATGAACTAATTTTATCATCAAGCTCAGGAGCTGTTTTGTCAGCTTGGATTGCCAACAGAGGGATAAGCTGAGTCTCAAGGTTAGGCTTAAATCCATCTGTATTTACCGTCCTAAAAATCAATAAGCAAACATAAAAGTCACAAACATCAGTAGTGCTCGGACTCGATTAAGACAAGGATCTCTAACATAGTTGTTCATTCTGCGGCATAGCATATAAGAAACATAGGCAATATAAATAGATATTATGTAGGAAGTGGAATGTTGTGTTGGGGGGGAGGGTTGTGCAACCGACCTGTCGAGATGAATAGCAAGTGTAGGAACTCGCAATAAGGGTCTCTTTATCTTGACTAGCTTATGTGAAAAGGAACCATCATCAGCTCTAACAATAACCCTTCCAGCCAGACTTAAGTCTCTGTCAAACCATGTGTGCCATAAACCACCACCATAAGTCTGTACATTGACCATAAGATAGCCGGATTTGGATGATGCGGACTTTGGCTTCAGTTTAAGACATGGGCTATCTGTATGTGCAGCAATCACATGAAAACCGTTGCCAATTGAATACCTGCAACACTATTGCAGGGTTTTCATTAACCAATATCATAGGAAAAATAGGAAAACAAATAGTTTTAATGTCTTACGCCACAAACCAAATACCATTAATTAAATTGATGAAAACGATACAAGAAGAAATGGGAATTCAAGGAAATCATGTGGAGTAACTAGAAACATATCTTTTAAAAATTAACAGGACAATTTCTTTTACAAGATTCACAGCATAAGACACGACGATAAATTTTAGTAATCTATAAGACGCGTTTTACTCACTTTTCTCCAATGGCAAAGGCAACTAAAGAAGACATGTTCCGCGTGAAAAAATAGCGACCACCAGGCTTCAGTTTCCATTCTTCATTCTCATTCAGCAAATGAAATCCAGCAGCCACTAGTTGCCGTTTTGCTTCAGCTAACAAAATGAGATTAACAATGGTTTATATATTTTAAATGGAATAAACTAAATTACTCTACTGATTTGTTTCCTTTCCGTAGATTAGGTTCAACTGCATGTGCTCTCAGCCTCTCACTACACATAATGGCATACAAATGTAAGCTAATCCACCATAATTTGCCAACACCTCTTTGTTAGTTTCAAAATATTGTTGAGATTCCAAACATAAACAAAGTACACTTTAATCATGTGACAGGATTATAAAGGTCTGATTTATTCTCTGTGTTGCAAATATAATCTATCCTAGATATCACGCCAGGAGATTAAGAACATAAATCCAGTGAGTCGTTATTTTTCATTTCTAGACTCCCATGGATTAATATCGACAAACATATGATTTTTGTTGCGTGAAATTTAGAACAAAGCGAAGACACTTTATTGACAAACTCATAGCCACTAACTTCAGTTGTATGTCAGCAGCACCGATCTGTTCGATCCTAATTTTTTTTTATCATATCAACACCGCACAAAATATTTCCTCATCTTCCTCAAATGCAGGCATTTGCAAAAAATATGTGGCAATTAATTGAAAAACTAAACAAAAATCTTAGAAAAACATGCATAATTTGACAGGAAACAAAAAAAACTAATTCGGTACCAGTAGCATGGAACTGAGTCCAGGACTCATTGAGGTAGTCCAGAAGATCGCCAACTATTGACATGCTCGATTGAGTACTTGAAATGCCGCCCTGCAATCGCTATTTAAACTGTTAAAATTCAAATATATACGTTTCAGTAACCTAATCGAAGGTTAGAAATGATACAGATGCAGAAACCTCTGAATTGGAACGTAGTGGTGGAGTGGTGGAGAGCTTACGGCGGCCGCCGCCGCCGCCGCCGCCGATGTTGTGGCGGAGATTGCTGTTGTCATTGGCGCGGGTGGTGAAGAAAGGTGAGGCGAGAGGATAATTGTACAGTATTGCTGATGGTTTGAGAAGCGGAGATGGTTGGAAAAGATGAAACCGGCCGATGGACGCCATTCTTCCTAAAGCTCAACTGAGGGTGAAGAAATCTGAAAGATATATACTACATTAATTTTCGAAAAATGAATTATTTTGATTTTAATTACCTTTTTTATTTGATTTATTATAATTTTATGGGTAAATTACAACCAACCCCCTGGTATAGTCAATCTACTAAAAAACTCCTCTTATTTGGATAATTACATCTACCCATCAACTATGATTTTTTTCTTACACCTCCACCCTTATGGTGTCAAATTCAACATAATCATCTGGATTTCGTGGAATGTGCTCTAGTTTGTACTCGTTTTTGTGTAAAAATATAGTTTCTGATGCATCACAATTTGATATATACAAGTCAAAAAACACATATTATGATCATCTTGCTTCAAAACGTAGAGTTCGAATGGGATAAAACGGGTACAAAAGTGATAATATTCCATATAATATCTAGAAGATTCCACTAAATTTTATAGTTGAGGGGTGGTTGTAATTAGCCAAACAGAAGGGGGATTTTTGTAATTTGAGCATACCTAGGGAGGTGGTTGTAATTTACCCTAATTTTATTAAGTTTAGAGTTAAATTGATTTTAGACCCTAATATTCCGTTCTATTTAGATTTTACACCCCTACCCTTTAAATTAATTTTCTCAGAGAAGAACACACGAGAAATCAAGCAAAAGAAAAAAAAAAAAAAAAAAAAAACCTCTAACCAGATCTCTCCTACGATCGATCCATGGCGAAGGAATTCAACGTGCCGCCGGTGATTTTCCCGTCCGGCGGTAATCCCGCGGCGCCTGCATCCGGTCCGCAGCAACGGCGTCTCCCCACCGCACCCTTCCAGCCACCGAGATCCTCAAACCCCGGCCTCCCTTTCCTCTCATTCGACATCAGCTCCGCCGCCGCGTCCACCTCTTTCTCCGCCGCCCCTCAGTTTCCGTCCAACATCGGTGGCGGCGGAATAGGAGGCGTCGGGTTCGACGACGAGCCGCCGCTCCTCGAAGAACTCGGCATAAACACCAAGCAAATCTACCAGAAAACCCTCTCAATCCTCAACCCTTTCAGAATCAACCACCACCTCCACGAAGACGCCGATCTGTCCGGACCGTTCATCTTCCTAATGGCGTTCGGACTGTTTCAGCTCCTCGCCGGAAAACTGCACTTCGGAATCATCCTCGGGTGGGTGACGATGGCGTCGATGTTTCTCTACGTCATCTTCAATATGCTCGCCGGCAAAAACGGGAATTTGGATATGTACAAGTGTCTCAGCCTGATTGGCTACTGTATGTTGCCGATCGTGATGCTGTCCGCGCTCTCTCTCTTCGTGCCGCAAGGCGGAATGGTGATTATGGTGATAACGGGGCTTTTCGTAATCTGGTCCACACGCGTCTGCACGGGATTGGTCGTGGAGCTGGCTAACTGCGGGGACGAGCATCGCGGACTAATCGCGTACGCTTGCTTCTTGATTTACATGCTTTTTTCGCTGCTTGTGATTTTCTAGCTCGAAAATACATTTCACGAGATCGAATCGTACAATTTGATTAGCTTTCATACCTTAGTTTGGATGTTTTTTGTCTTTCTTTTTACTTTCTAGTAAGGGTTTTCGGTGAATAGAAATATAATCAGAACTTTTTATATGGTGTTGATGCAATTGATTATGGAATCAAGAGCTTATTGATTGTGTGGTGGATGAATCATGGTTGGAACGTAATTCAAAGGAGTTCGGATTTTTTTTATTTTTATTTTTAATTTGGAGTAAGCGTGCACTATCTTATATTGGTTGTCGAATTAGCAGTCGGAGTGCTTTTGTCGTGTTGACGTAGCATTTGACGATTTTCTATTTAGCATTTGTCTTGTTTGGGATAACAATCTTGCATTGCATTTTCTATGCTTCTGGATTGAGTTGGGGAAGTAATGTTTAGTCCTTAGATTGTTTGCAATGAAAGTATTGCACGTCGTTTGTTGATGAATTTATGCATTAGGGTCAAACTTACACTTTACGTGTTTTGTGTTCTTTATGTACTCCTATATTTCTTCTTTTATAGTGGTCTTGAATCTTGATATATGGCTTGCAGGTAAGGCATCTTACATTTGTCCCGTGTTTTTTAAGTTCCGTTTTTTTAGCTTCTTGAGTTTTCCAATTACTTGAAAATCACTCACTGTGTTGTATCCTAGAAGTTTCGCAAATATCAGACTATTCTAAGCGACAGATAAACTCTCCTAAAATTAGCCACCACTTGATTGGTTTTTTTTACCCAGTCGTTCAACGCATTTCGAGTACACACACTCTAAATTCTACCAATATTTGTATTCTATTAACACATTACAAAAATAGTTACAGAGAGCAGGGCGCTCTAGAGAGAGACTTCCACTCGTATTTTATGACACGCATTGCGCTTCTCTCACATGTCACAACTCTTGGACTGCTTAAGGTCATGTGTATAGCATAGTTCGAGTAAATTATTTACGTGTTTGTCTTCAATATTGGTTGTAAGTTTTGTAGTCCAAAAGCCTATTACTTTATAATTGCTCGCAGCTTTTTTGGATGTTGAGTCGGGTTTTTTTTTCTGCCTTTGTTAAGATCACTCGATTAACAGGCCCGCGGCCCGCCTGATTGAATTATGTTTCATGGATTAAGTAATTTGGAAGGATAATAATTAGTGTATTGTTTGCCTCAATGTAGTACTGTGTGGTTGCCCCCCATGTTGTGCAGTTTATTGTGTACTTGTAATCTTCACACTTCAAAATTAACTGACATAGAACAATAGGTAAGTTACATGGTTTAGAGTATATAAATTACAGTTTTTTTCTTTTATTTCTTAAGTGAACAGATTATTACGTAAATCATTGCGCTGCAAACAAAACGAGTCGAGCCGAATGTATGTTTGTCCAAGTATGTTAGACATTTTATCGGTCTTTTAAAGATGCATTTGAGCTTGATTTCATAGGTGGTTGAGTCGGGCTCTGAGTAATTTGATTTTTTGTACATATCTTTTTTTTTTTAATCGAGCTCAAGTTCAAATGAAATTATATGTTCAAGTCTTTTTTTTATATGGTTTAACAAATTGAGCACAAACGAGCTTTCGATAAACGGTGTTGAATTGAATTATCGGGTAACCTAATTTGATTTTCGAACCTATTAGCCTGTGTTCCCAAAATTCTTGAGCCCATAAATAACTATAAAGAGCCCAAAGAGCTGGGCCGATAAACGATAAACCGATAAATAAATTCAAAAGTTATAATCGGGTCTGCACTGAACTAACCGGTTCATTTGATATTCGATTCGATTTTTTTGTCAACCAAATTGACCGGTAAGAAAATAGTCGTTTGGGTTCGATTCGGTTTGAGCGTATAAAAACCCCACCTAACAAATTTGAAGTTTATCCTTATTTTTGATATATATATTTTTATCAAAATAGTGAAATACTAATTAATCAGTACCCTAGAAAATATATACTTCAATATTTATTGGCTGAAATTCATAATTAATGATATACCTAATTGGGCCGACCCAATGGGCCCCAATTCATTTAACAATTAGGTCCAATACACGAAAGTATTCGGGCCCATTACACGAAAGCCCAAGCACCTTCAAAATAAGGCTTGGGCCCAACAAAATAAGCCCAACTCAATCAACGACATATAAATAAAAGTTTTATTCATTTGTAAAGGTACGTTCTCATTATTGACAATTCACCTCAAGTTTTATTCTCCCTACTCTCTCTACGATCCATACATCTGACTTGAGCGTCGGAGGGGTTTCCGCCGGATCAACCCCCGGCTTAGTTCACGTGTACTTGTTTTGTAGGGACCTCAGGAACATCGAGTTGACTAGCTACTGATCAGCTTTGCTCTCCCAGCTCGTTTTCTATACTATCCTAGGTGAGCTATATTTTAGCTTCATCAATATGATATCATATGGTAAAACACAGATCATAATAGAAATTAAACCAAATTGAAATGTTATTAATCTTTTGATGCATAAATTTAACTTAATCTGTGCAAGCTGTGTTAAACATAAATGGCCAACTAAATTTACATAAAGCACGAGGGTCTAATTGAAGTTTTAAAAATGTCTAGGGTCCCAGTAAAACGGGTTAAAATATTAAGGGTAAATCGCGGCCATCGAGGTAATATTAAATTATATAAAAAAATCGCTCATGTTTGGGTAATTACAACCAACCCTTCAATTATCAATCTTCTTACACGTCCACCCTTGCGGTGTCAAGTTTAATTGAATCTTCTAGATTATGCGGAACATTTTCCAGTTTGTACTCGTCTTACCCCATTCGAGCTCCATATTTTGAAACAAGGTGATCATAAGAAGTGTCCATTGGCTTGTAAATATCAGATTGAAGTGCATCAGAAGCTGCATTTTTAAACAAAACGAGTGCAAACTAGATAAAATTCCACGGATTCTAGAAGATTATGTTGAATTTGACACTATAACAGTGAATTGTAAGAAAATCTATAATTGAGGGAGCTGATTGTAATTACCCAAATAATATGGTTTTTTTTCGTAAAAATATTAAATATAGCAAAAAGAAAGTAAAACTGGCTTCAATTAATGGAGTCCTCATTTTTCAACAATTGTTTGTTGAAAAATAAACCCCACCCGACAACCCTTTCGCAGTTGTTTCTCAATTTTGAAATTCGTGCAAAAAATTGATCTGCAGAAACAACCCCACAATCGGGAATCAAAGTTTAACGAGTCTCCTCCATCAGTTGAATTGTTCGTAATCTACGAAAGGTAATTCCCGCCCTAGCTGCTGCTTCTTCTTCTTCTTTTCGTCTGCTCTGTATGTTGTTTTCAATATGTGTTTGTGTTTGTTTTTGTTGTGTATTACTACGTGCTTTGAATTGATTCCTCGGAAGAATTTCGGCATTCTCTACTTATTTTCATAGTGTTATTGCAATGGTATTTGCTGTTAATGTATTGTTGCTTCACCTATTGATGTTATGGAAACAGGCTCAAGCTGCATTTTGAGTTTGTGTGTTGATTATTAATTAAACAAGGAGGTCCTTCATTTGGTGTAGTACAATCTCGTAATTTATTCCGAATTATCATAGTCGACTTCTCGTTAATCAGCTAACTGCATCCTCTAAAAACGTTCGCGTATGGGATATTTCTGAATGGTTCGATATTTTTTCAAGACTTGAACTGAAAAAACGAATACGGGGATTGCAATATTTTCCCCCTTTTTATCAGTGAAATTAATGTAACTAATTGTCAAACTCTAAAGCATCGAGGTAAAGTAAAAGTGCCTTGCTTAATTCATATACTGTATTTTTTGTTCTTCTGTTTTTTCAGCTATGTCTTTGAAAGTTATAGTAGTGTTGTTAGCGGGGTTTCTAGCATGGGCTTACCTCGCCTTTTGCCCTCCACCTCCTCGCCTATGTGGCTCCATTGGCGGTCCCGCCATAGAAGGACCTAGAATCAAACTCCGAGACGGACGACACCTGGCGTACAAGGAGCACGGAGTCCCCATAGAGAGAGCTAATTATAAGATCATATATGTTCATGGATTTGGCTCTAGCAAACACGAGGCTGCTATTGCTAGATCGGTACTAAATAATTACCGATTCTTGATTTCTTAGCAATTTATTTTTGGCAAAATTTACCAATGATTCTAAATTTTCAGGAATTAGTCGAGAAAATGGGGATACATTTGGTAAGCTTCGATAGACCGGGTTATGGAGAGAGTGATCCAGACCCGAAAAGAACAATAAAAAGCACAGCGCTGGATATAGAAGAACTCGGTGATAAATTAGGACTTGGTCCGAAATTTTACGTTATCGGAAGTTCGATGGGAGGGCAGCTTGTTTGGGGATGCCTCAAGTACATCTCTCATAGGTAATTAATCATCAACTACGTCACCTATTTTGTTGAGTACATCTTGCTTGTATTTGTAGTATTCTGCCTGTTTGTACGCTTATGTTAATAGAACAAGGGATTCAGGAGGGAAAAACGAAGTTTACTGTCGGAAGAATTGGGACTATTGCCTGAATGAAAACGTTGAAATCTTAACAATGTCCGAATTGATTGATTCTAATTGTCGTATCTTAATCGGTGGCCCTACGCTTCTTGATTATTGACAAATAATACAATTGAATATATGCACTAATAAATTTTGGGTTTATTGCATTTAGTACCCCCTATGTTAACTCCATGTGGGATCAAAACGGAAGTATAGAACGAGTAATAGTTTGTATATTTTCCAATCCTCATTTGACAGCAATATTTGAAATTCACCTTCTGTTTGTGTCTGAAAATTACTGTATGTATCTTGTATTCACTTTACGCACTAGATTAGTTTAACATATAGAACGACGACAGGCTGGCAGGAGCAGCATTGATAGTTCCGGTTGTTAATTACTGGTGGCCTAGTTTTCCATCGAGTTTATCTACAGAAGCGTATTACCAGCAATTTCCACAGGACCAATGGGCATTGCGAGTGGCACACCATGCTCCCACCATGGTTTACTGGTGGAACACTCAGAAATGGTTCCCTCCATCAAGTGTCATATCTGGCAAAGCTAATTTCACTGCTCCCGATTTAAGAATTTTATCAAAATACGGTTCGAGTATGGGTATCAGGGTAAGTAAATTTTTCTATCTGTTGCATCTATACTGAAAAATATAATTGGAATTTCATAATTGTTATTATCAATAGGATTATGCAAAGCAACAGGGGGCATATGAGTCACTTCACCGAGATCTGATGGTGTCATTTGGGAAATGGGAATTTGATCCTATGAGTCTCGATAATCCTTTTGTTGGAGGAGAAGGTTCCGTTCATTTGTGGCACGGGGTTGAAGATGGTTTGGTGCCTGTCGCTCTGCAGCGGTACATTGCTAAGAAGCTTCCGTGGGTACAATACCATGAATTGTCGAACGCTGGGCATTTGTTTGTACATGATGATACTAGTGCCAAAGATGCTGTCTTGAAATCACTATTGACAGGGGACAAATGAATGTTATTTCTACTTTATTCTCGTTTTGAAGTTCTTCTGGTGGAAAATAGCTAATTATACAATATGTACCGAAAATGCGCAATAATGTTTCATGAAGATGCAATTTTTCATTTGTTGTTCATGAATGTTTGCCCTGCGTTTCTACAGATAACCTTTGTGCCAACAATAATTTCAATACCTGGAATTTATTTATTATATAAATTTTGGATTTGTTTAGACAAGTACACAAGTACAAACAGGATCATCAAATGGTACTAAAACTTCAACTAGTTTTGACAGTAAAACACACTCTAAACACAAAACAATGTAAAAGGCTCACAAATTTAGATGGCCTGAGTAACAACACAACATTTAAAAACTCAAAACCGGGACACTATTTCACTTGGGCAGCCCAGTTTCGGAGTTAATAAGAGAACGACTTTCGTCATTTAGTACCACTGGACCTCTCCCAGGTCTTGTGCAGATGAAGTAACTAACATCTCCCTTGTTTCGGGTAGGAGCATTCTCCTTAAGTTCTGGAGGTGGAGCAAGAGCTTCCACATCTTTCATTTCATGAATGCCGGCATCTTTTAATATCGTCTTGTCACCAATAACATAGCTGTCGAACATGAAGATTCAGATATCAAATAGCATAAAAAGAACAAGACTTAATGGAAGACATTAATTATTTTATTGTAAATAAAATTTTCCGAAAGGTAAACTACCTGTCCAAATCAGTATCTGACTGAGGAGGGAAGAGGAAGAGCAGCCTTTGAAGCAAAAGGGCAGCAGTCTTTCTGTTGTGTGAAATTAGCACTGCGTTCGGGCCAGCATCAAAAGTATAAGCCACCTGTAAAGTATCACGTCGATAGTTACAGGTAAGAAAACTGTTGAGGCCATCTTGTTTCTTAGAAGCTTGTGAAAAAGAGAGAAAAAAAAATCCGGCATTCAAATTGAACTGAGGTAGCATAAAAGATGTTTCACTGGGGAAAGGAGTAAAGAAAAGAAAATTGGCATAAATTGTCAATTAGTTTAGAGGTGTATCCAGTGATTACAAAGGCCATCTTTAGTTCTGGTTATGTATACGTGTGTCACTTAATACTTCTCGATTGGTCAAATTCTGTGTTGCTTATACAAAGAGGGATTTAGTGATCATATGATACTTTTGAACAAGACAGTTGCAAAGACGAAGGAAGAGAAAAGAACCTGAGGTGTTCCTTCGTGACGATTCCATTTCTCAACACAGCTGATTATCCTGAAATATTAGTACCCTTGATGAGATCAAATTATGAAATTTATTAACAGCTGCTTGAAAACTTGGAAAGATAAGTTGAACAATGTTAACAAGGGATAAGAACGATATGTGCAAGTGGTTAAACTTTGATTAAAATGGTACTTGCTTGTGAGATGTGTCATTCATGTAGAATATAGGGGGCAAGGTATCCAGACAGACTGCATGAAACTGATTACTGTCAGCACAGGCCAGACGAGCAAAGGATGGAAAATCGCGCTTTTCTATTGCTTCCTCCATCTGTTTTACCCGTTTTGGAACTACTTCCTGTGAAATTAAATCCATAAGATAGTTCTAAGTATCATCTCAAAAAACATCTACCATTCAACATATTTAAAAAAAAAAAAGGCATCTTGAACAGAGTTATAACAGGATAAAAGAATCATTTCTAACATCCAATGAGAAGTGAGTATCCACAAAGTTCTTTAAGAAAACGATGGAAGACCCAAATATACCTTTGCTCTATGTTGTAAAAGCATGCTGGTTTCAACAGTGTCACGCATCCCAGAGGTACTACTTGTTTCCTTCTGTCTCGAACTTACCTGAAATCAACAGAAGCACCACTTAACAGAAATTTTGAAGGGTCCCGCAGAATAGCTATCACAGACAAAGGTTTATATTGAGCAATACAATTTTTGCGTTAAAGGAAATGATTCTGATGGCTATATGTGTATGGGATAGCAAGCATCAAGAAATTCTTTAGCTTAAAATGAACTCAATATCTTATAATATTAATTTCGGTGTACTGATGGAAAAAGTCATCAGTACGTACAAGTGAAATGCTTATTTTACTTTCACCTTTCTTGGTGGAAATGAGTATTCACTAGACATAATTTAAAATTGAAAATTATATTCGAACATAATTACAGTTTTACACTGAAAACAAAGATAAGTTGGTCACTCAGTTATGCTAAGGAATGGATACTAACCACTGCAATGATGATAACAAGGTCATCCCAGTGCTTTTCATCTGCAAGTTGAACGGCAATACTGTCGCTACCATTTTCCTCCTAGAGTCATCCAGGAAAATGAATAATAAAAGCACATCACTCAGTTATGCATTTATCCAAAATAATTTATTACAATGAGACTTGGGTAACAAACATACTTTTCCCATGATCCACTTGGCAAATCCTCCGAACAAGCTGCGACAAGCACTTCCTGAACCTTGCCTGGTATGAATACACAAAATATCATTTAGTTTTGACTAAATTCTCTTCGGCGCTGGATAGGGAAAAATCAGAGATTCTATTACAAAATCTTAGAAAAATATATAAAAGAAACAAAAAACGTAGAAACACATTGTGGTTTGAGTTTGCAGCATATCTTCATCTTTAGACAGTAAAATTTATGGTTACCCATGTCCTATGAAACTAAAAAGTTCACTAATAAGTAAACAATGGCTCCATAGAGTTGTTCAGTTACTTCAGAAAAAAACTGAAAGACATCTCAGCCCAATGAAACTGAAGCAATGTACATCAAGAGATATATAGTTACCTTGCAATAGCAGAGAGTTTGCTGTGATCTTCTTTCACATTCATTAGATTAGCCAGGGAAAAAACTGAGATAGAAATCAATATGAAATTTATTAGTAATTTTAGTTATGCGCAAAAATTAGGAACTGAAACATTGCAGTCGTTATACTAGAAATAGCAGAAACATGCAACACCATCTGATAAGTACAGAAGAAAATCGGTATCTTCACATATAAAATATCTACTGCACTTAAAACTTTAGGAAAAAAGCAAACATATTTGACACACAAACTACTAAAAGAAAGAAACTGCAGCCAAAGGAAGATAATTTTTTTAGAATAGCTGTTATCTGAGACAAGCCACTAGCCACTTGACCCTGGAAAGCAATTGAAGTTCATTGAGTATGACAGGAAAGATAAGTGAAGATACAAAGAAGAGCAACGAAATCATAAATGATGCACTTCATCCAATCTAGTACACCAATGTAATTACTAGAATAAATTTAAGATTTATATGCTGCAAAATTTTCCTAAGTACTCTATGGTCAGATATATCATTTAGATCAGTAATTTAAGATTTTAGAGGTCCTCTCCTCTGCATTAGTTATACAATGTGATCTTGAGTTATTCGTAATCGAACATAGAAGCTCTAATGTTGACACCGTCACATTGCAGCCACATAGTTAGAGAACTTGTACGTTAAATATGCAGTTTACCCGTAATTGCAAATAGTAAAATGCTTGAAATACCAAGATCTCTAAGTAACTGTTTTCAAAGAGTATACATAGAGAATACCATATCAAGACAAATCGGCATGAATCTGTTGGCTCAGAAAACATAGATGTAAAAAGAATCATTGTTGAAATTCAAGTAATAAAAGTTCATTTAACAGATGTACAGAACTACTGGTCTCACAACATAGATGTAAAGCCATAAGAAGATTTATCATGCACTATTGGATAATGGAACAAGTAAATTTAATAAGCAATCGGTTGAGGGAAGCTCATATTACCCAGGCATGCCAAGCCAGCAGCTGATGACGCCAAACCAGCCGCAGTTGGGAAATTGTTAAAAGAAACAATGTGCAAACGTAGCTTCTCCCAGTCTTTTTTTGAGATTTTAATACCCTTCTTCTCATCCTCAACATCACTAGCACGCGACCGGAGTTCCCTCAAACAATTCTGGAATCTGTCTCCAGAAAGAGATACCTCCTACACGATCAAAAAATTCATAGGTACAGGAACACATCAGAATCAGTTATACTTGATTATTTCACATCGGAGCATCATAGAGATAATAAATAAATAAAATGGATTTTTTTCTGGAATTCAAAGGAAGCAGAGCCAAACCCATCCTACAGATCCTAACATACAGAACCGAAGAATCAATGGAACAATAAAATTCACCTAATATGTTCACATCAAATTTAATCCAACAACTGAATTTATCTAAATAATAGAGTATTAGTGTTGCAAATTAACATTAATTATCACAACAAACAAATCTCTTCATGGAAAAAACTTGATAAGTTTTTACCGAAATTATCTAACTTCAGAAGTTGAACTTTTTTTCATCCAACTGCAAAAGTGAAGGTACTAATAAGTATAGGTATAAAAACGAAAATCAGAGGAAATTTTCCTTCACTCTTAAAAAAAAATTCTGCTCTAATTAGAAAATCAGAAAAAAACATTCTACTCACATCAAAATCACTGATAAATACCAAGTGACTGACAAAATCAACTCCGACAGAAATTAGCAGAAGCAACAAAACCAAATCGACGAGGAAAACGCGATTGATTATACCTTTCCGTTGAGCCACATGCGGTCATGAGTGAAGGCGGGGCTGACGGCGACGGAGGTGGTGGTGCAGAGGTGGTCGGGGTCGAGAGTAACGCTAATGCTGTCGTTGATCGGGAGAATGAGTTCCTCGTGTCTCTTCCCCCAGTACTTAATCACCGCTATGTTCGTCGGCGTCTGCGCCGTCACCGTGAGAATCCACTTATCGCCGCTCTCAGCCGCCATATTACCCTTGCGCGAATTTCGATGGTGCGAGAGGATCCGAAGAATGTCGTTACTGTGGGCTCTGCGTTGGATCCGATCTCACAACTGGGGAGCTACACATATATATATATGTGTGTGTGTGGATTGGTGAGTGCGGATGTATGTATAGTCTGTTGTGTGTGTGTGTGTGTGTGTGTGTATATGTGCATGTGATGTGCGTGTAGGGGTGGGGGAGGGGTAGGGGGTGGGGGTAGGTTGGTCAGAGAAGAGGAACCACCATTGTTGAATGAAATTTGAAAAGATAGTGCGATTGATTGATTTTCGTTACAAACTATGGGGTGGGGACCATCAATTCTCGACTTTTACCTATTTCATTCAACTGCTAACAAAAGTAGGAATAATAACTCTGCCCGCATGGGTGTAGCTCAACTGGTTCCGGAGGTGGTAAGTTGGAGCAAAGTCCTAGGATCGAATCCTGGCAGTCGGGAATTTCAACTCCAATGAGATTGGTTCCTTGTGGGCACCAGGTCCGGATCCGCTACCTTAACGGGCCGTTGAGTTACTGGTTCCTTGTGGGCACCAGGTCCGGATCCGCTACCTTAACGGGCCGTTGAGTTACTGGTTCCTTGTGGGCACCAGGTTCGGATCCGCTACCTTAACGGGCCGTTGAGTTACCATATGAGGGCCCTGGGGGCGAGGGATTTCGCCTTTTTGGAGCAAGGAATAATAACTCTTAATAATTTCTCATTTAACCGAAATTGTTAATTTATTTAATTTATGTAATGTACACATATTAAGAAAAATAATAAACGTGCATGAATTGTAGAAAAAATATAATAAAACTAATTGTTTGTTTCTAAAGTGATAACTATTTTTTAAATATAGAATCTTTAGAAAGGCAAATAAAATAAAATAAAATGGGAAGGTGATACATATTAAGTCAAATTAAGTGCACTACTACACAATTGGACACGTGGATTTTTGTAAGAAGAATAATGGCACCCCTAAATTTGGTAGATTTGTGGGGTCTTGCCGAATTGAAATAAATTTAATTTAATTTACAACAATTTATCAACGTCTTCACATTTGATGGCCGTGGAAAAATTATTGAATGGTTAGTTAATTTTACCTGATAATCATCTCATGTAAATGGGCACTTTCGTCAACAACAAAAAATTATAAATTAATCATAACAAATCCATTTAAGTCAAAAAAATAACGCTATTGACCAAGTACTCCAATTAACTCTCAGCAAACACACACACACACACACAAGAAAAAAAAGAAAACCTGGTACACCTCATCAGCAAAATTTCTGACAGCAAGACAATATCAACCTTCATTGTCACTGTGTGAATCATCATCAGGGTCGCCATCGACAATATCAGGAATCGTCTCATCCTCCGATCCATAATTAACGTTTACTCTCTCAAGCATTCTATCGAACACATTCTTGGTATCTGAAGTAGAGCCCAACTCCGCGATTTCCTCAGAAATCACATCACTCTTCGCTGCCGTCTTACTGTCCTCCACCATTGCCACATCATCAATCACAAAAGAAACAACCTTTTCCACCTCAGCATTTCCGAAATGCGGTGATTCAACCCTGCGCTCAACTCTTTCAGGCACACGAGAAGTGGAAGCAGCGGAAACCTTCACAGGAGCGAGTTCATCTTGAGAAGGTGTTTCAGTATTATTATAATGTGCATTTTCTCGTTGCCTCTTCGAGTCTTTGATATCCAATTCGCGGTCATCGTCTTTACTGAGCCAGTTTTCGTTCAGGTCATCGTCTTCTGATTCGGGCTCGGCTGGCCCATTTCCTCGTGGGCCCCCATCTTGATATACAGTGTGGTTTGGATCTTTAAATTCGTTACTGCCTATAGACGCAAGATCTAACAATGGAAGTGCTCTTGGGTGTATGAGCACTTCTAATGCTAGAAGTGCGTGTCCACAATATTCGCCCAGTTTTGTACCCGTCTCTTGCATGCCTACAGAATTGCACGAATACATAAAGCGGTTAGATGGATATACTTCTGCATTACATTAAAAAAAATGAGTGGTGATACAGGATGACGGATAACCTCTACGGAAAAGTTGTAGACCCAGAGCTAGATGTGATGGGCGAACTCGGCCAGGCGAAAGAAGAGATGCCAAAAGTGCACGTAAGGCAGCTAGTTGAAAGTCTTGCCAGATAGGGGTAGAATCGTCGGAAAGAAATTTCCTTTTTTCCTCCTTGGACCATCCCCCTTTAAAAGCATTTGTTGCCACTGTAATAAGGAGATTATCGACATTTCCTCGCCAGCTCTCAGATCTCATAGCACCAGCCTGTTAACAAGTATAGTTTAGTTTTAGTGAAGAAACGTACTGTTGAAAAAGATGAGGAAGAATAATAATCATTGCGAAAATGTAGGAGTTATTTGCATATTCTAGCTATGTGACAGTTCGGTTTCTTTAGAATTACATAATTACACAAAGGCATTATCTAAAACGATAATTATCAAAGAGTGAAAAAGCGCCACATCATTATGGACAATGAACCTAAACATTAAATTTGGTACTACTCGATGGATGCTGAAGTAAGGAGTTCATATGCAATTTATTCCTTGACGGTGCATGCGAAAATAACATGTCCAAGCCCATGACTGAAATTCACTTACGTATGTGAATATGTGCAAACTAATATTGAACGGGATCATGGTTCAGCTAAGAGACCGTTTAAGAATTTTTATACAGAACCTTTTCAGATAAGGGTAACAAAAAAAACAATAATCACCTCAACTGAATGTTAGCACAATGCACAAGCGAGAACTTAATAAACATCGAAACCGCGAGAATCAATGGAGAAAAAGTTCATATATATTAGAGATTGATCAGTAAATGTACCAAAGTTAGAAGAGCTTCTAATGCCTCCAGTGCTGCTATCTTCACAGATATTGGAGTCGAATTATGTGGGGTTCCAACTTCCAAACTATTGTGAGCAGGCTCGTCTTGGGAGGATCTTGCAATAATTGAATGCTTCCTTTTCTTCTGACGAGACTCGGTCAACAACTTGGTGGGGACCTCTGAGTGTGTACCTGAATTTTTACCATCCTTCTCACCACCAAGGAAATCTAAATCAATAAATACATTACTGATGATATCCTGGCTAATATGTATTGCAATCCCTGCCCAAAGACAAAAAATGAGAGGTTAACAGAAGTGTTATCTAACGACTATCCCAGTTAATGTAACTGGTACTAGATCACACGGTACACACCATCCTCGAGAAAGTAAATTATAAAGCAGGAAAACCGTTATGATCATGCATTTCGAGCACCAATATTAAGAATGAAATAAGATACAGAAAGCGGAGTCTTTACAGATTGCAACTAGACATGTGAGAATAGCCAGGAGGTTGTATACGGGATTCAATACTTCGTGCATCAGCTTCAACATGAAACATGTAAACCAAAATATATTTTCCATGTAGATATTTCTACAGATTGTTCAAAACATCATACAATGACTAAATATAAGTGAAATTTGTAATTTTGAGAAATGTACAAGCATGTTAAGGGAGTATGGCAAAGTAAGGCGCATTAATTTTCAGCAATGGCATGTAATGCAGTTGGGAGTAACATTCTGAATGGATAACACCAGTTTAACTCTTGGACACTTATCATGGTATAATAACTGTATTGTGTTCTTTAGAATTTTGTCATTTCATGAATTAGTATACAATAATTTGTTCATGAAAGTTATGCCGGCGAAGAAATAACATTACCTATGTAGTTTAATATTTTCATGCAAGTGATGCCACAAAATAAAGATATAAATGATTAACCATATCAGCTACACCTGTAAAAGGATGCAAGAGATCTCTAGAAGTTAAAAAAAATGAAGTTAAATTTACTGGATGCTATTTTCTATTTTAACACAAGATGATTCAATTTTAGTTTCTACACATCTCATATTCATTTCAAAAATTTCACAACATATATATACAAAAGCGTACACTATATGTACACACAGCTTATGTATGACATGATAAAGTCAGTGATCACTACTATCACTACTGAAACATGAAAAGCATAACAGGAGGCAACTTTATTGAGAACACAAGCATTTGATGTATTTATGAGAGTGCTGAATCCATACCAGTGCCCATTGACATCAGTAGGACTTTCACAATCGAATATGCTTTTATCTTCAAATCCGGGAATTTGCATCTCCTAAAGTATTCGTTGAGCAGTTGTACAATGCCTGCAACATGTGGTAATAATTGGCTGCAGCAGAAACAAAATTGGCTAGTGTAAACATCTACACCAGTTGAAGAGATGAAGATCAAAACTGAAGCACTTGGAATAACTCCAACAGAGAATTTACGTACTCTAAAAAAAATAATGGAACAAGAGGTATAAACTGACATATGCAGGCACTACAGTACACCCAAAAAAGAAAATCACAAATTCCTAAATCCTCTTTTTTTTCTTTTGCATCATTGGTCCTAAACTTCTATTTCCGTACTTTCGAGTTCATATTCCATAAATCAAATTCTGGATGTTACATGATGTAGCAACATTTTGATTCACAAATTCTGGTTCATTAACAGTTCAATAGAGAACCCAAAACCTAAGGTAACAACTTAGGCCTCGTTTGGTTGCCAAGATAAGATTAGCCAAGATAAGACTAAATAATCTAATGAAAACCAATTGTTTTATTGGACCTTGGAAGGTCCAACCAAAAACATGCTTAAAAGGCAAGATAAGCCATGATAACATAATATTTGCGGGTCGACCCGGCAAGTTATTGGGGATACCAAACATCCAACAAAGTCCAACTATTTAGTTAATCATGGATAATCTCCCCAACCAAACGGGGCCTTAGATTATAACTCAATCAACTATTTATAGTCACCTGCTCAACCCCTTGACAACAGCTGTGAGAATTTCCAGACTACGGAGCTGCAGAATCGGAATTTCTGAACAAACAAATTCTTGTTTCAGAGTGGTCAAGAAAGAGTACGAGGATAAAGACGAAGAACCATCAACCATCAGCACTCTTCCAGCAAGGGCTATTAGACCACAAACAGGAACAGAAACCTGCCAGTTTGCAGACAATCATACTCTGTGTTATCAACTGCAAAGGACAAACCTATACTTTATTGAATTTAAATTGAAGTAGAAATATAAGAAGATACCATAACAGGATAAGAACTTGTAAGCATGTCACAACAGCATTGCATAAGAGTCGAAATTCTAGAACCCAGAAGTCGTTCCGGCCTCCTCGTTGAAAGATCTGAGGCTCGTTCAGATTCTACTAATCCACTTAAGGGTGGTGGGGGTTCTTTCCCAGACGGAAGCAAAGCCCTCAATGTTTGAGTACTTTTGGCCTCTGCAAGAAATTAACTAGAGTTATATATATAGTCCCCACCGATAAAGCAGTTTTTCAAGGAAACTAGTACATTACCTTCTTCTAGACCCTGTAAAGCATCATTCAACTGACTGTTTATATATAGCAACATCTTATCCATCATCAGACACCAGCTATCCTCATCTCCTCTCGATTTTGGAAGCGATGACAAGCCATAACCAAGCTTCTGCAAAGTAAAACCAAATGAGGACTACTGGTTTGATATATGACATATATAAAAAAAAAAAAAAAGTCCAAGAACTCTCACCTTCAGCACACCTGCACTGCATTTTCCAGACACAATCTTAGAAACAATGGCTGCTTCAACCTGTCATTTCGTGGAAATTAAAATAAGATGTTGCCATGATTCTGAGAAGTTTGCATTTAACAGATGGAACAAAGATAAGAGTTTAAAGATCCATGATGGTGTGGTCGATCACTTACACTATCATAATGCCGGTGGACTGTTGATGGAAAGAAATTTATCATGGTGCATATCAGACACACTGCTTCTTCCTGCATCATCACCCGATAAAAGGAGAAAACATAAAATTTCACACATGAAAACATTTTTCAAACAGCTTCATGGAAGTTAAAATCTACATACGAATAACTTAAAAACCCGTTCTGTCAAAAAAACATTATAAAATAAATTAATAATATTGAAGAAAGATAAACCAAAAAACAGTGAAAACCCTATTTCTGTAGGTTTTGGTTTAGGTTCGGTTTCAGTTTGTCATGTTTTGAGTACTTTGGAGATAGTGTTCTAGTAGTATGTTTTTAGGAGAATTACATAGAAAATGGTCAGTTTAGTCGGGTAAGTGGTTTCAAATCCATATCTTTAGCATTATATAATACATTTTCTAATGTAAGAAATGTATAATGATTTGAAAATGTAAGGATTGTGTTATAAGTGGGTCCCGTTTTGTTCTGAGGACGAATTGGTTGTTTTGGGAGAACGACAGAACAAAGAATAAGAAAAATATTTCTTCAAATATTTCTCTAAAATGCAAAACAATGTGAATACTTTAACAAATCAACAAATCAATGTATGAGAATACTTTGCTATACCAACCAACACAAGAGCAGAGCTGTCCTCATTTAACAACTTCAATGCTGGCTGAATAACTTTCATAGCATGTGAAGTTGCATCCTTTTTTGCATTTGAGAATCCACTTAACCTAATTCAAAGTAGAAAAAATAAAAAATAAAATAAATAAAAAACCACTCACCAAAAGTAAGGCAACAAGTTTTACAGGAACTAATACAGTTTTGCATCTTTAGGCCCCATTAAATAATCTAATGAAACCCAATTATTTTATTGGAGCTTGAAACGTCCAACAAAAAAAACTCATTAAAAGGCAAGATAAGCCAAGATAAGGCAAGATAAGCCATGATTATATAATTTTGGCGGGTCGACCCGGCAATTTATTGAGGATACCAAACATCAAACTAAGTCCAACTATTTAGTTAATCATGGCTTATCTTGGCAACCAAACGGGGCCTTAAACTACTAAATAATCCATCCTACAGAGCTCATTGCATCCCAAAAGTTCTACCTGTTGCACTAATTAACACATAATTCCCTTATATGCCATTAAACTATATATCTCTTGTTTAAAAACAAGAGCAAAAGCTACATACTACGTAAATTTATCATAGAATTTTTTTATTTTACTGCACTAACCCATAATATAAAACATTGAATTGTATGATATAAATATATTGGTTCATGAGAACAACATGTATGGTTGTCATCAGGCAAGTTTTTCACACAAAATAGTTGGGAAGGGTCATGAACATAGCATAGATAACTACTTCTACACAAAGTAATTGCTAGTATGCTAAGATTTGAATTACCAAAAGGCAAAACTCTTTTGCAAACAAGGTTAGACTTCTACATCTTTTTATCCACTAATTAAAAGATACATTGATAATGATTAATGAATCAGTATACAATAATACTAAAGACCAAAATATACTAACCTTGTAAACATATCAGACAGCGCCGCACAAGAAGCTGCCTTAACAAAGTGTGAAACTACTGAAGGCTGATAACAAAGATAAAAAAAAAGAAACAATGTAAGGAAAAAACACATCATTATACTAAAACTTTACAGTGAAATTATTGTAAGATTAAATCTTCAAAATAAGTCCCAATCTTTAATGACATTATAATCATACCTGAACATGTGAGAGAAGCTTCTCTAACCATTCAGCATATGAAGCTATAAAGCGCTCCGAACTGCATTCCTGACAGGTCAACCCAAGCAAACATATTCCAGCCCAACACTTATCTGGCTAAAACACATTTATTAACAAACGAACTTATTAGCACCATCGTTATATACGCGCTACACACGGAGATATACTAATAATAAAAATCATTTCTTTCAAGTGTAAAAAGAATGTAAAAACGAACAGAAAACAATAGAACACTTGTGTTTTTAACTGTTAGATAAAAAAGATTTAAACATTAGTTACATAAAAAATATGCCTTTTCTAATACAAAATAATACCTGCTTTTTCTAATACAAAATATGCTCCAGTAATCAATGAAATCAATATATATAGACATAATTATTTTCTCACCAAAGTGCTGGATGTAAGAGTGAGCAACCGCTTGACCCACGAATCGACGGTGGATTTCCAGGCGTCCGCCAATTCTTGTTCCATGGGCTGTGGGGACCACTCCGACAGCAATTTGTGAGTCTTGACGGTGGAGACAATGTAGGAAAGCTCCGACGGGTTGCTGAACGGGTGCTTCTCATCGGGAACATACTCTCTGAGCAGCGAGCGGAGCAGCTTCGGCTTCAAAACGACGTCGTACATTCCTCCCGGGGCCGTCATTTCAGAATGCAAGAGAGGAAAAAGAGGATTTAGGGTTTCGGGTTTATTGTTTAACATGTTACAGTGTTCAATTTGGGTAAATGGCATAATGCACCCTCCAATTATAGTTAATTGGTACAATGCACCCTCCAACTATAGTTAATTTGTACAATGCACCCTTAAGTTAGATTTTTTTCTCATATAAATGCTCTCCAATTAAAAAAATTATTTGCAGTTTACACCCCTATATTGTGGTCCTATCTAATTATACCCCTTATGGTATACGAAATTGCATCAATCTAACTATGCCGTCGGAAACAATCAGAAGTTGTTAGCTAGGGTTGGAAATCGGATTTTCAGTCGAAATTAGCACTTTTTAAAATAAAATATAAAAAACTCGAAAGTGAAAAACTATTTTTTTCGTGTGAATATAGCTTTTCAAGGTTCTATAGATGATTTTTTAGATTTGGTTAGCTAGATATATATATATATTTTTTGTGATGAATGAACCTGCAACCATGTATATAGGTGCACTCGATAAACAGTACATACACCCTTATATAATAGCTTGCAAACTATACGAGATACGTAAATCATTTTAGGCTAACCATGTGTGACAAACTCCACCTACTGACTATTGACAAGGGATTGCCCTAACGGTTTGAGCAAGTGAGCATGTGTCAACCGACTCAGGTTCGAATCAAACATTTACAAAATAATTTTGATGTGAATCAAACATATTTTTATTTGGGAAATAAAAATAAGGGCAAATTACATATCACCCCTTGTAAAATTCTAATTGTCGCACTTTACCCCTCAAACTTTTTAAGAGTGAATGTCCCCTTTAAAATGTTATTCCTGTTGCACATTACCCCGACAGCAAAAATTCGATGGATTATTCATCGGAATTAAGTATGTTTGTTGCATGGTGCACCTTTAAATATTATTTTTGTTATATTTCCTTTAAAAACACTATTTTTCCCGTGTTGACCTTTTAAAATGTTATTTTTGCAGCACAAAGCCCTTCAAAAATTGACTTATGGGCAAAATGCAACCAATATAGTATTTCGAAGGGGGTTATCCCTTTTTTTAGTTTTTAGGAGGGGAAAGTGCAAAAATGAAAAATGTTAGGGGGTGAAGTGCATTTTGTCCTTAAAATAATTTGGCATTTTATTTCGGAAAGTAATATTTTGGGGCCCATAGTTATATAATCTAGTTATTGGGCTCCTAATTTAAATATTGGCCCAACTTTGCCGTTCAAAATTAATTACTTTCCGGCACACTAATTACGCTTTGCCCTTCGTTACAACTTCCAACTTACAACAACTGCGCCGCCCTAGCCACAGCCGGAGCGCAATGACCGCCGCCAGGTAACTGCCGCCTTTGTCACCACGCGCCACCCCACACATTCTACTGTGAGCACACCGTAGTAATTATTCCTTATATTAATGTAATGTAATGTGTTAATAATAACAGAAGGATGAGAGGATTCAAGCGGTGGATGAAGTGTCACGGCATAGAATGCAGCGACGCCCTCCTCCTCTCAGCCGAAAATGCCGCCGGCGCCGACGGCGCGGCCGAAGATTCCTCGCAGTCGCTGTCGATCTCCGTCAAGGCGCTGTGCGATTTGAAGGAAGGCGACGTCGTTGCGACGATTCCCAAGCAGAGCTGCCTCACCGTGAAGACTTCCGCCGCCAGCGACCTCATCGAGGAGGCGGAGCTAGGTGGAGATTTGGGGCTCGCCGTTGCCATCATGTTCGAGAGGAGCCTCGGCACCAAATCGAAGTGGTTCCAGTACTTCCAAATACTGCCTCCATTCGAGCCCATTCCATTGCTTTGGTCTATCCCCGAAATTGACTCTCTGCTCTCCGGCACCGAACTACACAAGGTCAGTTCATTCGGCACCGTATTTGCAATACCTAATTGAATATTCCTTTTTTTCGTACCGTTTTGTTTTGTGCGCCTATCTGTGATGTGCATAGAACCACCACGTAACAGGATCAAAACATAAATAAGAAACTGTTGCTATTCACTGTCCAGCATTGAGGTGAATCGGAAATTCAATTGTGGTCGTTGCTTTATACATCCAGAGTTAAAGTTTCGACTCTATTTGCTAAAAAAAATGAGTGCTCATAGTCATAGAAAAATCAAACTATCCGAGCTCCACTTTGAGTGCTACTCGTAATAACTTACATTTAAGAAGCTCAAACTCAATTTCGAGTGAATACATATATTCAAACTAAGCTTAAGCAATACCTTGTTTAGCTCTATTTTGACGCGCATGGCAGTTATACTCGTTTTCCTGGTTGTCGGTTCTCTTTATGCATGTATTTAGTAGTGTATACAGTTTATGTACAGTTACTGGTTGCAATTTGTAGGCAGATAATTAAAGAAGACAAGGCTCTGGTGTGCCAAGACTGGAAGGATTATATCAAACCCCTTTTGGATTCAGATTCTCTTGAGCTGAATCCAGATTTTTTCACTGTCGATGAATATCTCGCTGCGAAGAGTCTAATTGCTTCGCGATCATTTCAGATAGATGAGTACCATGGTTCTGGAATGGTCCCTCTAGCTGATCTGTAAGTTCTACTTCTACCTAATCTCTACTACTTGCGGTTCAGGAAAAACTAGAAGATGTAAATTTTGTCATATATTTAAGTTATTCTTGGATGACATTATATAGAATTAAAGTAATTTCTGATAAAAAAACACCGACAAGCAGACTGATGTCATTTAGTGATCAAAGTAAACACATCAACCAAGCTTTACTTCCATTGCATGTGAAATAATAATATGAATATCTGATTCGGATTCATTAGTTTTATCAAGTTAACTTAGTCCACGCATTCAGTCTTTTGATGCTTGTAAAGACACCTTTTTCCTTAAGATGAACTTTTGCAAAATAATCGCACTCTTGCTGTTAGAATTTTCTCGACTGGTTAAGAAGGGTTCTGGCTGAGTTTATTTTACGTAGTTCTTTGTCGAATTCTTAATGAGTCCACTCTTTTATGGTGCCAGCTTTAATCACAAGACAGCTGCTGAGGATGTACATTTCACATCTGTATCTTCTAGTTCAGAATCTGATACTGACACTGAAAGCGAAAATGAAAATGAAAATGCCAACGATGAAAACAGTGGAGATGATGAGCCTGTAGCTCCCGATTTTGATTCAGTAACAGAAGGGTTTAGTGAAGGTGACCTGGAACTTTCTTCAACTTCAGAAAACGAACCAACATTTCTGGAAATGATCATGATTAAAGATGTCAATGCTGGATCCGAGGTAAGAACTTCCGCTGCGTGTTTTTTTGTTCGTCATATTCTGTTCTTTCTTTCTTTCTACAAACAAACTTGTTACTATTACAGTCTAAGTTGTTCTGAATGAAATTTGCATTTCTAACATTATTTCAGGTGTTCAATACATATGGATCTTTGGGCAATGCTGCTCTTCTGCATAGATACGGATTTACAGAACCCGATAATCCATTCGATATTCTGAATATAGATTTAGATATCGTTGTCCAATGGAGTTCATCTCTGTTTTCTCGCCGTCACAGTAGAAGAAGGCTCTCACTCTGGAGAAAGTTGAACTTGTCTGGAAGTGGGAGCGAAGATTCCGATTATTTTGAAATATCATTTAATGGGGAACCTGAATTGGAGTTACTGCTCTTGCTCTACGTAATATTGCTACCCGAGGAGAAAATCCAAGAACTCGGTCTTGCATCATCGTCCACGTCAGAGGTCAAAGAAACTCCGAGTTTTCTGTCAAACAAAGATCCAGAATCCAGAAAGAAACTGTTACTGACGAAAAGTGTTTGCCGAGCTCTTTTATCACTCGCAGATGCTCGTGAAAGTTTATATGGGAGGCTAAATTCTCTGGAAGAAGACGTCAGATTATTTAATGGGTGTTGCCATGCAGTTGATTCAAAATTGTATCATTCTTTAATGCTGCGTATTAGTGAGAGGAGAATACTCGAAAAGCTTCGATCTTTTGCTTCATCTGGAGCTGGGAATTTTAGGAAAAATAGTCAAACAAGAACGAGGAAAAGAGCGAAGAGGACATAACCTGGTCGTAGTACCACCTTCCTTATTCATGCCAGAGAATTTTGATACTCTGCAGAAATTACTTGTTCCGATTCGAGACCAGGACAAATGCAGGGTCAATACAAAAAACATCTTCGTTAACTTGTACTGTTCGTTGTTGATTTATTTATTGTTGTACTTTTTTTTTTCTTTCCTTTATAAGTTAATGTTGGAGTTGCTCTAATATTGCTCTAATATTTTCTGGCTGAAGTTCATTCAACTTGGTTTTCAGTTAGCAATAACGAACTTTCTTTTACTAAATTTAGTCCTCATATTTGGGTAAATTACGGCCACCTCCATGAGGTAAGGTCAAATTATGAAAAAAAATCTCTTCCAGTTTGGGTAATTTAACATCTCCTCAATTATGGATCTTCTTGCACGTCAATTCTTCTTAAATTTAGTGGAGTTTTCTAGATTATTTGGAATATTCTCTACTTTGTACCCGTTTTACCGCATTCGAGCTTCCATTTTGAAACAAGATGATTAATCATAAGATGTGTTTCTTGACTTGTAAATATCAGATTGTGGTGCATCAGAAACTGCATTGTAGCACAAACAATGAAAAAATGAGTACAAACTAGACAATATTCCACGGAATATAGAAGATTCTGTGTATAAGAAGATTCATAGCCGAGTTCACAACAAAAGAGAGTTTTTCGTACCATAACTCGAGGGTTACCGTAATTTACCTTAAAAAAATTAAAAAAAAAAAAGTTTTCTTTTTCTTTCTTTAATTTCTGAATGCAAACTGTAGGGCCGAGTAATATTTTGTAATTACTGTAGTTGTGAGCTTTCTGTGTCAACCGAAAATTGAAATTGCAGAAATGCTGAATTAAGATTTAACGATTCGAAGTACAGCGTGGTGTGTATATCAATGAAGAGGAAGGGCCTCGAATTGAGGAAAATTCTAGTTTCCCCCACAGATTGTTATCAATTAGGTACCTTCCATCCTTTCTCTCTCAACACACTTCATTTCCTCTCCGTTTCCCGTTATTTCAGTGCAAAATCTGCCGCCAATCGCGACAAAAACAAGCTTGATCTGGGAAATATTAACGGTTTGGATGATGCTATTAGTTTGTACAAGAACATGTGCAGAATGAAGCCTTTGCCTTGCGTAAAACAATTCAATCAATTGCTTTCACGCGTGGTCAATCTGAAACAGTATTCCGCCGCCATTTTCATCTTCAAGGACATGTGTAATTTGGGGGTTTCAGCTGATAAATGCACTATGAATATTGCTATTAACAGTTACTGCCTTTCCAAACGGGTTGATTGCGGGTTTTCAGTTCTGGGTCGGTTCTTCAAGCGCGGTTGTGTACCCGATGGGTTCACTTTCACCACCTTACTCAAGGGTTTGTTTCGAGAAAACAAGATTACCGAGGCGCAGGGATTGTTCAGGAAGATTGTGAGAGAAGGAATGTGCGAGCTTGACGTCGTCGCTTACGGAACTGTGATGGACGGGCTTTGCAAGCTGGGCAACGTTGCGGTGGCCGTCGAATTGCTCAGAGTAATGGAGAAGCAGAGCTGTAAACCTAACATCCACATTTACACCATGGTTGTTGATTGCTTCTGTTTGCCCCAGAATGATGGATTCTGCACTGAAGCTATTCGATGAAATGTCCGAGAGAGGCGTTACGCCTGATGTTTTCACTTACAATGCGTTGATGCACGGCTTGTGTAGTTCGAGTCGTTGGGCGGAAGTTAAAGCGCTGCTAAAGGAGATGACGGAGCAGAAAATTTACGCAGACGAGGTGACGTTCAATACCATTATTGATGCATTATGCAAGGAAGGTTTGGTGAACGAAGCGAATGATGTGTTCCATATTATGATGCAGAGAAACGTGGCTCCTTCTGTCGTCACCTTCAATACGTTGATGGATGGGTATTGTCTCCGAGGGCGAATGGGTAAAGCTCGTAGTATTTTTGATTCTATGGCGAGCGTAAATATCATACCTAATGTTCAAAGCTATTGCATTCTGATCAATGGATACTGCATGAAGATGATGATAGACGACGCGTTGCATCTCTTCGACGAGATGCCTATTAGAGGATTGAAGCCCGATGTGGTTACATATAATTCTCTATTACACGGGCTTTTTCGTTGTAGGAGATGCTCGTCTGCAATGAAACTTTTTGACGAGTTGCAGGTTGTTGGTCTGAAACCGGACTTCTATACTTACTGTCACTTATTGGATGGACTGTGTGCGAACGGGCACGCTGAACGAGCATTATCGTTATTGAACGCACTGGAGCACAAAGGAGAAGATATTCAAATTACGTACTACAATATCATCATGGAGGGATTCTGCAAAGCTAAAGAAATTCAAAAAGTGCGAGCGATTTTTAACGATGTTCGTTCGAAAGGGTTGAAAAGTAATGTGGTAACTTACACTACACTGATTAAAGGGTATTGCCAAAACGGGCTACTTGAAGAAGCTAAAGATCTTATTTCGAAGATGGAACGAGATAGTTTGTTGCCTAATGGAGTTACCTACAATTGTATTGTTCAAGGAAATCTAAAGAGTGGCAAATACGAAGATGCAGCTCAGTTTCTTGAGGAAATGGTTTCTAAAGGGTTCTCTCCAGATTCATCTACGTTTGGTTTGATGCTTGATTTACTCGGAGAAACGGAACAAGAGCCTACAATCTTGAAAATGATTCGAAAGTTGGGTTCTCGATGCAATTCGTAGGCCGGTTGATTATTAAAGAAGAGAACAAGATTGGAAGGATTTTATTGAACCCCCTATTGGATTCAGCTTCTTTTGAGCTCATTCCAGAATCTTTTGACAGTCGATGAATATTATCTCTCTGCATCTGCTTCGCGATAATCTCCATGATGAACCAACATTTGTCGAAATTATCGTCGTTAGAAAATGTCGAAGCAGCTGGAACTGAGGTAACAACAAGTTCTGATTGTAATTGGATGGGCTTCGCAAGGCTGTTAACACTAAAATGGCTACTGAACTGCTCGGAGTAACGGAAGAAGGGGGACGTAAGCCGTTGACCGGCGTTGACCCCTCGAGCATTTTAATTTTCCGAATAAAAAAAAATAATAGAAAAAGAATCCTATTTATCATTATTGAAATAAGTACATTCTTCATCGAATTACTTCGACGACGATCTTGTACTGATAGAATTTCTATTTTGTTTATCATAGATTTTTGTATAGAATAGCAAAACAAAAAAAACAATATATATATATATATATATATATATATATATATATATATATATATATATATATATATATATATATATGATATTACTAATTTAGAATTGAATTTGAATTTGATTAAAATGTATAATAATATGTGGTGAAAATGACAATACACTAATTCTCACTAGTTTCGCTCTTTCTCCAGTTCCCTCCCCTGGCGTTCTTCTTCTGTCAAAGGTGTGTTCTTTGTTGCAAGATGAGATTGAATTTGGCGGCAAATGTCCTGATTTCTTCTCCCGACATTTATGGGTCAGGTAATTTCAACATCAATCGTCGAAGCCCACTCCATTTTCTCTCCGTCTTTCGTTGTTTGGGAACGAAATCTGTTGCTAATTGCAATCCCCGTGAGAAATTGAAGCTTGATTTGGGAAACATTAATGGATTGGATGATGCTCTTAGCTTGTACGAGACAATGGCGGAAACGAGGCCTTTGCCCTCTGTAAACCAATTCAATCAATTGCTGTCTAGGATTGTCAATCTGAAACAGTATCCTGTGGCCATACGCCTTTTCAAAGACGTCTGTAGAATTGGGGTTTCAGTTAATGAATACACTATGACCATTGCTATTAACAGCTATTGCCTTTCTCACCGTGTCGATTACGGGTTTTCCGTTCTCGCTTTGTTCTTCAAACGCTGTTTCGTACCCAATTGTGTCACTTTTAATACGTTGCTCAAGGGTTTGTTTCGAGAAGATAGGATTGGTGAGGCGCAAGAATTGTTCAGGAAGATTGTAAGAGAAGGGCTGTGTGATCTAGATGTCGTTACTTACGGGACTGTGATCGATGGACTCTGCAAAGCTGGTAATTCTGCAGTGGCTGTTGAACTGCTCAGAGTAATGGAGAAAGGGAAATGTAAGCCAAACATACTTATATATACCATGGTTATTGATTGCTTGTGTAAAAATAGAATGATCGATTCCGCATTGAAGCTGTTCGATGAAATGCCTGAGAGAAGCATTACACCTGATGTTTTCACTTACAGTGCGTTGATACACGGCTTTTGTGATGTGAGTCGGTGGAAAGAAGTTAAAATGTTGCTAAAGGAGATGAGTGATTGCAAGATATATCCAAATGTGGTGACGTTCAATACTATTGTCGATGCTTTATGCAAGGAAGGTTTGGTGGATGAAGCGGACGATGTGCTCCAGATCATGAAGCAGAAAAACGTGGTTCCGAATGTAGTCTCGTACAACGCGTTGATGGATGGATATTGTCTGCAAGGACGGATGAATGAAGCTCGTAATATTTTTGATTCTTTGTCTAGCGAGAATATTGCTCCTAATGTTCGAAGCTATACCATTTTAATCAACGGATATTGTAAGAAGACGATGACAGACGACGCAGTGCACCTCTTTCGTGAGATGCCCAATAGAGGGTTGAAGCCCAATCTTGTTACGTATAATTCACTATTACACGGGCTGTTTCGTGGCGGCAGATGCTCGTGTGCACTGAAGCTATTTGACGAGTTACAAGCTGCTGGACTGAAACCCGACTTCTATACGTATTGTAACTTGTTGGATGGACTATGTTCGAATGGGGATGTTGAAGAGGCATTGTCGTTGTTGAATGCATTGGAGAACAAAGGCGAGCATCTTCATATCGGTTACTACGGTATCGTTATCGATGGATTATGCAAAGCTAAGAAACTCGATGCGGCTCGAGATATTTTTAACGATCTTCCTTGTAAAGTATTGAAACGTAATGTGGTAACCTACAATATCATGATAAACGGGTGTTGTCAAAACGAGCTAATTGAAGAAGCTAAAGATATTCTTGTGAAGATGGAACGAGATAGTTTGTCGCCCGATGGGGTCACCTACAATTGTATTGTACAAGGAAATCTAAAGAACGGAAAATACGAAGATGCAGCGCAGTTTCTCGAGGAAATGGTTTCGAAAGGGTTCTCCCCGGATTCATCTACTTTTTCACTGATGCTCGATTTACTCGGGACGAACGAACACGAGCCTACAATTTTTAAAATGATCCAAAAGTTCGCTCCTACTAGTTTAAAAACAAAAACTACAATCATGTGCATTATTTAAGTATGTGGAAGTTGCATAAGGTGAAGTTGGTCAAATCACTATTCCAGTTTAATTGCTTTCTGCACCCTCGTAAGTTTCTGCGACGTCAACTTGATCCTCCCTTGAGATGATTTGTTTTTTAATAAGTAAATATGTACTCTAAACTATTGTGATAAACAATTGAAAATTGAATTGCATTTGGTGAATTGATATTTTTAAACAAAATTAATTGAATAACTTTTTCAATTATTCGACCCAATAAAGAAGATGAATTCTTAAGGGTATAATTGTCTCTTAATATTTAAGATGCAAATTAATTGGTGCTTAAGTGGTTAAATATTATTAAAAAGAAAATAATAATAAATAGGGTAAATTACACCCACATCCCTGAGGTATGCTTAAATAACTGTAAGGTCCCTGAGGTATCGATAATTACACTCACCCCCTTAAAACGTAGCCATAAACTCTAATTGGATAATGCATTAGATACGTTATTACGATAGAGTTCTAACGGACTATTGATTTCAGGAAGTGGTGGAGACAAAAAAGAGTTATGGGTGATTTAAGAAATATTGGGGGAGCCATGTCAGCCCATAACTCCCCATAACTCTATGTTATCTCCACCACTAGTTAAAAGTAATAGTCAATTAGAACCCTATCGGAATAATGTATCCAATGCATTATCCCTTTAGAGTTTCTAACTACGTTTCAGGGGGTGAGTGTAATTATCGATACTATAGGGACCTTAAAATTATTTAAGCATACCTCAGGGATGTGGGTGTAATTTACCCTAATAAATAATAATAATTGGGAGGTAGGTGTAACTTAAACTATATTTCAGGGTTCAAAAGGGTATTTAGGCATAGTATAAGGGCTAAAAGCCCTAAAACTGACAGTATAAACATATTAATCTCAATTGCAGGTTAGTTAAAGAGTGCTCTTTTGAGTTTTGATTGTATGATGAGAAAGTGCCCCAAATCGAGGATTTTTTTAATTTCTTCACCAAATTGTTATGAATCAGGCAAATTTCATTTTCTCACCGTGTTTCGATATCTCGGTACAGAATCTGTTGCTAATCACGATTATCGCTGGAAAAACAAGCTTGAATTGGGAAATATTAACAGGTTGGATGATGCTATTAGTTTGTACAAGAACATGTCCAGAATGAGGCCTTTGCCTTGTGTAAAACAATTCAATCAATTGCTTTCGCGCGTGGTCAATCTCAAACAGTATTCCGCCGCCATTTTCATCTTCAAAGACATGTGTAATTTGGGGGTTTCACTTGATGCGTACACTAACAACATTGCTATCAACAGTTATTGCCTTTCCGAGCGGGTCGATTTTGGGTTTTCGATTCTGGGTTGGTTCTTCAAGCTTGGTTTTGTTCCTGATTCTTTCACCTTCACCGCTTTATTGAAGGGTTTGTTTCGAGAAAATCGGATCACCGAGGCGCAAGAATTGTTTAGGAAGATTGTGAGAGAAGGGCTGTGTGATCTAGATGTCGTTACTTACGGGACCGTGATCGATGGACTCTGCAAAGCCGGTAGTACCGCGGTGGCTATCGAACTTCTCAGAGTAATGGAGAGAGGGAAGTGTAAGCCTAATATCAATGCATATAACATGGTTCTTGATTGCTTATGTAAACAGAGAATGATAGATTCCGCACTGAAGCTGTTCGAAGAAATGTCTGAGAAAAGCATCACGCCTGATGTTTGCGCTTACAGCACGTTGGTGCACGGCTTGTGTAGTACGAGTCGTTGGAAAGAAGTTAGGACGCTACTAAAGGAGATGATAGATTGCAGAGTATATCCGGATGTGGTGACGTTCACCACCATTGTCGATGCTTTATGCAAGGAAGGTTTGGTGGACGAAGCGGAAGATGTGCTCCAAATCATGATGCAGAGAAATGTGGTTCCGGATTTAGTTTCCTACAACGCGTTGATGGATGGATACTGTCTGCAAGGACGAATGGACAGAGCTCGTAACGTTTTCGATTCCATGTCTAGCAAGAATGTTGTTCGCGATGTTTATAGCTACAGCATTTTAATCAACGGATATTGCAGAAAGATGAAAATAGACGAAGCTGTGGATCTCTTCCGTGAGATGCCCGATAGAGGTTTGAAGCCCAACGTTGTTACGTATACTTGTCTATTGCATGGGTTGTTTCATGGCGGAAGATGTTCTTGTGCATTGAAGCTTTTTGACGAGTTACGAGCTGCTGGACTGAAACCAAACTTCCATACTTACTGTAACTTGTTGGATGGACTACGTGTGAACGGGCTCGTTGAAGAGGCACTGTCGTTGTTGAGTGCATTGGAGCAGAAAGGAGAACTTCTTCATATTGCTTACTACAATATCATTATCGATGGATTGTGCGAAGCTAAGAAACTCGATAATGCTCGATCTATTTTTAACGATCTTCCTTGTAAAGGATTGAAACGTAATGTGGTAACGTACAATATCCTGATAAAAGGGTGTTGTCAAAACGGGCTACTTGAGGAAGCGAAAGATATTCTTTTGAAGATGGAACGGGATAAAGTGTTGCCTGATGGGGTTACCTACAATTGTATTGTTCAAGGAAATCTAAAGAGCGGCAAATACGAAGATGCAGGAAAGTATCTCGAGGAAATGGTTTCTAAAGGATTCTCCCCGGATTCAGTTACTTTTTCACTGCTGCTTGATTTACTTGAAAAAACGGAACACAAGCCCACGATTCTTAAGATGATTCAAATGTTTGCTCCTACTTCTTTAAAACTGTAATTATTAGCCAAGTAATTTATCTGTATGCATTTACGAAATAACAGAGCATGGTTACCATCGATTGCTTCAGACTAAAATTAATTATCTTTCCTTGTCTTTTTTTTTTCGTCTTTGTTTTTTCCATGTTGTAGGGGGTGCATTTTGGGTATGTTTGGAAAATCGTGAATTTCCGTGATTAGACTGTGTAATGCACTAATGCTGTGCTTGGTTTGCCGATGGTTTCTCGACAATATTTACGGATTCTCCATTACAGGAAGGTAATACCAATTTGAAAATGTAAAATAAAACCAGTCAAAAACATTTCTATGTCTATCCATTCATTCTAGCATTGTAAAAGTTACAAAGACTGCAATAAATGGGATGCCTTATAACAGCTATTATTTTCTTTGTCCCCGTTTTGATAGAAGCGACGTAATTTTAAAGCATACATCGGGCAAACCTACCAAACGAGGCCTTAACAAAATTACAGTACGAACAGAGAAGGATGATTCTTCATATTGTCACAGAAAACAACTGTTTGAGGATTTCCAGAAATGAATTGCCTTATGGATTTAATTGCATCGAAGCAAGTCCCTTCGTCGATCACCTAAATTATTAAATCACGACATAATAAAATCAGCCATTAAAAAACAAAATAAAGCAACGTTGAAGAGTAAATAATAGACGTTACCATTAAAGAAACCTCGGATATATCGACCGCCTTCAATAACAGAAGCTCCAAAAGCCTCTCAGTCGTGGACACAATAAACTCGGGTTCGCACCTTTTTAATCTGCCATGTGTTATTCAATCAGACAACATAAGACAAAAACAAACAACATAGGCCGGAACAAAATCGTGGATTTTTTTACCCGTGAATTTGATGATCTAACGGAGCACCTGCATGCAAACTCACCGTATGTATTCCTACCATTTTCAGAGGCTTGCACACTTGGCGTACCTAATTATAACGTAAAAAAAACACTCGACATGATCATTCAAGAAAGTGACAGCTGTAATAAGGATTTAAAAAAAAAAAAAAAAAAACCTTGTAAGCTCTGTCTTGAGAAGGAACAAGATACAAAAGAAAAGAGCCGTTAAACGAAACGCCTTCTCTCTCCTTCATCGAGATTGTGTCAGCAGCAGTCGAAACCATCCAAGAGATTTTCTCCACTTCAGCTCCATTGCTCTCTAACACATCTTTTCCGTTTGTATAACAATTCCAAAAATCGAGCCCCCATTGATAGGCAAAGAGAGGTCTTTCTAATTCTACTTCACTAGTAAAGCAGTCTCCGATATTTTGCTGATGCAGGGCATTTTGAATTGAGTTGAGGCACATGATCAGAAATTTCGAAGGGCATGATCCAGTGTTTCTCGGGGGCCCGTTTTCTGTCCAAGAGCTTTCGGATGGGTCCCACTTGATGATCTGGCATGTTGGTTTTCCAACATTGATTGCAATCTCTGGCCCCATAAAATCGATGGATGCATTCAGTGTCGGTTTTTTGTTCTCAACGATATTGTCGTCGAGAGACACTTTGCTTAAGGTACTGATTTTCTTGTTTGTGTGGTTTTTGTTTTCTTCGGAAACTCTCTTTGTCGGAATGCTAAAGCACATACCCTGCGTACGAAAATCATCACCAAAGTAAGTAATCGTAACATTGCTGCAAATCGATGCACTCGTTCCGGATTCATATAGCTCTATACTTTACTTAGGTTGCATTTTGGTTTGAGTTTTGGAGGATTGAAAATCCGCAGAAATCGAACTTTCGAATGTACCGTATATACCGACTCTAGAAATCGTCGAAAGCAATCGAGAGCTAAGGATGTGAAATTCAATTGTAATAAATTTGTGAAAATGTTTGAATCCAAAATGAACCCTCAAAACATCAATTTCATTACCACTAGATGCATTCATCACAGACACACACACACACACACACATTATATATATATACACACGAATAAAAAACCACTAAATTAATCCTAAACTGAAAAAAACAATTAATTAAATAAATATAATGTATACACTGAATCTCGAGACGAATAAAACCATCATAAAACAAAATAGGAAACAATGGCGGAAACAATTAGCAAAAGCGACCTGGCAGATGCGGCGTTCGCCGGAGAGGCGCCGATTCTCGGCGGCGGTGATGGAATCCCTTGTTTTTTGTTGATTAAATTTGCACTTTTTAATTCTCCGGCAGCCAATCAAATCTTCCTCAATCGTTCCCATTTTCTGCTCCATGTACAGTTGACGAACACACACAGAGGAGAAGGCGGTTTTTTGCAGTTCGTCTGCTCAATTGCGGTATATATATATATATATATATATATATATATATATATATATATATATATATATATATATATATATACAGTCTCTGGTGTGTAAATTTTTTATTTATTTATTTATTTATTAATTAATTTTTTAGGTGTTGGGGAGTTAGTGGCTTCCTAGTGTGCGGATTATGAGGAAATCATAGGGGTAATATTGTCATTTCATTAGATTGCATTCTGTTTGGCGGGCTTGGACTTTGGGGCAACTGGGCCTAGGGGTTGGCTGTTGTACTTTAATTTTGCAATAGGAAATTATTATTGGGAGAATATTGTAATCCGATTTTAATTTAGGAACTAAATTAGAGGGTACATAATTCTTTATTAAAGAACATGGAGAGTAAGAAATTTGTTGAATTATCAACAATGGACACAATTTAAACAATAAAAGAAAGTGAGAGTCCAATTCAATAATAAATCCATAATAAATATTCCAAAACTAACCTATGCAAAGTTACTCTAATCTAACGGCTAGAGTTTGAGCTCGAGTTCGAGCTCATCTACAGAAAGCTCGATGAATTTGAGCTCCGGCTAGTCGAGTTCGACTCGTTTACATCCCAACTCTAACAATAGACGAATTTTTTTTTCTTCTGAAATAACAATCAAGTACAGTTATAATTATCCCAAAACAATTATAAAAACACAACATTTATTTTTGTTTTCATCGCCAAGAAAGTCTTCCTCTATGTGGATAAAACTATTAATAACTATATTATATATCCTTATAGTTTGAATTTTATACAAATGACTCCATTATACTTTTAATATAACATATGATCCCCTTGTATTTTAATATAAACAGTACTTTATGCTCTTAAAAATTTCATCTTCCTCCTAATGAGCATGATTAAATATGAAGTAAAATACTATAGGGGAGTTATGTGCTTATATTAAAAGTAAAGGGGGTCGTGTGCAGAAAGTTCAAACTACAGGGGTCATGTGAATAAAATCTCAAACAAGAGGGAGTTAAGTGCAATTTACCCTATGTATTATCCCTATCTCAACTGTACGTATGATATGATGTTGAAATTGTTGAATAATCATCACAACAATTTAAAATATCAGTCCCTTCATTTGACTGCAAACGATGGTCGTCTCTTACTATATATATCCCCATTAATATCTGGATTTATTTATCGGAAAATGGGGACTGTGGCTGAAGATTCCGCCGGAATATCCCCTAAAGACGGCCGCGGTGGAGATCAGGATCTTGATGCCGGCGCACTCTTTGTCCTGAAATCGAGAGGTTCGTGGTTGCACTGCGGGTACCATTTGACGACGGCGATAGTAGCGCCGGCGCTGCTGAGTTTGCCGTTTGCGTTCACTTTGCTGGGGTGGAGCGGCGGCGTTATCTGCCTCACCGCCGCCGGACTGGTGACTTTCTATTCGTACAACCTCTTGTCTATCGTTTTGGAGCACTACGCGCAGCTCGGAAAACGCCATCTTCGTTTTCGTGACATGGCTCATGATATCTTAGGTATTACTTCCTCGGTTCCCTTTTAATAATCGTTTTTAGCTTTGCACGCGAATTAAGGATTTCATTAAATGCATCTTGTTTTTATGACAAATATATGTTTTTAAGACTAAAATGACCTTATAGCATAAACTGGAAATTAAGTAATTAATGAAATATTGGAAATATATACCGATTGATAACATAGAACAAAGTATTTTTAAGAATAGACAATTATTAACTTATTATAATAGAACTATTAATGAGTATTAATTATTAATAAACATCCTCTTACATAATACTTGATTGTATTTTGTGATTTAATTTACAGGGCCTGGATGGGGAAAATACTTTGTGGGCCCACTTCAATTGGGCATATGCTACGGTGCAGTTATTGCATGTATACTTCTCGGTGGTCAAAGCCTCAAGGTAATTTAGATAATTTCGAGGGGCTTTTTTGTCATTTTCTCAATCTCTAATTAATTGTCGCATCCACTACTGAAATATTAAATATCGTTTATGACTTTGAATGTGATTTTGACCGTTTTTTAGTTTTATTTTGAGCGTTTTTTAGTCGTGTACGTTAACTAACTTTTTAATTCAACTGGAATCAGCTAGATCGGACATTGGGTGACAATTCAAAGTCATGCATGAATTAGTTACATTTTGAATTTTAGACAACTCAAAACATTAAATTAACTGTTGGCAGTGTTCATCGATTCATAAATATATTTCTCATGTGACATCCAATCTCAATGCATGATTCAAATTGAATCATAAAAGCTAACTCAAAGGCCTACGAATTCCGTGTCTTGAATTTTGCAAAATTCAGATTAAAAAATGTTGAAAATCACATTTGAGGTCAAGACGTTATTATTAAAACTGAAACGACAGTTATCACGTCCCGATCGACTATTATAATTTTTTAATTTTTTTTTTTTGCAGTATATATATTTAGTGACAACTCGAAATGGAAGCATGCAGCTATACCATTTCATAATAATGTTTGGAGGGGTAACCCTAATAATGGCACAAATGCCATCTTTTCATTCACTAAGGCACATCAATCTTGTCTCCCTATTCTTATGTCTTGCTTATTGTGCTTGTACCACAGCAGGCTCCATATCTATAGGTAATTTCAATTTATTTAAATTAATCATCACATTATGAAAAATAAATAAAAAATAATAATTATGTATTTTTTTCCGATTACGTGAAGGACATTCGAATGACAAGCCGGAGAGGGATTACAGCATCACCGGGGCAGGATTAAATCGCGGTTTCGGTGTATTCAGTGCTATTTCGATCATAGCTACGACTTACGGCAATGGAATTATTCCTGAAATACAGGTGCATGCCTGCCTCAATTTCTTTTAATTAGTCACTTAATTCTAGGGGTGTGATTGTGAACGAGTAGAATTCGAGCCGAGCTCGCCTGTTTTGGCAGGCTCGAGCTCGTCGAGTTTCTTTTTTTGGGCTCGAGCTCGAGCTAAAGTCCATTACGTCGAGCTCAAGCCCAAGCTCATTTTGGTATATATATATTTTTTAATTATAGTTATTTTTTTATTATTAAAAAATATTTAGATTATAATAAAAAAATTACAAAATAAACAATACTGTAATTATATATATATTTTAATATTTATATGTTCCTTTTATATTATTTTTATAATATTTATATTATTATACTTTATTTAAATAAAAAATCATATACATAAAAGAAAAAAAAGTAAGGCTCGCGTGCCTGCTCGTGAGCTCACGAACAACTAAAGAAAAGCTCGAGTTTGAGCTTTTCTCGAGCCGGCTCAACTCGTTTACCACTCCTACTTAATTCCAATAGTTAATTACCTTAATCATTATTATTATTATTATGAATCTTATATTTAAAATTAACATAATGTGATCACGAATTGATTAAATTGTATTAATTTGGCAGGCAACCATAGCACCACCAGTGACAGGCAAAATGTTCAAAGGGTTGGTGGTGTGCTACTCTGTGGTGGTGACCACATTCTTTAGCGTGGGGATCTCTGGCTATTGGGCATTTGGAAACAAATCTCAGGGGTCAATCCTTTCAAATTTCATGGTCAACGGTTTGCCATTGTTGCCCAAATGGTTTCTTCTCATCACCTATTTGTTCACTCTTGTGCAAGTCTCCGCCGTCGTTTTGGTATTTTTCCCCTTTTCTAATTTAATTTTTAGAAAATATTTAATACTTTTATTTGTAAAATATTATATTATACGGAAATTAATACATGCATGCATGCAGGTGTACTTACAACCAACAAATGTAATGATCGAGAGAAGGTTCGCCGACCCGAAAAGGCCCGAATTCTGCGTCCGAAACGTAATCCCGCGGCTCGTTTTCCGGTCACTGTCGGTGATCGCCGCCACCACACTGGCGGCGATGTTCCCCTTCTTCGGGGATATCATGGCCTTGTTTGGGGCGTTTGGTTGCATTCCTTTGGATTTCATTTTACCCATGGTTTTCTATAACGTGACGTTCAAGCCTTCCAAACGGAGCTTTATTTTTTGGGGTAACGCCGTTATAGCAGTAGTCTCCACCGTACTGTCCGCCTTTGGGGCTGTTGCCTCTGTCCGGCAAATAATTTTGGATGCCAAAACTTACCGTTTGTTTGCCAACATGTAGCCTACTATAAATAGATTTATATATAATGAAAAATATATTTTTATATTAATAAAAGACTCTAATAGAAGTTATAAACTTATATTGTATTGACTTTGAATTAATGAGCCAGGTCTTGGTCTATGTTTATTTTTAGTCTAATATTTCCTATAAACACATTATTTTAATATTCATAATTTTTTTCCCAAAACGACGTCGGTACCTAACACAAATATGTAACCAACTATATAGGCTTTTTATAATTTGTTTTTTTTTCAATAGGAGATTCCTTATGTTATTTCATCTTAAGTCGTGGTGCAAATAAGATAGATCAGATCGAAATAAACAATTTAAAAAAAAAATATAAATTTTTTAAGTGCAAAAAACTAATTTTGATTTCGTTTAGACAATTGAAAATTTTGAGCATCCATTAAAAAATTGTATATTATTTATGTTTTATTAACGGAGAACCAATTCACGGGGTATTTATTGACTTTGATCACTTTTAGTCGTTCACAACTGTAATAATCCAATGATTAATCATTAATTAATACCAACATTAATTTAAAAATTCAAACACAAATTAGCCGTTCCTCTAATTTTTCAACTAATTGATCATATATATCATATATATATAAATAAACTTATAAATCACGTAATTGATTGAGTATTGACCAGAAAAATATGTTGCTTTAAAGCTTTTCAAAAACTATACATACAAAATAGATATAATTGTATTTATTTTTAATCATCCTACTGAAAATAGGACCAGGTCAATCTTTAGAATCTTGGACCCATCTCCACCCAAAATAAAGAATATATATTTTTTCATTAATATTTAAACAATAAATACTATAAAATCAATAAGATTTACTTAGTGGGAGTTGCCAAAGATATAATAATATTTACTATTATAATTATTATTAAATATTACCAACCCTCATTAGGAGAGTTGGTACCTAGCCTTTACCAATAGGGTAACGGTCTAGGGTTCGAGTCCCCCCCCCTCCCGACTTCCCCTTGTAATGGACTTGAATTTACTCAAAAAAAATAAAAAATTATTATTAAATATTAATCAGTCAACATTTTAAAAGCACCCGGTTGGACCGGCGTGGCGGCTTTTTGGTCATTGAAAATAATTTGTGGGGCCTTTTGAACCGGCCACTACAAATTGACGTTTGGGGGTCAAAACCGTAAATATATATTTCTCCGCGTGGTCTCCTATAATGATTGTGACATGTCTTTTCACTTCGATTTTATGCTTTCGCCCCTAATTATTTATCTAATTCGGAAACACACCCCACTAAAATTATTTCCTTCAAAGAAAATATAATATAAATAAATGTTTTTTCTTTCTATTTGAGTTACGACTTACAACTATCCTATTAAATGTTAATTCATTATCTACGACTAATGATTTTTTTTTATATAGCTAGCTAGAGCATTGCATATAAGGCTCAAAAGCTTACATTTATTTCGATCAAAATATTTAAAGTTACCCTTTATACAAGATAAGATTTATCTCATCGTTAATTGATATTATTATCCTTAAAGCTTATGCATATATTTCTCCATACTCAATTAATTCTAAATGAAGTAAAAAAGATAATATAAGCATTGGAATCTTGAGAAATAATTAATATTTGATTTTATTTATTTATTAAAAAAAACAATAAGTATGAAATAAAAATAAAAGTTGAAAGAAAGTAATTTCGTGCAAATATAGAGGCGAAAATAGAAATAGAGAAAAGAAGAGGGAGTTGGGGATGCAAAAGCAATAAATGTTTTCATAAATTCCACACGGTTTCTCAACTTTCTACAATTTCGGCCTCCTTTCCTGCATGTGCCCCTCCTCCACTTTCTCACTCCTCAATTCACTTTCTCTCTCTTCTTTTTATTTATCTTTTTTAACCTTTTCTTCCTGTTTTCTTCCTTCGCTGCAACCTCGTCTTTCGTGTTGATTCTGAGGGAGAGATTCAACGGTGGTCCAGCTTTCTTCCTCCTCCAAATACACCTATATGTGAGTACTGCATACTCGTTTTTCTCCTGCAAAACTTTGTGTGTGTGTGTGTGTTTTTTTTTTGGGTGCTAAATTATCAGTAGGATTGTTTTCGCCCAAGCAATTGCAATAAAAATTCATTTTTTTGTAGTGAATTTGTTGCTGCTGCAAGCTAATTAGTTACTTTGCATCTGGATTTCTCCTTCTCCTTGTGTTATTGTTTCAATTTAAAAAAAAAAATCAAGTTTTCATGAGTTCATATCAGCCATGGATGGATTTTAGGTCTGTTGAAAAGCACTGTTTAAATTGCTTGGTCGTGTTCTAGTATTCGGAAATTGGTGAAGAACACTGTTTCCGATTTATGCTGCTTGTGTTTCTAAAAAAAATTCCCCCTTTTTTTTTTTTTTTTTTTAATTTAAGCAGAGCAACAGTTAGTGTTAATTAGCTGCCAGAAATGCATCTTTCTGTTTTGAGCTTCAATTTCCTTTTTTACTATTTCCCACAGCTATAGTGTTTTTTTGTATCTATGATGTCGAATTTAATTGAATTGGTACTTGTACCGTTTCTGAAAGATATATTGCATTCATTTTGACAGCTTCCATTTATGTACTATTTCGATTTTTCTCCAGAATCAAGAAGCTGATTAGCAAGGTTCCGTTTGGAGATCGTTGTTGCTTTAGCTCTGGTTTATTTTAGAAATGGTCTCCCAATCATGGTTTCGTAATTTATGGACAAACTCCAAAAAGAACGAATTCCATGTCGAGAAGTCACAGATTGCCGTTTTGGCTTTCGAAGCCGCCAGCTTGATGACCAAACTCCTACACCTCTGGCAGTCCCTAACCGACAAACAAGTCGCGAAATTAAGAGAAGATGTATCAAACTCGGCCGGAATTAAAAAACTCGTCTCGGAAAACGACGACTACATCGGCCGATTGATATGCGCGGAATTCACGGAGAGCTTAGTCCACGTGGCGCGAGCTGTCGCCAGGCTGTCGAAGAAATGCAACGACCCCCTCTTGAAGAGCTTCGAGCAAGCCTTCATCGATTTGGTCAGGGCTGGCACCGATGTGTACAGCTGGCAATTCTCGTGGAAGAAAATGGACAGAAAAGCCAAGAAAATGGAGCAATTTATCATCACGAATACCAATTTGTATCAAGAAATGGAAACACTTGCTGATCTTGAACAAGCATTAAAAAGAATGAAGGGCAATGATAATGTAGATAGCATAACATTGGTCGAATACGAGAAGAAGTTTGCTTGGAAGAAACAAGAAGTGAAGCATCTTAAAGAAATTTCTCTCTGGAGTAGAACTTACGATTACACGATTCTCCTTTTAGCGAGATCTTTATTTACTGTATACGTCAGAATCGGACATGTTTTCGGAATCAATCATTTCGCAGACATTGTGGCTAAAGATTCTAGCAGAAGAAATAGCCAATCGACTGTGTTCATGCATTCGTCCGTTTACCCTTCGGAGAATTACAATTACGTGCCTCGATTTTCAACGGGCCCGTCTGGGAAGTCAATCACTCAATCGGGCCCACTCTTGAGGACGAACATTATTGGCCAAAATTTCCACTCGGGCCCACTTGGAAACTCGAATAGTACTTCGAGTCCAATCTCCGGAAAATATAACGGTGCTGGATTCTACTCCGGTCCAATAGGCAGGTCGCCCACAAAACGTGACCCTATTTCAAGAGCAAGCAAAAGCGCATGGAGGTTGTGGCAGTTTCGTGATAAAGATAAATCTCACGGTTCAAGAGAGAATATTCCTCAAAAACCCGATGGAGCAACCCAAGATCCAGGACCGTTTACTGTTTACGGAAACTCGAGCGACGTAAACATTTTCGAAGCCGCTTCTTCGAAGAGCAAACTACTAAATCCACCGCCTGAAACCCTCGGAGCTGCTGCATTAGCACTCCACTACGCGAATGTGATTATTTTTATCGAGAAATTGGTGGCGGCCCCACACTTGATAGGGAAAGATGCGAGGGAGGATATGTACAATATGCTGCCAGCTAGCATAAGGGCAGCTTTGAGGGAAAAACTGAAGCCCCACGCAAAGAGCTTGAGTTCGTCGATATACGATACGGCTCTTGCTGGAGTGTGGAACGATGCCATGCAGGCGACGCTCGATTGGCTGGCTCCGCTGGCTCATAACATGATTAGGTGGCAGTCGGAAAGGAGTTTTGAGCACCAGAGCTTGGTTTCGAGGACGAACGTGCTTTTAGTACAGACGCTTCACTTTGCTAACCAGGAGAAGACTGAGGAAGAGATTACGGAGCTTCTCGTTGGTTTGAACTATGTGTCGAGCTTCGGTAGAGAGATTAATGCGAAAGAGTTAGTGGAGGAGGGTGCTAGTGGCAGAACTTTCGATGAATATGTGGAGTGAAGGGCGAAAGGGTCTTTTTTCCTAATGACCAAGATTAAAAAGGTTCAACGAGTCTACGCACAGTTGTTGATTTGGAAATGACAACCTTAGATGGGGCCCGCAATCGATGATGTTATGTTTTTTTTAAACCGGGCTGTCGATTTTTTGGTCGTTGTATAGACACGGCTAACGCTCAATGAAGGCGTAGTGTGTGGGTTAACCCCTTCACTATGACTACAAGAAAGGGTTATCCTTAATTAAGATAGTCTAAAAATGTTGGAAAATTGAGGAGTTCTTCCTCGTGAAGCTTTGCTCTTACTCGGTTTTTCGTGTGTGTTAAAACGTCGTATTTTGTTGGATAAACGAAGTGATTGATTTTTTGTGCTGATTTTACACGATATCGAGTGATAATAATAAATCGTAAACATGTTTGGATTTTTACTAGTGTAACCTTTGTTGCTTCAGAAAAACAACTACAAAGTGAGAGTTATGGATTTGAAGTTTATTGTCAAATGATTCGAATTAAATAACTTAAATCGATTTGTTATTATGGATTTAAAATCGCACCAGACTTGCGAAATGTGAATTACTTTTTTGGTGTGATTTGATCGCTGTCGCATAAAAACCAAATTTACTTGGTGCACGTATATTGCCTTAGATTCCTTTGAAAGAATGAACAACCCGGAGGTTCACTTTTACAGTACAATCTCGATAAATTAAATAACATTGCTAAAATAATAAGTTCTCCCAGTTCTGATTTGGTGACAACTTGTTAGATAATTATCTCGATAAATTTAATATTTTGCTAAATTAAAATATTAGAAAATAGAAGCCCATGTCTATCTATGTAGCAGGGATTGAAGAATTCAATTATGTAGAATTAGTTGGTGGGTGGAAGTTGATTTTCCTTTACATAATTTATTTCTTGAAAGAAGCAACCAGAGTTTTTTATTTAGAGTGATGGGAGTTGCTGTTGGGCTATTTGGCATTTGCCACGTGGCACATTGAAATAAATTTTATTGAATTATTGATCAATTGATCAATCCATAACTAATAAGAAAAACACTGAAAATAGAGCAAATAATTTTATCAACTTACAATTAGTATTGCACAATCTAAAAAATCAGTACGAGAAAAATCGTGTTGTCAACATCCAAATGTAACTAACCTGCATGAATTTTCAATTTCAAACACATCATAAATATTTTGCCAAATTACAACCAACCCCCTGAGGTAATGTCAAATTACGAAAACCCCTTTATGTTTGGATAATTACAACTACCTCCTTCAATTATATATTTATATTTAAAAAAAAAACCTTTCATGCAATAGGTATATTTGACACCGTAAGTGTGAACGCGTAAGACAATAAATATTTGAAGGGAATAATTGTAATTACCAAAACATGATATTATTATTATTATTATTTTTTTTTTTTTGTTGTAATTTGGCGTAAATATTTCTCAAATTCAACTAGTTTAGTTGAATGTTTCAAATGAGTTGGGCATATATCATCATGAATTGATTGTGAGTGGTAGCTCAATTTGTATGTTAGTGACAAGTTCAATTCAAGACAATTTATAAAAAAATAATATATATCCAAAGGGCACCATAAATTCAAAATTTGTGCACTTGTTTAACATTTACTACGTTTTAACGTTACTGTATTTGTCCTACTCCACTTTGAATGCTTTTACGTTATATTATATATCAAATTGCTAACAATTTTTTTTTTTTTAATTCTAATTTCCTCACCTTAAAAAAGTTACATGTACACTATGGTTGTCGATCAGTCAACCATATTTTTTTTTGATATTTACTACCTATTATAATAGTTTAAATTATGAGAAAAGTTAGTACTAAGTACTCATGCGACGGGGTTCAGTTCGAAACGGTTGGAGTTATTGGGCCAGAGTTCAATGAATGACAGAAATTAAGATGACTAGGCCAGGGCCCAATGAATGGTAATAACCAAGATGAATCAAACTGATGCTAAGAATAAACTAGCGGTAAGAAGGTCACCAGTCGCATGCATGTATAAAAGTCCGTCAACTTACAACAGGTCACGTAAGAGAAATAATAATGATTGGTAGGTGACGAGCTCGAAGACAGTTGTTAGAGAAGAAGATCTCATTATAACTTTCATAAATGGATGCGAAGAATATGTAAATTATGATCAATGACTAATTAATATCGGACGAGTAAAGAGATCTTCAATTATAAAATATCCATATACAAATCTCTACTAATGTGTAAAACCCTATTAAGATTACAATTTAACATGAATAAATTAAAAAAATACTCTCTCTCTTTTTAATATTTTTTCCGCTCATTTGTTCATATCCACTGACCCTAGATCCATTGTCGGATGAACTCTCCTACAATCGAGTGAGTTAAATTCAAAGGAAATTTTTTTGCAAGTACATCCAAAAATAGGATTCAAAATAATATGTTTTCCCTAACTATCATTTAGTTAATCAAAACAACAATTTAAGAAAAATCCCTTATTGTTGGGATAATTAAAACCACTCCTCAACTATTTTACTTCTTAAAAAAAACCCCATTATTTAGCAGATAAAGTTGGCGCCGTAAGAGAGTACGTTATTATCCAAACAGAATGAAAATTTTCAATAGATAGATTTCTAATTTATTAGTATTATACATTTGATTGTTTGATGAGGTTTGTTAGGTAGAAGTGGAGGTTAGCACCCAAATGAAATGAAACAAAGTGTTTAATTTGGATGAAGGAACAGTTGAGACAACGGTACGGAAACGAAAGCGACAGCACATAGGGTTTGTCCGAGTATGGAAGGATTAGTACTCAGCATCTAACCTAGGGTTTCCTCTTTCATCATTAATCTCACACCTACCTACACTGAGGATCTCAATTTCATCCACAAATATAGAAGAAGAAGAAGAAGAAGAAGAAGAACACACTCTCCACTGCGTGTTTCTGCGTGCTAAGCAAAAAATGGTGTCCAATTACCTTCTTCTCGAAGAGCCCATGAGGATGGCTTCCATTCTCGAGCCTTCTAAGCCTGTAATTTTACTTTACTCCTCTCTCACTGCAACAACTTTTTTTTTCTTTTACTGATCATCATACTGAATGTTGATGCTTGAGCTGGATCTTGGTCTCTGCTTCTGTGATTTTGTACGATTGTGATTTACTTTGATGTTTCTGTGTGGAGATTTTCAGTTTAGATTTAAAAATGAACAAGTGTTTGATCTTCGTTTTAGTGACGATGAATTCTTATTGCAATTGAATCTCGATACATACATTATACAGTAGAACCTCGATAAATTGATAACCTCGCTTAAAATAATAATTTATTCCGGTCCCGACTTGGTAAATACATACTGAATTTTTAGTTCGATAATTCAATATTTCGCTAAATTAATAGAATTTCGCTAGTCCCGGTGGTATTAATTTATCTAGGTTTAACTGTATGTATAATGTGTGCTGTGTGTGTGGGGGGGTTTCATATGCCTGTAGTTTTTAGGATGATTGATTAATTAGTTAATTAATTAATTATGAAAGGAATTTCTGTATTCAGAATTTCTTCCCGGCAATGACAAAGATTGTGGGGACACTTGGCCCGAATTCGCGGTCGGTCGAGGTTATTTCTGGCTGTCTCAAGGCCGGAATGTCTGGTGAATTTCTTTAACTCATTTCTGTTTTTCAGAACTAATAGTCTTTGTGTATTGATCTTACTTACCTATTTGATATTTCTGAGTTTCAATTTATTACTCCATCTTGTTAGTTAATTTAAGATGTTTAACGTTTCCAAAAGTTGCTCGATTTGATTTCTCGTGGGGCGATGCTGAATTTCACCAAGAAACGTTGGAGAACTTGAAAGTGGCCATCAAGACAACAAAGAAGCTCTGTGCGGTATAGTTACTTCTTGCACTTACTTCGAAGTATACAATCTTTTTACAAGTCAACAAAGTCTAGACTAATTTGTTTTCTCGGTTTTTTTTAGGTAATGCTTGATACAGTGGGTCCAGAGCTGCTAATTGTAAACAAATCCGAGCAACCTATTTCCCTTGAGGAAGGTACTTTGGTTGTCCTAACGCCCGATCAAGATAAACAAGCTACTTCAAATTTACTTCCCATTAATTTCAGTGGATTATCCAAGGTAAAAACAAGAAACCTCGATTTTGCAAAGATTAAATTAAATTATTGCACAAACTTATCCTTTTCCAACTTTACAGGCGGTAAAGAAGGGAGACGAAATTTTCATCGGCCAATACCTTTTCACTGGAGGTGAAACAACTTCAGTTTGGCTGGAGGTATGATAAATCATTTTCCGTAATATTCTAAACAGAATTTTTTATTGCTCACATTGCTCCATTTTTTGTCCGAATTAACTACTAACGTATGAATTTCGACATGAAATTGTGTTAAAAATGCCTTATCCAAGAAAAATTGTAGGTATCTGAGGTGAAAGACGAGGATGTAGTTTGTATGATCAAGAATTCTGCCACATTGGCCGGGCCATTATACACATTGCATGTGTCTCAGATTCGAATTGACCTTCCTACCCTCACCGATAAAGATAAGGAGGTATGTACATTGTACATATGCTTTCAAGAAATACTTTTCTTTAAATAATTTTGAACCTTTGCTGATTTATCTTTACACGGTGTTTCTGTTTTTCGTATCGTAATCAGGTTATAAGCACATTTGGACTTCGAAACAAAATAGACTACCTTTCACTTTCGTATGCTCGACGGGCAGAAGATGTTAGACATGTGAGTGACTTACTTATAGTTTGATATTATTTCCGTAATTATGAGTTTGATGCTTTTTGATTGGTGGTGGCAAATGGTGATGATTTTCGTGTTTTTTTTTATTTTTTTCAGGCACGTGATTTTCTTTCTAAATTGGGTGACCTCAGTCAGACACAGATTTTCGCGAAGATTGAGAATGTCGAGGTTAGAAAATGCTCTCTATCGAAACTTGAAGCTGCATGAACTAATCCTTTGATGAATTGTTGGTCTCATAATTTGGTTTTTTATATGATTTTTATTGCAGGGATTGATTCATTTTGATGAAATTCTACAAGAAGCAGATGGCATAATCCTGGCTCGTGGAAACCTCGGAATCGATCTCCCCCCAGAGAAGGTCCATCATTGGATTTCGATAACATGATTCATTTATTACACTACTTCAATCTTGAAGCAAATATGGAGTGATTTGTCAAAAATAAATAAATGAAATAAAAAATTATAAAAATATAAACATTCACAAAAGAAGTAACATCGGTGTGCGTAAATCAAGTCATGATAATTTGAAAAATAAATAAAAATAATTAAATCTTACAACTCTAATATGGAGCTTTCGAAAACTTATATATATTTTGTAATGTATTCAGGTATTTTTATACCAAAAGGAAGCTCTTTACAAATGCAATATCGCGGGAAAACCAGCAGTGGTCACTCGTGTTGTAGACAGTATGACAGACAACCTAAGACCTACTCGTGCAGAGGCAACCGATGTCGCAAATGCTGTGCTCGATGGTATCCTTTTCCACTCTCCGACAGTATTTTCCGTTCTTTTTTCTTCTTTTTTTTTTTTTTCTTATTTTTGAATCTTGAAACATTTGTCATAGGCACTATAGTTTGAAAACTCTAAAAGCTTGTCTAGTCTCACTTTTATTTACTTGTTTTCAGGTACCGATGCAATTCTTTTAGGGGCAGAAACATTGCGTGGATCATACCCCATCGAGACAATATCAACAGTTGGTAGAATTTGTGCTGAGGTGAGGTTTAATCCTGTAATGAATTATTCCCTTGATTAATTTATTTATCGCCCCTGATAAATATAATCACGTTTCGTTAATTAAACTTACTATGGTGAAAACGTGCAGGCGGAAAAGGTTTACAATCAGGAACTCTATTTCAAGAAGACTGTCAAGCATGTAGGCGAACCAATGACGCACATGGAATCAATAGCTTCCTCAGCTGTACGTAACTGTAGTAATATTATTTAAACGAGGTTGTTAATTTATTGAGGTTCTACTGTGTATATGCATTGCTTTATTTGATGTAGGTCCGTGCTGCTATCAAGGTGAAAGCTTCTATGATTATCTGTTTCACATCATCGGGAAGAGCTGCAAGGTTTGTCCTTTCTTTCTCTAGCAATATTTCCACACACACCAACATGGATGTGTGTGTGTGTGTGTATGTTTTTTGTTTTGGTGTGCTGATTAATATCTGTATTTCACGCAATGTAGCATCTAACAGACCACCGTTGGCCATTTAAAATGTTTGAAAATATATTCAATTTTCTATTTTTTGGTCTTTGAAAGTGAAAATAAAAGTGAAATGCAATCGCAAAAATCGTTGTACTTTCTGAAAAACGTCGACATATAAAAATGCAGGTTGATAGCTAAGTACAGACCTACAATGCCGGTTTTATCCGTCGTGATTCCACGTCTTAAGACAAATCAGCTCCGTTGGACCTTTACCGGTGCTTTTCAGGTACGATATTATATGGTTTAGTTTGTTCGTTTATTATTTACTCGGGCATCCATTAAGATTTCAAATCCAATATACTGTGCTAAATTAACAATTATTCTTCTTGAATATGATTTTTCGTTTCATGTTCAATAATCTAAATTTCTCGAGTATTTTTTTCATCATCGTTGTGCATGTGAATGCAGGCTAGGCAATCTTTGATAGTGAGAGGGCTTTTCCCCATGCTTGCAGATCCTCGACATCCGGTAAGATTATTTTCTTTTCATAATTAATTTATCAAAAAAATGCTTATAAACTAATACAAGTACTAATATATTACATTATATCATTTTTCAGTCTGAATTCTCAAACGCAACAAACGAGTCCGTTTTGAAGGTAGCTCTTGATCACGGTAAGGCATCTGGGGTTATAAAACCGCACGATCGTGTTGTGGTTTGCCAGAAAGTTGGTGATGCATCTATCGTCAAGATCATCGAGCTTCAAGATTAGATTTTTTTTATTGATTAATTCCACTTAATTGTTGTTGTGCTTTTATTATGAAAACTTTAGATATTATTATTATTAATCCTATTTCCAAGAACTCTATTCCTATTGTATTCTCAAGAATATTTTTCAATATAAATATTATAGGGCAAACTACATCTACCTCCCCTGAGGTTAGGTGTAATTACACATATAGCCCCTAAAGAGAACGAAACGACACACTTTGAACCGAATTCCTCACAGACAAGGCAAAGCCACTCTTTACATCACTGATAAAAAAGAACTATCGTCGATAGCCAGCAAAACGAATTTTTTTCCTGGTTTAAATCATCCAATAATTCATTAATGCAGATCGTTAAAAAAATGTAACATAAAATGCACTACACCCCTCGAATCATTGCTTCAACATGATAAAATAAAGATTCTTTATGTACATGATAAAAACATATGTATGCTACAGTGACTTCGATCCTCTATACGCTAGTTGTTTCTAAATTAAAAACAAAAAATAAGGTTACGAGTTTACAAAGGTTTGTGCATAGAACGTTCTTTTGCATATTCAAAGGGCGTCCGAAAAACGCAGCTCTGCTGGACCAGGACCTAATATTCCTTTCTGCTCACTAATCTTACCAAGATTCGAATTTGGTTCAGATTGCCCAATTTTGTCGTCCTCTTTCCGGACTTGCCTATCTCTCTGTGGCATCGGAGGAACCTGAATTGATAACCATCACACGTGATGTTAGTATATGATTCGTTATCCAATATTCTATAGAATCTCAACCGAGCAAGGTAATCGAAGATATAATCTTAATTAATCAAACTGATTCTACACTTGCCAAAGAGTTTCAGCATATATTCATCATTAACCCATCACACTAATTGAAAGATCGACAAATATGAAAGTTCGTTAATGTTTCACGAGTATCAATCACGTGTCGTTATGAGTCGGCAGACAATTAACTAGATTAATAGCCACGTGTATCAAACACATGTCATCATTCAAGAAAATACTTACCTTGTTTCACACCGTTCAAATTATTGCATTAATTACAAATACAGTTAAACCTCTATAAATTAATATAGTCTGAACTAGCAAACTTCTATTAATTTAGCGAGATATTAAATTATCGAACTAATAATTTAGTAGGTTTTTACCTACTCGGGACCAGAAGAAACTAGTATTTAAGCGATGTTATTAATATATCGAGGTTCTACTGTACAAGTTTTTCTTTCAACTTTCCAGCATTTACATCATATAATCTTTTAGAAATCACATTTTGTTCCTTTTCTTCACTCAATCACTATTTAAAGCTTCGTATTTTTATTTCACTTCCTTTTCTTCACTCAATTGTCATTTAAAGCTCCAGGCTTCTTGCCTAAATCGTAATAACAATTAACGAGCAGGCATGCATATACATGAACTTTCAAAACAGTAAGTTTTAATCTAGCCACAACAGAGGTAAGATAACCATACAGTCATCCTCAGCACGAAAACACTGCTCTATTTGAAGTCAAGTCCCAAAAGAACTGGATAATTCTTTATACTAGAAACCTCCAAGTGTTTCACGTGTAAGATAAACCTTATATTGAGAGTTAAAATATTTATCGGTGTGAAATTGTAAGTTCAGATAGAGAATTGGATCCAAGATAGCTGCTTTACTGTTAATCTCATGGCGTTTCCACTTTAAAAATGTTTTTAGTCTACGGTTTTAAATCCTAATTATTCCTTTACTACATTTTCCTTATTTCACTTGCCTCGTCGTGATTGTGGCCTCCATCTTCGTATAATGGGGTCATGAGAGGAGGGGCAATATCTGGATCTGGCTTCTGAAAGATGAACGTAGTATATAGACCTGCAATGCACAATAGATGACTTGATGTTAGTATCCGGAAAATTGAAAGAAAAATAAAATAAAATATCGTTTTTTTATTATGAAATAGTATGTATTATGAAGCAATGAATCACCTAAAACATCATATGATCTCGGAAGAAGTCGCCCTCGTTGATCCACAAGATTATGACCAGCATCCACGAGCATTCCTGCCAATTGTGCTCTTAAGAGACAAGTTAAGAAATGTCAGCGTTCCGATTATATGACAAATATAAGCATGAATAAAATAGTTCCAAAACAGGAGCCTCATTGTTTCTTTAGTGGTTTTTATCTGCCAAAGAATAAATTCTAAAAAAAGTAAAAAAGGATTTGTCCAATCAAGGTATACTTTAGATTCAGCATGTAATTCGGTTGCCAACTGTATGAGTTCACAAAAATAAAATTACAGATAATTCTTTATATAGTACAGAGGAAAAAAAAATGTAATGTGCAACCATATCAATTTCTATGCATGTAATGGACGATATATTATGTTACGTCTAAGTTGATTGAAGGTGATTTTATCATGTAATAATTGTGTGCTTACGGGAACTAATGAAAATTCGATGCATGAAAACTCATTGGGGAAGCAAAAACTAAGTTAGAAGGTTGATACTAATAAATCGAAATGGACTGACAGTAACCATAAATAGAGCAAAGCTTACGATCCTCAATCAATTTTGGAACAATGTAAAACACAGCTCCAACAAGGAAGCGATGATCTTTAAAAGGACGAAAATTGCAAATTAAAAGAATTATTTCACTACCTACAAAGTAATGGACACAGACAGGAAAACATAAAATGCAAAAATTGAAGAGAAATCACCTATTGTCGTCATAAAATTCAGTCAAGTTTTGTATCTCCACATGCTCAAGGCCAGCCTCTCTAGCCAACCTGCAGCACGTAATTCCAGAGTAATATTCATATTTATGAATGAAAATATTGGCTTGCAGTTGGACTATTATGTTTGTCTTATGCAGTGAAGCTTCATATGAAACTTAAGGAAACACACTATTTCATAACTGGAGATGTGTTTACACCAAAAAGAGCACTGAGAAAAGAATAAATAACTGGGATAGATGTGATACCACAAAATCGAAAAGAGAAAATATCACCTGAGCAGGCTTGGGAAATGGACTAGGTAATGAGTTTCAGCAGACATGTCACCGGCAAATTTTAGCTGGTACTTTTTACCAAAAAATGGGAACCTTGAAAATTTTGAATGTTAGGAAGATCATGCGAGAAGAAAATATGAAGAGAGAAAATGGAGAGAATGTATTATAGTTCGTGCATACTTCTCTTCCTCAACTTCAAAAGTAATCATGTAACTCTCTGATCTAATGCAGTTTGGAACAATGTTGGGCTTCATTCCTCCTGCCCTATTGTGGCATGCTTCGACATTTTTCTGGTACTTGGCCCTATAAATCCACGTGTTAGACTTTAGTTTAGGAAGCCACAAAAGGCTGAAGAAAAAAGCAAGCATCTCTCCACTACAAGTGAATAGCTTCAATTTTTCTGCAACGCCTTACTGGTAGAAAAACTACATATAAATTATAAATAGCTGAAATTATGGAGAGAATATGGGAAAACTTCATGTGCTATATTTAACACCTGCTAGAAAGCACTCAGTTAGCTAGCAGCATATGACATGTCTGAAAAAGGGTAATACAGGTAGATGCATAAGTATCTCAGGCACAAGAAATTGAATAATATTAATATGCAGGATTTGCAGATCAATATTCACTCTAAATGAAAACAGATATGTTACTGATCCTTTAAAGTCGATTATGTTGAAATTTAAGTCACAATAGTATCTAATGAAAATCAGAAACAGAAGGTCGTCCAACAAACAATACAAGGATTGCAATGCTGGGGAAAGGTAAATATGTCAACAAAAGAACAATGTAGCTTCATACCAGATAGTAGATGAGTCGGGAGTAATACCAAGAAAATATCCCCCCGGCTTCAGCAAAGTTGAGATGTTGGACAGCAGTCTCTTAACTTTCTCTTCAGTTTCAACGCATAACTGCCGGCAAAAATGGATAGAAAGTTTATATTGAATATTATCTTTTAGCACATTAAAGACTCATGGACGTATCTTCTTACCGGTAAATGCTGCATGCAGAAAACAATGTCAGCTTGGTTTTCCTTGTTTTTCCAATGCAAGTCGATGTCTTCCTGCAGAAGACATGGATCGGTGACAGAATGAAAAAAAATGGAACACAGCAAACAAGCCCAGAAAATAATATGCTGAAAATAGAGAACTAAAAGCTCAGTAATAATCACCTAGAATTCAAACCAGTTGAAATTAAAACAAAAGATCCTGGGAGCTGTTATTAAAACACTTCCCCACTGAAGGAGCTTCTCCAATTGATATGTATACCGGAAAAAAATCAGTGTACATTCTGTAAAATTCTTAAAAGTAGACAACAGCCCCTCCTTTTAACTTCTTTCGATAAGAAAGCAACCAAAATAAAGTCCTCCTAAAAAACGAAATTTCATCCTTCCCATTTTCAATGTAGTGTGTTTCTCTTCATTCTAGACTCGATTCAGTAATTTTTTCATACTGGCTGTGAGCAGTAAATTACTTAAAAATGCAGCGACCCATTCCAGATAGACAATTTAAGCGATCAACCTCAGTAACCACAGTAACTATAAGTGCATAAAGGGATTTAAAGAGCTCACAATGCAAGGATCAAATTCAAGAAACTCAGACGTGTAACCCTTGCGTCGACTCTCCCAAGCTTCTCGCACTTCACTTACTCCAGATGTCTCCACATCTGCACCATAAAATTCCATGCCCAATAATCAAAATTCACCCCATTTTCCACAATTCAACTTACAGGAATAAAAACGGAAAATATCACACAAGCTCATGTAATATAGATAGAGCAGTGACATCCTGACAAGACACAATTATAAAATCCATAAACCACTCCGTAACGATTCGTTCACTCCTTCAGAAATTTAGCAAAACAATGTACGCCACGTCGCCAACTCAAAAAAGGAAAGGAAAAAAAAACTATGAAATAAATGATAAGAAATCATTTATTACCAATGCCAATGTAGTGACCAATCTGAGCTTCATCCCACTTTTCCTCATCAGGTACTTTCCCACAGTACAAATCGCAAACCTAATCGAAAAATTCATTGATAATCACTCATAAAAAATAAGAAGATTCATGCAAAAAAGTACGAATAACAACACAAAAACAAAATCAAAAGTAAAAAAGAGGGGAAAAAACAATGAAGAAGAGAAAACGAATACGGTGGCGTAAGGGGAGACGAAGATGTTGATTAGGGCGGCTTTAACAAACTCGATTAGGCGGTGGTGGATCGACTCGGTGGGGCGGTGAGCTGTGAACGAATTCAGCATCGTCTCTTTGAAAAATCTCTAAAACCCCAAACACCGCACCAGAGAACTGATAATGGGAGGGAAATTTCAGGGGCGGGTCAAATATTACTAAAATATGCCATTAGATTTGGGTATTTATTGATCAGTCCCTCATGTTTATATAATTACGAACAAACCCCTCATGTTTGGATAATTACAACTACTCATCAACTGTGAATCTTCTTACACGTCCACCATTATGGTCTCAAATTCAACATAATCTTCTAGATTCCGTGGAATGTTCTATAATTTGTACTCATTTTGTGCAGAAATGCAATTTCTGATGCACCAAAATCTATTATATATACAAGCCAAAAAACACATTTTATGATCATCTTACTTCAAATGTGGAGCTCAAATGGGATACTAAATTGAGAATATTGTATATAATCTAGAAGATTTCACTAAACTTGACACCATAAGGGTGGACGTGTAAGAAGATTTATATTTGAGGGGTGGTTGTAATTATTCAAATAGGAGAAGATTGTTTCGTAATTTGACTATACCTTAGGGGTAGTTGTAATTTAACCTTCTTTTTTAATTAAAGGGCAAAAAATGCAAAATAAAAACAAAAGCGTGGTGCAAACATAAATAAAATAAAATATTGTGGACTAAAAGGTGCACTTTTTTTTTTTCTTTTCTTTCGAGCATGCTTCAAGTCTGAACAACAAATTAGTTGTGAATTCTCTCCGATCAGTACTTGGTCTCTTCTTCTTCATCGTATCAATTCAAGAAAAGAAGTGAAAAGAAAACAAACAGAAGTTACAGAAATGGGCGAGATTGGAAACGAGACTTTGGTGGAAGCTGCGCTGAGAGTGCTGAACACAGCAGATCCATTCGAAAAAGCTCGGCTCGGCGATGAAGTTGCGGAGAAATGGCTGAAGGGAGATATCGTAATTCCCTACCACGCTTCCCCGGACACACCCGTACCCGATCGCCCCGCCCGTCTCGCAAATGTATTGTTGAACGGAGCTCCGATTTCATTTGCCCGCAAAGTGCTCGACGAAATGCCGGAACGAAAAAAGTTTTGTGACAGACGCTTGAAATAATATGATGTGATTCTGTTTGCAGGTGAAGCTGGTCTCCCCGAGTGAGATGCCGAAGCTCGGAAAGGCGGGGAGTTTGCAAAGCAGAAGGGCTATTGTGCATAGTCTTGTCCACACTGAAAGCTGGGCTATTGACTTATCATGGGTACTACTTTTGTTATAATTGTGATGAATCTAACAATTTTGTTTTCGCATGCTCTTAGTACAATCTCTGGATTGTGTTTGATTAATACAGGATATAATTGCTCGATTCGGTAAGCAAGAGTTGATGCCGATAGATTTTTTCACGGACTTTGTTAAAGTGGCCCAAGACGAAGGCCGACACTTCACCTTGCTTGCAGCACGGCTCGAGGAACTAGGATCTTCCTACGGAGCATTACCTGCGCACGACGGTCTTTGGGATTCTGCTATTGCCACTTCGAAAGATTTGTTAGCACGTTTGGCAATCGAACATTGTGTTCACGAGGTATCCATTTTATTATCTCATCACCAAAAAAGAAAAGAATGGGAAAATTACACTTTTCGTCCCTCCAGTTTACCTCGATTTCACATCTGGTCACCCTTGTTCACAAAGAAACAGATTTAGTCCTCAACAATTTAACACTTTCGGTCTTCTCCAGCAATTTACCGTCAGTTATGTCAGTTAAGACATTAAGACTGATGGGCACAAGCTTGATTTTGTGACAAAAGGGACCAAAAGTATTAAATTTTTAAATCATGAGGGAGTAAATTTATTTTTTGCGAACAATGAGGACCAAATGTGAAATTGATGTAAACTTGATGAACGAAAAGTGTATTTTTCCCAAAAAAAGAATATTGCCAACCGAATAACGAGCTCTTTCAAGTTTCATATTATTCATCGAATTCTTTGAGAGTGCATTTGGATGGAGGGATTTGGGGGAGGGATTTCAAATCCATAATAACAAATCCCTCGAACTTGTTTGGATTGAGGGATTTGGAAATGGATTTCAAATCCCCACCCCTCCTTTTTAGTTGATTTTGGAGCAATATTGATGGATTTCAAATGACTCCAAAATTGGAGTCATTTCAAATCCATTCCCCAAATCAAATCCCTCCCCAAATCCCTCCATCCAAATGGACCCTGACATTATTTGAACTTTCGATTATAGTTCCGTTTCAGTAATAAACAGCTATGTTTATTCTCAGGCTAGAGGGCTAGATGTGCTGCCAACAACCATATCACGTTTTCGGAACGGAGGTGATGAGAAAACGGCAGAGTTATTGGAGAAAGTTGTTTATCCGGAAGAAATTACACATTGTGCCGCTGGAGTTAAGTGGTTTAAGTATATATATCTACGTTCGAAAAATCCCGCGTTGGATTCCGATTTTGAGGTATCTGAGGAAAGCGAAGCTGAAGTAATTCAGAAGTTTCATGAAACTGTGAGGGCTTTCTTTAGAGGGCCATTGAAGCCACCTTTCAACGAGGCAGCGAGAAAAACGGCTGGATTTGGACCTCAATGGTACGAACCTCTTGCTGTCAAAGCCTTCTCTACAGAATAAAGAGTCTTAACTGCCCAAATAGGGGGATTTTTTTGAATGATCAGAGCAACGTCTCTCCCGTTATTTAAGATATTGTTTTGTAGCAAATTTTGTATCGAGAATCTCATGTTTTTGCGAATTGAAAAATCAGTTATGAATATCTAAAATCAGATTTACTCTTCAGGATGTTTCAACTGCAACACTGATTAATAATTGAAAAATGGATAAATACTTTTTGAAAACCGTTTTAATGAAAAATCATAGACATAAAACGAGGGTGGCGATAAATTTACGTTTTCTCTAAATCGAGATATTAACACTTCAAACAAGAACGAGTGAGAGATCAATTTATTGGCAGAGAACAGACGAGATGAGTATCTCTCGTGTTCGTCATTTTATTTTATTTTTACAGGAGAAAAGAAACAAGCAAGATCACGATTGATCTTTGTAGTCGAACAAAAAAAAAACTCAGGGAGCAATTTATGCCGAAATATGTGCAAAGTCTAACGTATGTGTGTGCTTTGCCCCAAAAAATGGAACTTAATCAGTCAAAAATTAGTATGGGAAGGTAAATTGCACAACAGAAGAATCAGCACCGAGCTCTAGGAGAAGAGAAGATCAATCTAGACCATTTCTGAAATTCCAGCTTATGATCTACGAAATTTCCTACGGCAGTGAAAATAACTTATATGCCATCACAAAAGTAGCCTCTTAATATCACTGAAATTTGAGCGTAAAGCTTCCATGAAGGTGCCTGCAAAACAGATTCATGTAATGCCGTCACATTCAAGAACAAATATGGTAAAGGTGAAACGGCCATACTAATTTAAGCAAGAAACAAAGGAACAACTACTATCTCTACACGACTCGTTGAGATAAGATGAAATCAGTTTTTCAAAAAAAAAAATGTATTAAATACCTCCAACTTTTCCGTCAAAAACGCGATGGTCGGCAGACAATGTTAAGTGCATCTTTGTAACAACAGCAGGCTTCTCGGTCCCTGGAAATGAACAATATCCAAGTTAAAGATTATCATAAGGGTAGAGTGCCGGAATCTTTGCATTGAACAAGAACGTGCATCGATGTATTACCATCGTCTGCAATAACGGGTTCAACAACTTGATTGCCTCGACCAACAGCAAGAATACCAGCCTTCAAGAAAGAAATGGCCAAATTATCAGATATATAATGCACATCTAGAGTAGATATGAAGGCACTATACAGTCAGGATGATTTTCCTTTTCCCCAAAACTGTAGAGCTAGTTAAAGACATATTTTCGGACTGTAGATACCAAGTTCAGGTAAACATAAATATCATTAGATATATTATGCAAATCCACAGTAGATCGACCTTATAAAGTCAAAATATTTATTTTCCCGAAAACTAGACAAGCTAGCTGACGTAAGACTGATGTTATTTTGGGCCTGTAGAGACCAAGTTCAAGTAGACGTCCTTCTTGAGCCATAAATATCTTGGCCCATGGGGCTGCGAGCTTGTATATTCATATATAAATTGCATTTTGCCAGTATGTTAATATATCAATTATGTTTGTGTGTGTGCGCACGCACGCCCGCACAAACACAAACACACATAAAGAGAGGGTAAGAGAGAGAGAGAACCTGGGGTGGGTTTATAATTGCACAAAAATGATCCACGGGAAACATTCCCAAGTTTGAGATGCTGCATGGAGGAGAAACGTTGACGGTTCAGCAAAAGAAATAAAAAATGGCTGATGCATTATGTTAATGTAATGACCAAATTAAGTGTAATATGAAGTCACCTGAAAGTGCCGCCTTGGAATTCATTTGGCTTAAGCTTTCCAACCCGTGCTTTTTCAGCGAGTTCCTTAACCTTTGGAAACAGCAAAAATGGAAAGAGAATAAAACATGTGATCTCTAGTAGATGAAATCCTAAAACTAAATGGAACATAAAATGACCATAAGACAATCTAAAAAGAAAATATGTTCCGGTGTGCACCTCTAAGGAAATTGATGATATAGACTTCTGATCCGCATTCCTAATTATCGGAGTCATCAAGCCCTGAAATTGACAGAAAATGGTGAGTGTCCTGAGGGCAAGGCATTTAATTGTTGAAACATAAAAGTGATATCTCACAGAATACCTTCTCTGTAGCCACTGCAATAGATATGTCCACCGAATCGCATAAGACTATCTCATCGGTTTTGGCATCCCAATAAGCTGCATAATTAGCAATATTCAGCACGTAATGGAAGAGTTCATAGAAAGCAACATTCAATATAAACAAAACAACTTATTTAATCAATCTCATGTAAAAAGTTTTGTGCCAGCTATTAAGAAACAAGAAACTTATACTCAGCAAGCTGAATACAAGAAGATGAGTCGAATTTTTCTTTTTATTTTTTCTCACTCTTCCCGTTGATCGCTCATCTTCCTTGTAAAGAATAAAAATTAGAAGCAGGTATAAACACAATTAACTCTTACCATTTGCTTCTGGTACATTTCTCAATGCAACAGCAACCGCTTTAATCACAATATCATTTACGGAGACTTTAACATCATACTTCGCTGCGAAGCAAAATAAATGAGATCTTATGATAGTGCTCTTCACTATAAAGACCAATAGATTAGAGATCAAACTCCCTACCTTTTAGTTCCTTTCTGAATGAGAGAAGAGGATCCAGTACAACATCTAGTACAATCCATTGAAAATAAGTATCAAATGTGTACCATAAATATGTAATGCTAAAAGGGAAAATATCAACAAATGTTTGAAACCTGTTGATAAATATAAATGAGGTATGGATTGCTTGGATTCCAATAACCGTGCTGCTATTACCTACAAAGATTCGACAAAACAATCCTCATATCATCATCAGAAGAAAGGTTAGCAATTTTCATTTTACAGGAGAAATGGAGGGGCAGTCTACGGCTCATCGCTCATGTTCAGCAATGGTGTTCGGGGAAAGCATAAGAAAATAAGATTATTTAAGCTAAGTGTGACAGCTACAAAATGGAGAATTTATAATGAACCAAACTTAGTATATATCCGCAGAATACTTGTTTCTTGACAATCTATCCAAAGAGTAAAGCATTAACAAATCTCTTGTGACTGTGGCTTTCGTATCTTCTTAAAATGGGGGGGCATATAAGCATTATAGAAGATTTCTGTTAACTAGTGATTCTACTGAAGGTAGTAAAATAACGATTAGATACAGAAAGAGCTAACATCTTTTCCGTGGTGAAAAATGATGCAAAATTTGTTGGTACCAAGGATCATGGTTAGTATAATACGTTTTTGCTCTTTTGTAGCATGAAATCAAATAGCAACTTCTTCCATAATTGTCTAGAGAAGAGACAAGCATATTACCAGAGTGACATTATATTCACAATGCTTATTAGACTAATAATTTCTTTCGTCAAAACCATCAAAAATTCTTCTTGATTCATCCATATACTTCACATTACCACACATTACATTCAATTACAACAGGATGACTCCTACTTTATCGTGCAATCATCTTCACAAGTTATTAAATTTTGAACTTTTTGATCTAAAAACTCAGCAAGCTTCCATTCATTCACTCAAATTAGTAATTGTTACTCCTCTCTGGTGAAAACTAGAAAAGATTAACGCGGGTTAGTTTCTTCCATAATAACAATAGTCATAAGCTATAAAACTCTGCAACTGAAATTTACTTAGAATCCATAACCTAAATGTAAAGGAACTCAATTCAAAAGTATTCACAAATTACTCAACATTTAACTTCTTAAGTACCTTGCGAATTTGACTATTTGGCAGATCTTCATAAGAACCTGTCTCCTGTACAGTGGATTTTGATACCATTTGCCCGGAAGAAGAAGTTTGAGAGTGGACTGGAGGTGACGACAAAATTTTCTCTTGCTGACCCGAGACTTTGACAGATCCTTTTCCAGACTTAATGGCAGCTAAAACATCCCCTTTTAGCAAAGTGCCACGGGGTCCAGATGATGTTAATGATGATGCATCTAACCCGTGTTCTGAAATTAGCAACTTTGCAGCAGGACTAATTCGACTAAAACTTATTTTCTGAGTTTTAACATCCTTTGAAGTATTTTGCGAGACAGGCCTTTCATCTTTCACAGTCAGATCACCAGTAACAGATGCTTTAATAGCTTCAAGGTCACTAGCATCCTCAACCTATGAAAGATATAAATCCACAAATATGATCTCGCTAATGACGTGTAATCAACAACATGAGATACTGTTCTTTTTCTTTTAGTGATGAAAGATGTGGTTCCATTACAAGTTTATTTAAAATGAACTCACAGTTATTGCAATGGCCTGGCCCACAGCCACCTCTTTTGATCCTTCTGGAGCCAAAATTTTGGCCAAGAACCTGCATTCAACAAGCCAAACTATATTCAAAAACAAATTTTTTTAAGTAGGAAGTACAGCATTCATGAACTACGGTGCAAATAAAATATTTAAAACCATTGTAGTTTAAGTTCAATCAATATACTACATTAATAATCACAAACCCCTCCTCTTCCAACACCCCCCCACTCCACCAGTAAGACTTGGTTTGTTGTTTTGAACATATTGTTTAAGATTGTCGTGTTGGTATTTTTATAAGACTTATATGGCCAATGAATCGCAGAAAGTCTGAATATCCTAAATTTCTAAATAATTCAAGAATAAAGTTGAAATTTATTACCCTTCTTCAAGACTTTCAAATTCCAGCGTTGCTTTATCAGTTTCAATTTCACAAATAACATCACCAACCTCAATCTGCAACAAGCAAAGTGAAAATATGCTGTCAATCGCTAGTAAGTATTATACACAGAGAATCTTAATTGTTCATAATAATTGTATGACCTTGTCGCCTTCTTTTTTCAGCCACTTCGCAATATTACCCTGGTTCTGTGGATTGAAAGAGAAAAAGGCAGAGAAAGGAACACATTTCAGCAGTAAACAAAAGATTGGAAAAAAGTACTACAGAAAACATCTTCGAAACTCAAAGCAGGAGCTGGTCTGACCATAGTTGGTGATAGTGCTGGCATGTTAAGCACAATGTGAGGAGGAAGTTCGGATGTGCCGATATTCACAGAACTTGATTCCTGTATACTTTCTCCTTGTTTTAGGGTTTGTTCGCTGGATGGTTTCTCTTCGGCTTCTGACCCACTAATGGTTGCAGGAATATTGACTATATCATCTTGATCCTCTACCTAGGTAACAAAATCAAAATCAGTGGCCACATCATACCGGATGATGCTAATAACATCAAACAGATATATCGTCTCTTAAGAAAGAAAAATAATAAAGATGAGTATGGAAAAGTATTCTTCTAGAACCACCATCTTCATCAGAACAAGCTTGGCAGAAAACTCAAAAAATTATTGATCACGTGAACTGATGTATCAGGAATTAATTTAGCTTTATGATTTAACTTTTGAGATGGGGATAAGGTTTTGTTCACTGGAATTGAGTTCTAGTATTCTCAAACGAAGAACTCAAACAAACTCAGGATATGTAATGATACATTTAAAATTTTAAATAGCCTAGATTCTATCTGCAGAACATAAAGGGGAACAAAAAAGAGAGAGAATAATATAAGTCTAGGGCACGTAACTGTAATTGCTATAGGCTGTCCGACAGGTACATCTTTTGAACCTTCAGGCACCAGTATCTTAGCCAGAAACCTGCATATTATGTTCAAGGGGAACTAAATAAGCTATCAGATAGACAGCATGAAGTAATTTTTTGGTACTGAGGTATTTGAGGTAATACCCAAGAATCAAGAACAACATCAAAACACCTACAACCCAACAACAATAGCAATCAAGTAACACCCGACGAAGAATCTAAATTTAAGACATGCGGACAACTAATCTATGCAATTGGGAAGCTATAGTGAAAAACTAAACTAAATCAACACACTCAATTTAAGTAGCACTATGAACATAAAACATACAGATAACTAAACAAAAGCAAAGGTAGTTAAAAAGAAAGAAAATGGCACAAAAAGATTTGTAAAGTAATGACATAAATTAATGTATAGCGGACTTCTCAATTTACAATATTGATCCATCATTGTATATTATAAGGTTATTTACACTTCGTCCTCGCATACTTTAGCCAAATTTCATTTGCCCTTGTCTCCTTTGCACAGGAGACAGAAAGCAATATTGCCCTTTTTGTTTTAATTTTTTAGCCCCCCCCCCCCCCCCCCCACCCACCCACCCACCCAAAAAAAAGACCAAAAAAAATCAAAGAATTACCAAACTGTCCTTGCATATATTTTAATGGCTAAGTTTGTTATTTTAGAGTACTTTTAAGTAATTTAACTATAAATAGTAGGTAATCCCAATTTACTTATTATTTAAGAGTATCGAGTGTAAGTGAGACAATAGAAGTACAAAGGGATAAAGTGAGACATAATGAGAGCAAGAGGGTAAAATGAGACTAAATAAGAGTAGAGGGTAAAGCGCAATTAACTATAATATGAATGCTCGTCATCTTAATATTTGAGACAAAGTGTTACTAGTTGATCTGAGAAAATTTCAAAACAATATACTTGACAAGTTTTTAATCCAATAATATATGCGCATTCATGAAATAGCAACAAGCGACAACATATTGAAATCCAGAATTTACCCTTCTTCAAGACATTCAAACTCCAGGGTAGCTTTGTCAGTCTCTATTTCACAAATCACATCCCCCACTTCAATCTGTTGAATCCAGAAACAGAAAGAAAAAAAAAAGATCACATAAACTTAGTTTCTTGATAAATCATCTACATTCTCCATTAATTTATTTATGTATTGAACTCATCAAATATTTCTCTGCAGATACAGCTGAATGAAATTTTAGATGAGGAAATCTATAAACGACCTAGTAATTGGAACTGACCTTATCTCCCTCCTTCTTTCTCCACTTGGCGATGTTGCCTTGATTCTGTACGTAATCAAAAAGCACATTATAAATCTCAAAGACTGAGCTAGAATGGTTTTCGTATATACATCCATATAATCATGTTACCATTGTAGGTGACAAAGCTGGCATTTGAAGTACTGTATGCTCAGGAAGACCTGCAATAATATCAAAGCTTGATAATAATACTCAAGTCCAATAAACCATCAGTAAGCAAATTAACGTGTTCTCATCTATGTTTCTCAGAATACTCATACTACAGGTTTAAGGGTTGATACTCGCAATGGTAACTTTTAGCAGAAGTATCTGGAGAATGAAGCTCTGTTTGGATATAACAGAAACTTCTCTCCTAATGTTTCTTCGCCACTAGTCTAATACAAATCTCTTGAGGTGAAGGAAGTTGATAAAGGTAATATTACTAATCTCTATCAGCAGCCTTTCAGACTTATACTCTTCATCACCATGACGTTCTCTAACCTCCCAATGATTTGTTTTCGAAGTCTTACACAATCTGTATCTGTGATAGAAAAATCAACTCCACTGGAGAGAATTACAATACTGTATGCCTAAAGTCAACAGATAAGTTCAACCATTTGTAATAATCTTTCGTGACAAATAAGGGGCCATATATATAAAAGTGCAAGAGCAGATAGAAAAGCAGCTAACGTTTCCCATTTTCGGTTAAGACATTGATGTCAAAGCTATCTCTATGGGTTTTTAGTAGTTCAAGGTTATTAAATAATCTTTTTCAAAAAGTATATTTGAATAATTATTTGAATTGGCTCTACAATATTAGACATGAAAATATGGGACAACCGTAAGTAGGACAGAAACTATTAGATGGGTGGAGACATAAACTGGTGAAGAAAATTCAGTTAAGTGCCAGTTCATCAAGTTGACACTCCAAAAATTCAGAGATAAATTTGTGAAATGAATTGTACCTGCAGATGAATAGTTGCGAACACCAATTCGAAACTGCAAAACACATATAACTATAGTTAGAAAAAGAATTTAACGGTTAAAATTAAATCATCAAAGCAATGCTGTCACCAACCTTAATCTTAGAGGAATCATTACGAACACCATTGACGAAAGAAGTAGATATTGGCCTGCTGAATTTCATCATGAGTTAATGGAAAAGATAATACTGACCAGTGGTTATACATGCTCAGTTAATTTGATTAAAATACCCCAAACAAAGCTCCTGATGGTAGTCTGTAGCACTCAGAGGCCATGACGTAAGAACGCAGTAAAGGAAAACATTTTTTAAAAAATGTGTACTAATGTAACTTGCAATGTAAGCTGATACCTCTGAGTTACATGGCTCAGTTGTCAGGCTAGATGAATATCAAGAAATGCAGAAGAATTGCACAATCAGACAAAATGGGTGCTATCGTGTAGCTTTGGTTTTGGCCAAGTATGGAATTGAACTTTTAACATCCACCGGAGGGGTGTTTAAGGCAAAATGCCCCTCTATATTTTCACTAAGAAGAAACGTGCAACCGACAAACAGCACTAAAAAAATTGTCAAATTATAATAGAGAGCGAAAACAAAACTAGGCATGTCAAGTTTTCTGCACTGAAAGGCAACTGAAAAAAAGTGACTCATATGACTACTGGCTAAGCAATTAGATGTTATACATTATCCTCTACTTAATGTTATATTAACGTAACAATATACAAACAATGTGAACTCGAAGATGTCAGTTGTGAAAGCCAAGACTAACCTTAATAATGATTCTGCAACATCAGTACTAGAGTTTAGCCCCCTGGAAGTGAAGTAATATATTAACAATAAGATGAGAAACAAGAAAGTAAACAGATCTACAAGATTATAACTTCTGAAATGCATATAACAAACATGAAGATGATCGTAATGACGGTCACAATAAGCAGTCTCCATTTAAAGTACTTTATTAACAAAAAGAGTCCCAATTTATACTATGTACGACAACAGCTCAGAAAATGACTGATTTACACAGAATATATTACATGTATTATTGTATTATAATAATGCATTAACACCAAAAAAAACTGACTTGCCCAACTAATAACCTATTCGTGAGTGTGCCAACCAACAAATAAACCAATACGAAGTTTACCAGCATTTCCGCGTGTTTACAAGTAACTAGGAGTAGAGCAAACTGGCATCTTAAAGTCCATGAACAAAAGGTACTAGGTTCTCTTTCTGTGGCATAGCAATGAATTGTTGGAAAATAGACCGAGTGCATTTAGATCGATATAATATTTAGGAATTACAAACCCGCAAGTCAAAGTTCATACACATCTATGATGGGCTTGAAGCACATCAATTAGAACCTGTATTTTCTAGTACACGAAGCAGATATCAAAGTTCTTCACTTCTTAGATTTTCTAGAATAAACCATCTTATGATTTGGGAGATCAGTATTTCTCACTCTAAATCACTTTCCCTTTTCCACATTTCACATTACACAATCAAAATTGTTAAGGAACAACTTAGACCTTCACTTTATCGGCTTAGGTATCGTAAATAAGATGGAAATAATTATCTCGATGTTCAAAAATACAAGGAAAAGCCATTTTAGTACCAGAGAGATGATGACTAAGACAACTTGTGCATCTACAATTAAAAAAATTACTTCAAAAAAAAAAAAGAAAAAACCTATATGATCTCTCCACATGTCCTATATTAATTAAACTAAAAAACAATCCGCATTTGACACTCAATCAATCAATGATCTCTTCCAAAACTACTTCCAATCAAATCGAAATCAAATTTCACGAACTCAACGAAATAATCAGATTAAATTGATCCATTTCGAATAAAAAAAAAATATTACCGATTGAGGGATGGGCGAGTAGATGTGGAGGAGATAAATCGAGCTTTGATAAGCAACGGAGCTCGGCAGATCACCGGATGCCGGAGCCTCGACAAAGCCATTGATAATTCGCTATAAAATTTTCACCTTTCTTTCACTTCCCTTTTTTTTATTAAAAAAAATGAAAAACAAATTGTAGTAGTAGTGCAGAGAACGGAAAGATGAATATTATTTTATTTTTTTAATTATTTTTTTCCCTATTTATGTAATTAATTAATCAATCAAATGATTTAGGTTGGGCTTTTTGTCTTTTCAAGTGATGGCGGGCTGTTGTGGCCTTTTCACCTACGAGATTGCTGATTGGATGGCTCTGTGTTTTGACTATACAAGTCACGTTTTGCTATGTTTCTTGAATTTCATACAATTATATTATATATATATATATATATATATATATATATATATATATATATATATATATATATATATATAGACATAATTTAAAATTATACAATCTTAAAATTTTAAAAATATCTCCATATATAAAACTATTATATTATTTTATCTATTTAAAATTATATAACCAAAAATTACATAAATTTATGGACAGATGCACTCTGCCCCAAATTACAATTTTCGGCGTATTTTTCACCAAAACTGCCATTAATCAGTGCAATTGAAGGGCATTTACGTCATTTGAGAGACGGATCACCACCGTACCAGGTGCTAACTGAAGAAGAGATTGAAGGTTCTCACAATTTTGGGACTGCAATAGGCACATTTTGATTGGTAATGGAAAGAAGTCCCAATATTTTTTTTTTCTGAAATTGGTTTTATTTTCCGTCTATTAGAAAATATAAGGATATTAGGGTTTGATTGAGAATAATGAAATGACTCAAATGCCCTTGAAGTGGACGGATAAATGAAAATTTCGATGAAAAATACTTCGTAAATTGTGGTTTGTGGCAAAACGCAACTGGAACAAAAATTTAAAGGAGGCAGAGTGCATTTTGTCCTACATTTATTCAAATCACAACACAATCACTTTCCTTTAAACTACTTGAGCTCGATATTCTTTCAACTCGATTAAAACTCGATCAAACTCGATTCAACAAATTGTGTTTTCTCCACAACACAAATATGGCTCACATGAAAAAAAAGATAACATTATTCTTTATTCGACAAGACGGACACGATTTCTTCAATAAAATGAAATAAACATACGGTAGAATATTAAGTCGAGCCAACAAGAATTTCACAAAATGAATATATAGGGAAAATGTGAGAGAACCAAGACTTAGTTCTTCACTGTAGTGACATGCCTCAGAAGCATGGAGACAACATCTGGAGAGATTCTAGAAGCTTCCGTCTGAAGGTTTTCGATTTTTGCATTCGTTTCTTGTTCAAGGCGCTTCACATTAGCACCCGAGTCTCCACTACTCTGTTTGTACAACGCAATTATCAGAAAGACAGCAAATAAAAGCAATAACAAAATATAGACTCGTATGTATTCAGACAGTTATTCCTCGTCCGGGAAATGTTGATGGAATTGGTTATGATTGCATTGTCCATGATAATGTAATATATGATCATCTTATGTTTGAGATTTGTGATTATACAATCCTTGTCCTCGGTAATATCCTTTGTAGTTTATTTTTAGTTCATTTTTTTAAATATTGTCTACCAAGTAATATCCTAATTCCCAAACGAGGCCTTAAAGTTAAAGAACTTCTCTTTATTGTTCGTCTAAAATCTTACCTCTGCAACCTTCCTCTGAAAGTCGGCCTCCATTTGAGCACGGAAATCAGCAATTTCCTTCTCCGCTTCCTCTTTGGCCTGTTTCAGTCTTGCTTGTTTTGCTGTTGATGAAAAAAAAATGTAAATTTAAAGTAAATTTTAATTACAAGTCGTAAGATTCCGTTCGGTACGGAGTTTGGCAAAATCAAAACTAGAGCGAAAATAAGTTAAATTAGTTAACTAATTTTCAGTATGAACTACTGTTTGGTCAAATTATAGCTGTCGAATAAATCTCTCCAAGTAAAAAAGTTATTCTTTTAAGTAAGCAAATCAATTGCACTCTCACTCATTAGGATATGCAATATCAACCATGAACAAAGATCGAGCCAAATAAAGCCGAGAATCAACTCATTTCTAGAAGCTTCCGAAAAATCAAGGGGAGAAACACTTAAACATGAATATTCCCGAGGGTAAAAAAGTAATCACCGGTTCTAGCGGTATTGACAATGTGCTGAGCTTCTTGTTCTGCAGCAAGTAAGAGTTGAATTCCATTCTGGCTAGTGCTGGCTGCCATTTTGAGAGACGTTGAAGCACCTGCTGCACCGATAAAAGAAAGTAAGAAAACGAAAAATATTGAAACTTTGCTCTATTTTACAACAACTCCTCCATAGGTAACTTCGGTTATCGATAATCGATAACCAATTGTTTGTAGCCATTTTAGTAATCATTAAATCGTTCAAGAAATGAATATCGAGAATACAAATCAAACTAACAATGTCTAGTTCGGACTATATTCCCTAAGCCGGCCGACTAATCATTAGATCTGCACTGAAAATACTGAAAGGAAACAACAAACTGAAAAACACTCTCCGATCAAATCAACTACGATTTACGATGACAGGAATATAACGAATACTAATATTCTTCCAACAGTTTGACTACAATTCGATCTCCAATGCGACAGTTTGACTACTCAAAAGCCTGATCCGATCCCGAAATTTTGTATTGATTGAATCAGGGCTAGTAAAAACAAGTAAAATCCATCACAGAACAAGATCAAAACAATCACAATACTAAGAAACTGACGGAGACTTGTAATAATAATCTTTTAACCAAACCCTACGCCCTTCCCCTAAACTTAAGATTTTAACCAGATCTAACAATCTCAAGTAACCGAGGCTAATCAAACAAGGTTAAAGGTAACAAGATCCAACCCTAAATCGATTACGAAAATCAGCAAAGAGGCAAAGCTTAAAAAGTAAAATTAAAATAAAAATAAAATTGAACAGTTTGACGAACAGGAAATCGAAACAAACCGGCGGAGATGGGTGCGGCGTACCTGAACGGTTAGAGCAAGGAGAACGTGGTGGAGGAAGAGAGATTTTGTAGAGAGAGAGAGAGAGAGAGAGATGTTTTATATACAGTTGGATGCGATAATTTTACCTCTGCAATTAAAAAGAAAGAAATAAGTTTGACTTGAAGCGCTTTTTTTTAACTTCGTAGGAGAGATTTTCTCAAAAACGTGACAGCCTTAATAAAAAGGGCAAATTACGGCTAGGCCCTAAGGTATGGCCAAATTACTAAAACCCCCTCTTGTTTGGGTAATTACAGTCACTCCTCCTTTTAAATATTTTTACATAAAATTTATATAATTTGGTTATTTACCGTACGAAATCGTATATTCAGTTCGGTAAACGGCATAAAATGTTGGCGTACCGAAATTTCGGTTCGGTTTTACCAATTTAACATCCATAAATTTACTTCCGGAGGAGTATTTTCGTAAGATAATACATAGTTGAGGAGTGGCTGTAATTACTCAAACATGAAGGGAGTTTTCATAATTTGACCATAACTCAGGGGTGGCCATAATTTGCCCTAATAAAAAAGAAAAATCGGAGATATTGTTTCTAAACGCGATTTTGCTCATAATGAAACACGCTTCTTTTGCAATTTATTTTTCTTTTGGTTTCCACTTGGTTATTTTTTTCAATCTCTAACAATGTAAATACCAATGTAATTGTTCTTTGTAGACAACAAGGAGAAGATAGTAATATACTTGTTTCTTTCAATTTGCTCTGCGATTTTGTTTGCTACGTTGTTTCTTTCTTTATTAGTTTCTCAATACATTATCAGCACGAGTTTGCTTTACTTTCTTCCCTAATTGATAGAATTTCAACCATGACGATGATTAGATTTGACGGTGATCCAAAAGTGTTCGGCCCATGATGATGAAAAGGGAGATAATACGTTGCATTTTATTGTTGTTTTGAGTTGACGAAAAATTAAAAATTCTATTTTTGTTGTAGGTGAATTTTTGCACGATTCACGAGGCCAGTCTTCGAGTTCTTTTTTCGGACATGATAATATTATTTGTAAAAACATATGATATCAGATTGAGTATCTGTTATATATATGCATGTATCGGCGAGTAAAATGCTATACACATAATATTCTAACCATAAAAATATAAAAGAACAAAAAAAAAGTAATAAAACAAAAAAAATGTGTTTCTTTACAAACTTTGTGTGTGTTCAAAGAATGTACTAATCGAACCACAGAAAAGATTCACCGATTTTGAAGTGCCTCGATCGCCTTTTTCCACTGCATTGCTCTTTGTTTTGCATCCTCGAAAGACATCACTTTCTTCGGCTGCGTACCAAACCCAATATTTAATCAAATCATCGCATGAAAAAAATAAAAATAAAAATATTGCACGAGAATATATATATAGTTGAGGATGTTTTAAAGAAGCATGAATTTACCGTGCAAATCTTGAAATTCGCAGGGCCGGTGACTTGAATACTAAGATCGTTCGGATTATCCGACCATATTAAATTCCCTTTAACCACCAATTTAGCGGGGTCCACGTATATTAGCTTCGGTTTATTGGTGAGAATAAGCTGCACTTTCTTGTTTGTTAGTTTCTGCAGTTTCTTTACATTCGAAATCATCAGAACGGATTCGCCCGGGTCCAAGAACTGTTTCCTGCTCACAAAATTACGAAAATAAATAAAAATAAACAAGACTAATAATTATTTGTCGCCCTCACCATTTTGAATCGAACGAATCGATTGAAGCAAGCCTAGTTATGCTGCCAGCTTCCGAAGCTGAGCTGTCACCTACGTGCGATGGATTCCACGAAGAATCTTGGTCTTCATTTCCACTAGACTGAACCTTAATTAACACAAAAAGAAAGATTATTTTTTTTATTTTTTATTTATTTGAGAAAACAAAATAAATAATAAAAGGGCTTACTCTAGGATCTAAAGCAAGTTTGGGGGGTGCAGTTCCTTCCCTCAAGTTCGTCCAATCGATCCCGGTAAAAAAAGGGTGGTTCTTGAGAGAAGCATATCCACCGGGTCCCGCACCCGGTCGCCTACTTGGATCTATGTCCTAATCAAACACAAAAATTAACCGAAAAACAAATGAAGGATGAAATAAATAAATAAAACATAATGTGTAAACAAATTAGTGGTTTTTTTTTTCAAATGTGTTACCAATAACTGATCAATGAGGTCTCGTGCTTCGGCTGAAAAGTAATTAGGAAATCTGATATCTCTGGCAATAATTCGTTGGAAAATCAGCCATTCGCTTGCGTCTTTGAAAGGCGAAGTACCCGAAAGCATTTGGTATAGCGTGCATCCAAGTGCCCAAAGATCGTTCCTAGTTAAACATTAGTTAAACATTATTTTCAATTAGCTAAAAAATAAAAATAAAACCACTTGGTTATTAATTACGAAAATACGAGCCGAATTAACTATACCCGAAAGTTGCTGGAGACGAATTTAGAACTTCCGGAGGCACGTAAGCGGCTGTTCCCACAAAGGTGCACGCCTTATCATCTGCTTTTTTTTAACGGAAAAATGTAATCTTTGAACAGTTATGAATTATTTTTTTCCCGAAAAAAAATCGGTAAAATCGATATGAATTATACCCGATGCAGCATTTGGAAGAACCGTAATTCGGCTACCTTGCATAGGTTTTACGCTACCAAAATCGGCAATCTTGATATGCCCATCTGCAGTAAGTAGCAGATTCTCTGGCTGCAATTATTATTGTAGAAACAATATTAGTAAATTGCTAGTACGATAATCGAAAAAGCTTTTAAAGCATTAAAAATTAAATTACCTTAATATCTCGATGTATCAATCCCATACTGTGTATATACTCAAGAGCATCCACAACTTCAGCTGCATAGAAACGAGCCTCGTCCTCTGATAAACGGCCTTTCTGCACCAACAAAAGTCAACTATTTCAATCGTTGGACTATAAAATTATTCGATCGATTTTTTTAGGTATGGAGTAACGCTTACCCTGGTTATTTGATCGAAAAGTTCTCCTCCGTCACACGACTCAAGCGCCATGTCTTGAAAACATTAAACGCAGGAAATGAACATAGCAATTTTTACACAAAGAAACGAGAAAATCGAGATCGACGCGTAAACGATATGTACTCACAGAGTGAGAAAGTGTCTTGAAAGGTGAAAAACAACCGCACGACACCGGAATGATCTAACTGGTCCAACACGATGCGCTCCAATTTTACGTAAGCCGTTTTGTTTTCCTTTGTGATGAACTTTTTATCCATGATCTTCATCGCGTAAACGGTTCCCGTGTCTTTCTTCTTTGCTCTCACAACCTGTTTTTCACATTGCACGTTTAACGAATAACACAACTAACCGAGTTTAACAACTAGACCACCGTCCGAAATGTTAAATGCGATTCGACATCGTAATCTTAGTGCACGAAAGCCGATTATAGCTTCTACGAAATCTCTTAAAAGAAATTACGCTAGTTAAACGCATAGGGAAACGAAGGCGACCACCACGAAAAAATCGTCAAGATAACCGTTTCAAACGGAACCAACCAACCAATCAAAGACAGCCAAAAGGAGTATAAATGAAGAGAGCCCAACACATAAAAACTCATTAAAACACATAAAAGAAAAACACATAAAAACAGAAGAAATAAATAGAAAAATAGATCAAGAAAATATGAAAGAAAAAAAATTGGGACCTTGGAATAAGAGCCAACACCATAAATCTTCTCCAAATCAAAATCCTGGATGTTGAAATTCTCCTGTGGTGCTCTAAATGCAAAGCTCTTAGATCTCTGAGGCTGACTATTATTAATATTATTATTATTATTATTATTACTATTACTATTGTTGGAGGAGGAACTGCTGCTCTCAATCCTAAGTTTCGAATCAAATTCGTTCTCCATTTTTTTTTATATTCAACTGATCTATTTCCTTCTAATTACCAATGTCTGCATTACTACATGCAGATAAAATCAAGAACCCCCATTTTTTTTTGCCCCTTCTAATCAGCCACAAGGATCAAGATTCTTCACACATATTCTAATTCCAAAGAGACCCACAAAAAGCAAATGATTCCATATAAAAATAACAATGAAATTTGGTTTTTGGCTTTCTGGGTTGGTTTTGTGTGTACGTATAGAAATGGGTGTATGCATATATCTGGAAAAAGGTGAGAGCTTTACGAAAAAATCGAGGCCCCAAAAAGGGGGAAAAAGGGTGTATGTATAATGTATGTAATTGTGTAAGGTGGGATGAATGGAAGGCGGCAATGTATATGGGGATTGAAGAGCGCACATGAAAATGAATGATGGGTATTTTCACTTCAATTCCATCAATCAATGCAGAGCTAAATAAAAATTGAATCTTTATATTTAAAAAAAAAAAATTGAATCTTTATAATTAAAAAAAAAAAAAGTGAGCTAAAATGAAATAAAAATTGAATCTTTATTATATGCATGAGAGAGGAGATTAAGTTTGAGGTGATGGACCACCTAAGGACTAACAACCTAATCCTTGTTACCTCTTTTTAATGTAATGAAAGAACAATACAATTTAATTATTAGTCTCTCTCTCTCTCTCTCTCTCTCTCTCTCTCTCTCTCTCTCTCTCTCTCTCTCTCTCTCTCTCTCTCTCTCTCTCTCTCTCTCTCTCTCTACCATAGTCTAATCTAATCTATATTCTATTTTATCCAATCTGCAAAAAGGTGCGTGCTTTAACACTATAAAGTTTAAGGGTGCCACTAATTTAGCTTATGATGCAAATAGATAATCATTAAGTTTGTACTTCATTTTGAAAATTATTGTTAGAAAATAGACCTTTCTTTATTAAACTAAAGCTCAAAAGTAGAGTTCAATCAATAAAATGCATGATAAAGTAAAAGATAGAGTCAAACATCTCTAACACTAACAAAATTCTATTAATCTAGCAAAATATTAAATTATCAAATTCGATATCAATTTTTTTTATTATTTAAGTGAGATTATTAATTTATTGAAATTCTACTGTATTTGGGTTTAACAATGGCAATTTAAATGTTCATCCTTATCCATGGTGGGGGCAACATGCAACGTATGTCAAAAACATTACTCCAATTATGGCTGTCAAATTATGGTCCTAAACTGCATTAAATATAGTTAAACCACCTGCAATTAAATCCCAAAAAAAATTAAATAAATAAATCCCATTTTTCCAATTTAAATAAACCAAATGCTATTTTGAGGTCAAAACGTCCCTCCCAATCAAAATTCACAGCTGGAGGTCAAAGTTCTGGATTTGCATAAACCAAAAAAAAAGAAAAAAGAAAGTCAAACAAAAAACTACAAAGTTGTCACCTTTACAAACTCCATTTTTGTTTCTTCACTATAAATCCCATCCATCTCTCCTCCTATTAAAATCCAACTTCCTGTGAACCAAACTCCCATACATTTCAGCAAACTTCATCAGGCAATTGCTTCTCACTCCATAGTGAGCCTGCGTGTTCCTACTAATCGCGACTCCCGAGAATTTCGACGTATCTATGGCCCACGTAGGCCTCACATACTCAACCGCACTCTTCGAAGACGAAGAAGAAGCACTACTCGAGTTTGCGTACAAATAATTCATCAACACATCCTCGCAGTTGAAATATTCATCAACCAACGCCCGACCCTGCGCTACCTCATCGCTCCAGTACCTCTCGAACGCCACCTGTCCGTCCATAAAAGCGGCCCCCGTTAGAATCACATTGTACCCGTTGTGCCTGCGCGCGTGCCTCTCGCCTCGGTACTTCAAACGGGGCGACCCGTTTACGAGCCGCGGGTAGAACCCGACGAGCCGGTCAGGGTTCTCCCGCCACACCCTGAATCCACGCTCGATGTCGCCGCACGTCATCATGATGTCGTCGTCCAGCTCGAGAACTGCTCGTGTCTTGATTGAAGGGTCGACCCGAAACCGGTTGTTGAGCGAGTTCTTTGCCTCCACCCGTATTCTAACGGGCACGGCCGAATCGAAGTCGCTCGGCTTTGGGGGCGCCCCTTTATTCCACACCACGACTATCTCACGCACGGACGAGCATCTCGAGTAGTGCTTCACGTACATTTTAAGATTCCATAAACGAGCATCGTAAGTCATTGTTAACATAGTGAACTGCGAGTGGTGGCCGTTCAAAGGGTACGGCTCCTCCGCACCGCTCCCACCGTATAGATACGTGACTGCGGTGCATGTTAGCGCCACCGCTATTAAGATCGTTAAAATGAGCACAATGCTCCCCGTGCAAGTTTTCGGCCTTATTTTCGAATGGAGAAACGAGCACGTTCGGTTCAAACGGCTGCATATGAGCCTCAGCTTGGAAGTTAGCTTCGGCGGTCTCTCGTAAACCAAGAAAGTGTCGCTTCTCTTCTCCATATTGTGAGGGCACCAACTCAAAGGTACTAGACATTTGACAACACCGACGAACATTCCGAAAAGTACTACCAATGCAGCGACAGCAGAAACCGAAGCGGACCCCACAAGGAATCTACGAACAGCATCGCCAGATGGCACGCGGTCCCCGTCTAGGACAGCAATCCACTCGCCCGTATTCAGCTGCTGCACGTCTAAGTGGTGGGTGCGGGCCCCATTCCAAGAATTCCTTCCCTTCATTGACTCTCCTCCAAAGTCAAACGGGACCTCGGTTTCTTC